TGGCGCTGTCAGAAGCAACTTGCTTCCTGTTTTCAAAAATTGTAGTGAAGACGAATAGGGTTCGTATTTCATTCGCGATGCCACCTGTCGCCTCTGGACATGAGAACACATTGGGACGTAAACTGATATTAATTCTTGACTTAAAGCTTTCGTGACTGCAGGAATTCATATTATTTGGGTCTTTCGGTAAAGTCACGTAGATCGGTTCAAATTAATAAAAATCAAAGAAACATTTTTGTTTACCTATCTACGTGACTTTACTGAAAGGCACAAAGCATTCTAACTAATATTGTTTCACTGCAGGTAGATAGCAGCATATACAGATTGAGGTATTGATATGAATATCAAATTGGATATCGTGATTTGTGAAATAATACGTCCATTGATTTAATAAAAATACCAGTTAAAATGTGTGATGAATTCAGGAACTTTGATGACATGGGGCAACTATTTAGCTTTAGAGAAAGATGCGTAAACACCAGGGTGGCAATGGAATGTGGGCACGCCACACCTATAAGATTGGAATTGTAGCTTTGTCTCTGGGTCGTTTACCACGACACAAATCTACCAATACCCCGATATAGAGAATGCATTTAAATGAACTGCATTCAACACAGGTTGAAGTGAATGTAACTTGCTAAATGTTGTTGTTCTCCTACCAAGAAGCAATGATGTCTCTGTCATGTTTATTTTTATTTGCGGATTTCCACTGTGAATGACACCTAGGGCAATGCTTTAGTTTTTTTTATGTTTTGGGACGCAGTGGAAAAAACCAAAGCACAACAATACAACACGAAACTCGAAATGCCAAGAAGGTAAAGAGCAAAAAGGCGAAGAACAAAATTATAATAAAATACACCAAAGCAAATGCTTAACCAAAAAAATAGATGGGGATTGACGTCATTTAGGTTTTGTTATGGACTTTTATCTTTATTCGTGGGCTTTGTGCCATCACAAAGGTGTGTTTGGTTGAGTGATTATTTGCATTGATGCGTCAGTTGTGGCAAACAAAAACTGCCCTTCCATCACTTCCACTTTAACCACAGACGCACGGAGTCGTCACATCCGGCCAACAGCTGCTTCAAGGTGCCACACGGAAATTCAACCGTGCCATTGGCCACATGACAACAACGGTGTTACGTCACAACGGTGTCCCGTCACAACTGGGACCGGGCGAGCGGCCGTGAATGTCAGCCGCTCTGCACCCCGTGAACTGCGTGGGCAGGCAGCTACAGCCAGAGTGGGGAGATGAGGCAAGCGAGATCAACAGATCATCGCAGCTTGACATCCCTTTGTCAGTCCAATGCTTCGTGAAGGTCTGCCCGTGTCGTGTCAGATATGCGGTTGATTGTTGAAGGCGGGAGGAGGCTCGGAATCGGTTCAGATATCATTCACCACCAATGTTAGTCATATCCGGGAATCAAACTCGGATTGCCGGGTTCATAGCACAGCTCGCTGCAAGCATACCGAGATCTGTGATGTATCACATTTCATTTGTCTCGTTACGAAGTTGATTTTATTTTCATAATGAAGGTTTTTGGGTTAGATCGCGGAAGTATAAATGTGTCGTAACCCTCCACCACCCGACACAGCCAGTAAGGTTTGTCACGTAATGCCAATTAGTTACTAGTATAGTGTATAGTAGTGTATACTGTAGTGTATAGTATATAGTCGTGTATAGTGTAGTGTACAGTGGTGTAGTGTACTACTTCAGCCGACTGGTGTGTTGGAGAGTTAATTTCCAACATGTACAATTTGAATATGACGATTCGCTGGTAATTGCATCCAGCAGCATCGGGCGACGTGCCAGAATAGTGAAGCAATCCACCTGCATCCGGTTTTATATCACTAAACCCATCAGGCGCAGAGATCAGAGGCGGAGGAGGGGGGTAATTGACTACTATAGTTACTCCTTGGTTCTTTCAGTAAAGTCACTTAGAAATAAAATAAATTAAATAATAGAATACGACGTTTCGATTGCAACACAAGCACTCGTCATCAGGTAGACAACAAACCTAGTAAACTTAGAAATATAGTGCAATACAACACAGAGAGTCGGCTAACACAACAGTCAACACTCTACCTGGTTGATTACGTTCTTCCAAAGATTGCTAAATTTGAGAGAGCGACAAAACACAGACACGGAGATACACAGACAGACACACAAGCAGAGAGAGACAACACAGAGACAGAGAGACACACACACATAGACACACAGAGGAACAACGCCTGTGTCGAGGCCTTAAATAGAGAGAGTTGTGGGTGGGGCAGAGAGAGAGAGGGGGGAGTAGAGAAATGAGCATGTCAATGAGAGAGTTGTGTAGAAATCCACCCCTATAGCGGTTGGAGGAGAGAAAGAGCAAATGGACCTGTACAAGCCTGGTAAATTTTTGAGAAATAGGGAGTTTGAGAAAACAATCTTGATTTTAAGCTTTCGTGACTGCAGGAATCCATGCTTTTTCGTTCTTTTGGTAAAGTCACGTAGGTAGAAAAATAAATAAAAAATATATCAGTGAGAAATCAAACTTAGTAAAATTTTGGAAATGGAATGGAATGCAACACAGAGAGTCGGTTAACACACAGTTAACGCATAGCCTGGTTGATTACGTTCTTCCAAAGGTTGCTAAATTAGAAGTTAAGTGTAAAATTTGAGAGATAGACAAAACACAGACACATCGACAGACACACAAGCAGAGAGAGACAGAGAGAGAGAAAACAAACTTAAATCCTCCCCGTAGAGGTGGTTCAAACCTAATTTGAAGCTTTCGTGACTGCATGAATTACTCTTTGTTTCTTTCGGTAAAGTCACGTAGAAAGAAAATAAATTAAATAATAGAATACGACGTTTCGATTGCATCAGGTAGACGACAAACCGAGTAAACTTAGAAATATAGTGCAATACAACACAGAGAGTCGGCTATATTTACCCAAGAATGTCAGTGTGTAAAGCACGTGACGTCAATCCACGTCGACCAGCCCCCCTCATTTTTTGTTATTTTCTTTGAACCTATCTACGTGACTTTACCGAAAGACCCAAAGAATATGAATTCCTGCAGTCACGAAAGCTTTAAGTCAAAATGTAATCATGAACAGGTTACTTCCTCCACATGGACCCGCCCCTCATTAATAAATCATGAGCAGGTGACGTCACTCCACATCGAACAGCTCCCCTTATTAATAATCATGAACAGGTGACGTCCTCCAAATGGACACCCCCCCTCCATTAATAATAATTAGCAGGTGACGTCACTCCACATGGGGGGGGGGGGGGGGGGCGAGGCGCCTCCTCCCCCCTCCTCGGTGTCAACTCACAACCCTCACTGCAAAGGCAGAATCCTCACGTCACGCGATCTCCGTAACGCTCTTGAGACATCGAAGTAAAAAGGACGTCATGATGAACAAGGGATTATAACCTTTAAATGAAATAGGTCTGTGTCACCGCGCCCTTACAAATTGCACACGAATTGATGCAATGAATATCACGTCGCGGTCCGCTTTTCGCTTGCAAGTGAGGAGGGGCTGGGTGGGGAGGGTGGGGCTGGGTGGGGAGGGGCTGGTCACCCCGTGGTTCCCTTATAAAACTCAACGTTTAACCTACTCACGCCGGCTTGTGCCCACCCTCACAGTCGGGCATATTTGCGGAATACACCACGTGGTGCCGCCGTTGACCCTGGCCATTGACCGAGCAACCCAACGTTCCTACCAGCTCCCTCCGCAGGAATGTGTTACTTACGCGATCTAATCCAAAAACCTTAATTATGAATATCGGTCGCGAAAGTCAACTACGTGTTAAATCGATGTTCTTTGCCTACGTGCTTATGTAACACAGTTTTAACTTACAAATTAGACTTGCTGCCTCAATGGGCACTCGTTGAAATCTCGGTTCTGTCTGTCTGATTTTTGTACCATTTAACGCGTTCAGTTTATATTAACTTCCCATCAGCAACATGAACTAGCACAGTCTTGTCCGAGTGTTCGTGAAGCTTTTGCAACTCAGGTGGTGAGCGTTCATGCATCGGCTATGCCCGTCTACAACCGGAGAAAGGGGGGGAGGGGGCACAATAAGGGGCACTGGCGGAGCCAGTGGGGGGGGGGGGGGGCACGTGTCCCCCCAATCATCAATGGACGCCATTGATGATGGTTTCAAATCAAAGGTTCACGGAATATTCTTACGAATGAAGAGAGGAATGGAATGTGGCAAGTCATCCGTACCCCCTCAGAATTTCCCTGTGCAATAGCGTAACGTACTTTTGCACGGTGTGACACAAAGCCGGCCATCTCGGTATGCGTTCGGTAGCAGTCATCGTGGAGAAAGAGGAACCAGGTGACAGCATTTGCATTAAATTGGGGAAGTCCCCCTCCCTCCGAAACTCACGATTGTTACCCCAGCCTAAGTTGCAAACCGCGCCGTGCGTTTGCAAGTGTCGACAGGACCTCGCTGTGAAGATATCGAGGTTTAAAACAAACGTGGCGAGGCCACCGAGAGAGACTCTGGCTGAACGCGTCCATCACTGCCCCCCGAAACGGCGTCATCACTGGCAGTGGCGATGATGAAGAATCAGTGTGGGAGCCGACTGCTTTGAAAGGAACTCATATTTTTTAGTTCTTGGTGAACAAGTACGGACCGTGGTACATTCCAAGAAAATTTTGAATAGACCTCGTAAATTATGGTGACTTATTTTTTGTTGTATATGTTAAGAACTGGGGTCCAACAACGACTTCCGAGCGCGGGGACCAGCTTGCCCTTATTCTGGCAATAAATCCACATCGCAGTGCCTTGCCGTGTGTTTAGCGAGTGCTTCAACTTGTTGGCCGAGGCTCGTGGAGGTTACACAATTTTACAAAACAAACAATATCTGAGCTTCACAACTTACCCATTGTTTTTTGTAAGGTAAAATTATGTTTTGCATTTGTATCTGTTAATTTATTCGGTTGCGTAACCTTGAGCATGATGGATGAGACATTAAAGCACATTTCAGAAAAGATTACGCGTGTTTAAATTGTTTCTCGAGCCCTTTTTAATTAGAAATAAAACACATCATCACAATCACTTATTTTGGTTCTTAATTGCAGATTAACTGTTACCAAAAACTGCAACGAGCCAGATATTTATGAACCAGATCCAAGCATAGAGACACAATGAAGACTTCACCGACTCGATGAAGGTGTAGACAGATAGTTACAAAGTTAATATTTAGAATATAAACCAATTGACGTTTATAACTGTAATTGCATGTGTTAAAGTTGTGTTGAATTGTGTTGAATCTGACATGTAGACTGCTCTTTCCCTTGTCCCAGTTGACTATTTATAATTCATTTGTGATCATTATCCAAGGCGGCATGATTTCCAGGAAAAGAGCGAATGTCGATTTGTGAACGTTATTGTTGAATCGTTATCAGTCTACCCAACGAGTTCACTGTCTGAAATCTCCAGTTTTATAATATGCTGTAGGCTGTTGCAGAAGTTCGGAAATGTCAAAATGATAATCGAAAAAAAAGACATTCTGTGTTTATGTTAAGGGTTGTTATTGATTGGTTTCATAAATATAGCTTAATTATGTACTACATCAAAGAAGTGAAACTGAATTTCCCATCACCATCCCAGTGTCGATTAAATGGCATCCCTTTTAAAAAAAGGAAAGCAAGTTATTTTCATCTGAATTGCAGTTTTAATTGGTTGACATGCTTTCCCCAATTAAAAAGTGCCAGTTGCATGTTTGGCATTTGGCGAATCACGGCAAAGGGCCTCGGACTAAATCTCCAGGAATGTTTCCAATCTCGTCAGACTCCAGAGGCTCAGCAGCCTTGAGCCTGGATAGTGCGTGGATGGGTTGACCACTGCACATGCCGGGTTGTTCTCGACAGCTTCGTGTCTACGTGGGTGCCAATGCAGCACATCCACTGTTCTATAATCTTATGGTCCGACGACCACCCTGTCCACCTGCACTGGCCAGCACGGTGAAGTATGGTCAGCTAACTCACATGTCATGGCGTGGAGAGGTCTTCAAACAAAGGCTTGTCTAGAGTTTTCTTGTGTTGCCAAATGCTGCTAATATGTACTCCCAGAAGGCTGGCTTATGGAATGTACAAAACATATTTTTGTTGTATATGTGGAGGGTCAGATATGTGCAGGATGTGCATTGTATATGTATTGGTTTTATTCGTGGAGAACATGAAGGTTGTTTGAATACCAGCGGGATGCTGCACCTGCCATCGAGCATATGGACTTTGCCTTTGAACCTGCAAAGGCAAAGTTCAGCAGCAGTTGTATCTAGCCTCGAAGGTGGCCGAGACTTTCCTGGTTAAAGATGGCTGGGTTTGAAGGGTACTCCACGAGCAGAGGATCTGAGGTGGTCTTGCAGAGCGAACTATGTTTTGAATCTACCTGGTTGCACTGGAAATAAAGGTGACCGATGTTTGCGTGCATGCTCAGTGTAAGCGTCACCATTGGGGAGGGGGTGGAGGAGTGGAACAGTGGTTAGTGCACTATGCGTTGAACCCGGCAACCTGAGTTTGATTCCCAGCCACTGGCCAACATCCTTGGCGGATCAAGAACCCGTCCTGGGCCTTCACACTCCTCCAACTCGCAATGATCAGTGCGGTAAAGTAAAATATGGTGTCATGTATTTTTTTCTCATAAACTATATAGGCTGTATACCACATTCATACAAGACGCGCAGTACACTGCAACCACACATACAAACACTCCACAATTTTTTGCCAGTTCATCTGCCACCTGGCAGAGACCTCGAACCACAATTTGTGATTCAGCTTACACAAACCCTGCCACAGATGCAGCGGTGATGTCACCACCATCACAGAGTGGTAATTTACACTCAACAACTGCCTGTCTAAGCATATATGTGTACATTTACATATACCGGAATTACATGAACATACATTTTACGGTTATCGTATTCAACATCGGCGCAACAGTGTTATCGTAAAGTGCAGTACTTCCAAGGCATCACATAATAGTTGCATATTCAGGTTAACAAGTCTTCGTCACCTGAGGCACGAGTTTAGAAAATGCTCATAAAATATGGGCAGGCGCGATTGTAGTAAGATCCGTAATGCCGTTAGTCAAAACGTACACAAAATGTAAGGAAATATGCGAGTCCAAGTAAGATGGCAATGCTGTGGACACGGCACAGGTTGCTAGAGAAAATGTCGTCACTCCCACCAGCCAATCGGCTGTCAGGAAGACAACGCCGTGCAACGCGGCCGGTGTGACGTCGTCGATCCACGCACTTTTGCAATGCTATGGCTGCGGTAATAATGTTTTAATGTTTATTACATTTGTTATAAATGTGTTATTAATACTTATGTTAGCAGTAACTATGTTATTTTACTTATTATCGGTTGACTTTGACAATCGACATGTGGGTAATGGTGCTGGAGTTGTGACAAGTCTGAGCTGACGCAATCTTGAAAACTGCACGAGTCGTTCTGGAGCAACAAAGATTCGGGAGTGTGTACAACGATACAAATTCCATTATACTGTACTTCGATACTCCCACTTCTACTTTCCCCACCTTCAGCAACCTGCCTTGACCAACGTGGTGAAGAATGCTCAAACAGCCCCCACTACCCGTATGGCGTGGGGAGGTCATCATCCAGCAGTGGAATGACAAAGGGTCATACGTGTACATGTATAGAATGATGCAAAACAACGGTAAATCGCAAGTGATACAAAGGTTGATAGTGGTTTTGCGCAAGATATGAAGGTCACCCAAGGATGTTGTCGAAGATGAATGGATCAAAGTATTACTCTCAGGTTTGTTTAAGAAACGCGAGCCGGTTGTGTCTCAATGCGTTCAAATTCTTAAATTATTATCGCCGTCAGAGATCAGCAGCTGTAGCATCACTGTGGATCCGCCCTGATCTCGAGACGCCGCCCTCCCCCCTCGCCCCCAGCACGCTCCCCGCGGCTGTCAGAAGGACTTGTAACCTGGCTCGGGATGCACTGCTGTCGGCCGCTTGGTGACAATCTGCGCAGCGGGAATACCACAAGAGGAAATGCTTTATTTGTGTTTATCAAAAAAAAACTTCACTTGGGTGATTGTCCCTTAAGGTGCCACATCCCCTTTGCAAGGCTGTCCCAGGCATGAATATCAAAGCCAGTCAACACACATGCACAGCATTTAATGGCGCACACCACCGGTAAATATGGAATGTACTCTAGCTGTACCAGTTGCAGACATTGTGCGAGTGAGTTTTACTGAGAGATTTTCACAAGTTGAGGCTGAATATGTAGTTCTACTCTCCCTGCGATCGTCTTGCTAAGTGGAAAGTGTTCAGCTGCGTCCTGTTGGGAGTTTCAACTTCCTCCCCATGCACGTCTTGTTGTTGTACTCTATGGTATTGTGTTTACGATAGGTGCCCACTGCTGGAATGAAACGACCCCGATAGAAATGCATGATCGTCGTCAGCATGGAATGCAGCAGTACTCACCTTGGTGATATCGATGGGCTCTTGTCTGGCTTTCCAGCTTTTGAGGATGACCGGATGTTTGCTGCCAAGATCAGTGTTGCTAATTGATGTTAACCCTGGAGAAGAAGAAAAATCACCCAGCTTTGTTACAGGAGAAACGAACGTGACGAGAACTCAAGCTGTGCAATAAACGTTGCGAATAATCACAAACTAAATGTAAACGTCATGCGGAATTCACATTCTTCAAGGGCGTGGTAAATAATACTCACAGGGCACGTAGGAGCCTCTTGAAGAGGACCTCAAAATGCCATGCCTGAAAAAAAGGAAACAAACATGTTTGGAAACAATGCACAATGGAAATAGCACCTGCAACAAAAGCGATTGTGTTTGGTTGTCAGTGTGGCTGTAGGGCCAGCTTAAGCAGAGAACACTCCAGGGGGCCATTTTAGTTTAATCTTTGTTCAAACCATTGCCCTGCACTGATATTTTAGGGAAAATACCACTCCGTTGAAGTAAAAAAAATCTTTGCATTATTTTATGGCCTTGGCAAACAAAACTATTTGGCGAATACAATTGTTTAATAATGGGGCGCGTATAACGTGCAATTGATGCGAGTCGTGGCAACGACGCAGGCCCTGTGAGGGTCACGGAGGCTCGCACACAGTCTTTTGGAGACGTCAAAAAGAGTTCCTACTTGTCAGAGTTGAGTGAATTCTTTTGCTTCTTGCAGAGACAGAAGGCCAGCAGCCCCAGCAGCAGCAGCAGCAGCAATCCTCCCAGCACTCCAAACAGCACGCCAAAGAACACTCCACGGCTCACTCCGGTCACATCATTCTCACAAAGCTGCCCGTTGAAGTTTGCAGGACATCTGTCAGAGGAACACAACAACAAATCAATGGTGTTGCTTAATGTCAATGTGACTGTCAGTATGACAGATGTCTCGCTTTGTCTAACACCTGGAATGCATGGACACTATGACGTAGGTTGTTTCTTTTCATCTGTACTGTGTTTAATAAATGTACATGTCCTCTTTAAAGCTTTCGTGACTGAAAGGATTCATTTGCTTTGGTTCTTTCGGTAAAGTCACGTAGAATGAGAATGAAATAATAAAATAACACGCTAAAATTCTCATGACGTTTCGGCCACAACACAAGTGGCCTTCTTCAGGTGAAAGGAACAAACCTGTCGGAACGACAGAGCTTCAATGAACGTTGTTAAGATACGTAGCGTCTTTTAAGCTGGTTTAGAGAAGTGAGGCACCTTGACAAAGGGATTTACATATCAAACAGGAGAATTTAGCATTGAAATAGCTGAAGGATTAGCTTGTGACTGGTCACAGAAATGGCTATGTTAAAGTCAAAGCCTACACATCCACAGAGGCACCTAGTACAAATCAAACAGGAGAATTTAGCATTGAAATAGCTGAGTGATTAGCTTGTGACTGGTCACAGAAATGGCTATGTTAAAGTCAAAGCCTACACATCCACAGAGGCATTTAGTACAAATCAAACAGGATAATTTATCATTGAAATAGCTGAGTGATTAGCTTGTGACTGGTCACAGAAATGGCTATGTTAAAGTCAAAGCCTACACATCGCTTAATTGAAGACCTGGTTCATCAAGGACTGCATACTGATGTACCCCCCCTGGTGAGACATTGCTTAACCAACACATACTTCACCTGGAATGGAACTTTCTACAAACAAACTGAGGGCACCCCAATGGGCTCCCCCCTATCTCCGGTTGTAGCCAACGTATTCATGGAAAAATTTGAAACTGACGCCATCCAGACTGCCACTCTACACCCGACCTTATGGAAGAGGTACGTGGATGCCACTTTTGTCATCTGGCCACATGGCCAGCCTACTCTAGACCAATTCCGCGACCACATCAATTCCATACACCCAGCCATCAGATTTACCATGAAGGTCGAAAAAGATGGCAAACTACCCTTTTTGGATGTCTTAATTAAAAGGAGACCTGATGGTTCAATGAGCCACTCTGTCTACAGGAAAGCTACCCATACAGATGCTTACTTGAAACCGGATTCCCACCACCATCCATCCCAGAAGAACTCCCTCATCAAGACTCTATTTCATAGAGCCCAATGCATTTCCGACCAGGAACACATTACCAGTGAACTCAAGCACGTACACCAGGCTCTCAGGGCTAATGGTTAATCCGACTACACAATCCGCAAAGCCATCACTCCAGTCATAAAGAAGGATCCTCTTATTCTTAGTTCTTTCGGTAAAGTCACATTGAAGGGAAACAACAAATATGAATTACTGCAGTCACGAAAGCTTTAAATCAAAAGGATCCTCTTGTGGAGCCACTCAAAACCATCACCTTATCCTACATTGCAGGGGTCACTAAAAAGATCTCCAAAATCCTGAAAAAACACAAGATCCAGGTCCGATTCACCACAGTACATAAAATCCGTGATCTGGTTCCATCTGTAAAAGATGCTGTTCCAGACATACAGTACCCGGGCGTTTACAAACTAAAGTGCCTTTGTGGTAGTAGCTACATTGGAGAAACCAAACGACATATCTCGGACCGCATCCGCGAACATAGCAGACTTGAAACACGGTAGAACGAACTCCTCTGCCGTGGCAGATCACTGTTATAATTCAGTGGGCTCACATGACATTGACTTCTCCAAGACGGAGGTTCTTTGCAAACCAACCGGCTACCATGAGAGATTCGTTCATGAGGCCATCCACATATACAAGCAGAGACAATTTCAACCGAGAAGATGGATTCTGGCTTAGTAACCATTGAAAAGATGTTTTGAACCATTTCGGTTCTTAATTAATTGTATTTTACGAGGACCTTCAGACCGTAGCTCTTTCGCTGGCATTGACTCTTAATACCTCTCAAACCACGGTTAATGGTATGGTTTACAACATGGAGTATAACAGCGCCTCGCAGCTGTCTCTCTCCTCCCTCCTCCGTTCCGATCATGGATGGACTCGTCCGTCTGAACGGGGCTCGTAGCTGTCCGTGGTGCTGAAGTTGAGGGTAAGAATCCACCCATTTTTTTGCCATATGGCATTGTGATATATAACGACTTATTGTTGGTAGCTCAGCTGATTGGAGAATATATAAAGTTTATTGATAACATTGAGGTAGTTTATATTTTAGTTTTTATTGGTTTACTATATGGTATTCATTATATAGTACAGTGTATATCCAGTTACTGTTAATAGCTCAGCTTATTGAAGAATATATTGAGTACATTTATTATATTGATGTAATTTAGACTTAGGTTTTTTCACATCGGTTTACTGTATGATAGTTGAGTTGTTGCAGCCCCTTTGACGTCCATGTACTAGGTGCCTCTGTGGATGTGTAGGCTTTGACTTTAATATAGCTATTTCTATGACCAGTCACAAGCTAATCCCTCAGTTATTTCAATGCTAAATTATCCTGTTTGATTTGTACTAGGTGCCTCTGTGGATGTGTAGGCTTTGACTTTAACATAGACATTTCTGTGACCAGTCACAAGCTAATCACTCAGCTATTTCAATGCTAAATTCTCCTGTTTGATTTGTACTAGGTGCCTCTGTGGATGTGTAGGCTTTGACTTTAACATAGCTATTTCTATGACCAGTCACAAGCTAATCCCTCAGTTATTTCAATGCTAAATTATCATGTTTGATTTGTACTAGGTGCCTCTGTGGATGTGTAGGCTTTGACTTTAACATAGCCATTTCTGTGATCAGTCACAAGCTAATCACTCAGCTATTTCAATGCTAAATTCTCCTGTTTGATATGTAAACCCCTTTGTCAAGGTGCCTCACTTCTCTAAACCAGCTTAAAAGACGCTACGAATCTTAACAACGTTCATTGAAGCTCTGTCGTCCCGACAGGTTTGTTCCTTTCACCTGAAGAAGGCCACTTGTGTTGTGGCCGAAACGTCGCGAGAATTTTGTTGTGTTATTTTATTTTATTATTTTATTCTCATTCTACGTGACTTTACCGAAAGAACCAAAGAAGATGTAAATGTCCTCTTCTGCTGTTGGTAGATTTGGAACTCTCTCTCATCCTCTCTTTTCCCAAGTGTCGATAATATAGCTCAATTCAATAAATACGCGATAAATATATCTGCTTTACTGTCCATTGTGCTCGATGTTGCTGGACACTTTGTGTTATAAACCTTTAGACCAGCATTCAACAACGCATTCATGAAACGTGCACAATTCCATCACAAATTCCAATCCGAATGGACGCACGTCTGAGAAGACGTCTACAGAGGATATAGAACGATGAGATCGGTTGGCGTGCAGGATCATTGCATTGCAGCATAGAAATGGGGAGGTCTCCATCCAGCAGTGGATTGATTATGGCTGATGATGATGAATTCCATAACTCACGTGCACTGGACTCCAGTTGCTAGGTGCTGGCAGGTGCCACCGTTTTTGCAGTAGTTGGTGTCGCTGCACGGGGACTTGCAGATGACTCCCTGTGCGCTGTCGAGGGTTACAACGTAGCCTTTGAAGACTGTGTCGCAGCTGTAGTAGTTGAGGAGGACGTCTCTGGGAACTGGGGCAAAGGAAAGGTGGGAGGGACAGGTTAATTTGGGGGGACGTGTTGGCTGCACTCATGATGAGTATTGAAACACAACTTTGCATTCATGTTTGTAAATACAGACTCTCTAAATTGTATGCTGTGTTCGTTAAGGAAATGGCATGCCCCGTCCAGTACACGAAGGTCCATTCATTTCGGTAAATACAGATGTTTCTAAAAATCAGATTTGTTTTAACTTTTTTAGGTGTTTTCTTGAAAACTAAAAAAATATGTATCTTCCAAGAACAGTTTCTTTAGATGTTCTGAGTTCCTTATGATTATGAATATTTATGATGATTCTTTATGATTATGATTTCTTTATGATTATGATTCTTTATGATTATGATTCTTTATGATTAAGATTATGATTCATAGGCCTTGCGATGATCTGACCAAATTTGTGTTGTTGCGACTTCTGCCACCTGATATAACCAAACAATATTAGATTGTCATGTGTACAAGAATTCAACGTTCCGTTTCGTTGTGTTTCAGCTCACCAACCGCTAAGTTGGAGAACAATCTTCATAACCTAATTTAGAAACTAGACAGGACGTTTCATTTGAGAATGCATCAAACATCCTCACGAAAAAATCCAGGAAGTCAATACAAATCCAGGATGTCAGACTATTTTCGAACTCTATTCCAACTTCCTGAATATATTCTCAAGCAAACGTCATATCTAATCGCTAAATATGGTTTTGAGAATTATTCTCTCAACTTAACGGTGAGTGAGAGAGCTCTCTCACTCCAGCACTGTCCTACCAGACAGTCTCGCCCCCTTCACCTGATGAAGGCCGCTTGTGTTGTGGCCGAGACGTCGTGAGAATATTATTGTGTTATTTTATTTGATCAATTTATTATTTTATTCTCATTCTACGTGACTTTACCGAAAGAACCAAAGAAGATGAATCATTGCAGTCACGAAAGCTTTAAATCGAAATTTAACGGTGAGCCATTTGATTCTGGTTGTCTATTTCAGGTGGTGGAGGGTCTTAACGATGCAAATGTGGCTGGTTCATTTCGTTGCCCAACTCACAAATCCACTGTGAATCGTAACATTTCGATTTAAAGCTTTCGTGACTGCAATGATTCATCTTCTTTGGTTCTTTCGGTAAAGTCATGTAGAATGAGAATAAAATAATACATTGATAAAATTATTATTTTATTTTATCAATTTATTATTTTATTCTCATTCTACGTGACTTTACCGAAAGAACCAAAGAAGATGAATCGTAACATTGGCTGTGAAAGCCGATGTGTTTCTTAACACTGTTGTTGCTAAGTCAGCGTTTGCATTTTTCATGAATATCAACGTCACAACAGCTCTACTCACCGATTGATTCCACTGTAAGATTTTTCAGGTGGATGGGTTCCAGTACTCTATTTTTGCTAAACGAACCATTAATGCGTTGCTCGAGTGTGCCGTTGTAGATGGTTAACACATTTGCTTGGGACGTATATTTGAAACTGGCTATGACCACGGTTGTCAGCTGCGAGCCACTGGTTCCACTGGTGTAGACAAAAACACAACGCTGCAGTCAGTTTCACACGCACAGCGGAACAACAAGAATAATAATAGTAACTGAGTTCATGTGGTGGCTGCGCCATTCTTATAGTGCAAGGCTATCCATGGAGGAAGGCGCTCCATTTCACAGTCTGCAGCAGTTTCACGATATGGGGCAATGTTGCGATGTGTTATCGCAATTGAGTAATTTTTCAGCATCGGGATGTTTCGGCTTTGAAAACTCGGATGAAATCCATGCAGAACCAGAAGTAAATAAACGAGCCGTTTAAAGAGTTAAATCATCAACTTATTTTAAGCTCGCCCTCAGGACAGGAAGTAAAACATCATACTCATAGTATTTGCTTTAAGCACTTACCTAAAGCCTGCGAGAGCTGTGCTGTCATAAATCTCAATCACACTCAATTTGTCTGCAACCTGCAGAAAGAAAGGTTTACTTACTCGCCACATTTCTTTTGATCAGCAATAATTCAAATATAGATGACAAGTGATATTTAAATAATATATTTCTTTCGTCATGGACACAGCTGTTATTTGGGAAACATCTCCATCATACTATTGACAAATATTTACTTTGCTCAAATATATATTTTGCAATTCGCTATGACATTTCACTTGAAACTCTGCCAAGCATCTTCAGGACAGGATAATTGCTAAATAGTGCATTTCATTCCTGAAGGTAGCAATGTGTAAACATGCAAGGTGGGCCTGGTGGTTTGTGTGCGTGTGTGCTCCGTGTGGCCATATCATGGGGCAAGGCAGGGTTGACCCTATTGGGGCTGCCATACCTCAACATTCTGAGGAAGCAGTTCCCCCCTGTGACACTTCACTCTGAGTCAATTGAGCGACATATTTAATCAGTCGCTTAACGTTGTGTGGAAGCTACTTGGCCTGTCACTCCGAGTGAAGCTCCAGGGTCTTCTCATCCAAAGTTATGCCCTCAGTTCTCTATGCTTGTGAAACGTGAAGCCCTTTAAAGGAACATCTGTGCCAGTTTAAAACATTCAGGCTGACCTGCCTAAAGTCGATCCTGGGTTTAACCAGACTTGATTGTGTGATCCATAATAGAGATTGTTTTGGGTTAATTGTGTTGATTGTGTGAGCAGCTTACAGATCATTGAAGATCTGGATGCAGTCTCATCATTAAAGCTAAATTCCATAAGTGCACATTGTTCTGTGTTCAATCTGGAGGACATTGGCTCGAGCCAATGTCCTCCAGATTGAACACAGAACACATTCAGAACTAAGCTACAGAAACATAGACATAGACTTCATAGACTACACAGAAATATACTCACAGCCTTGGTGTGGTTCTTGGCATACACTGTGTAGTCATCACTTGTGGTATCATTTAACTCATTCCTGTAATTTTCATTTAAGAATTCTAATACCAGCCGGTATTTCGCTTTCAGATCTGCAGGCAAGAGGAGGAGATTAACTTTGGCAACGTGTTCGTGTTCATCCAGAGCACACCGAACCCCACTGCTTGTGACCTCATCACGAGCGTGCATGCATCGGCAGCACAAGCACTGGCTCATTTGATAGGAAAATTTGGAGTGATTTTTTTCTACAATTACCATTGAGGCATTGTTGTTCATCTCCTGTTTAGAACCCTGCAGAGGCAGTGGAGGAAATTCCACATTCCTATAGCAGAAGTGAGTCTATCCATAACACAACTGCTGTTCACTTGTCTGTAAATTGGTACTTATTTTAGTCACCCCAGAGGGATGATAGACCGATTCAATACCCAGCCAGGAATTTTAACTCAAAACTTTCCCAGTGTGGTAAAATAATTTGGGTTGCTGTCTTTGTGGCGCAGTGTGCTAACTACTGCACCACAGATTGTGCCACGCGGTTCACTCCATTAGGCTGGATGCGACATTTGCACAGGATCACACAGACCAGCGGTCCCCAACCTTTTCGGCATCAGGGACCGTTTTCGTGGAAGACAATTTTTTCACGGACCGGGAGGGGGGGGGGGGGTCATCATTGGGTCTTTCCCCCTTTTCAAAGAAGCTCTCCAGCGACGTGTGTTTTTTACTCATATTGGCTAGGATCAGCTTGTGGGCTTACCAAAACTGTGACTGAGACAAGTGCGCAGTGCGGGAAAGAGGCGCGGACGGAAGTGGTAAATAATAAAATAATGGGCGGGCCACGCGCAGACTAAAATAAGTGTCGGATTCTGACTTCTCATAAGGAGCGCGCAACCTAGATCCCTCGCATGCGCAGTTTACAGGAGGGTTCGCGCTCCTATGAGAATCTAATGCCGCCGCTGATCTGACAGGAGGCAGAGCTCAGACGGTAATGCGAGCGATGGGGAGAGGCTGTCAAAACAGATGATGAAGCTTCACTCGCTCGCCCACCGCGCACCTCCTGCTGTGCGGCCCAGTTCTTAACAGGCCGCGGAGCGGTACCGGTCCGCGGCCCGGGGGTTGGGGACCCCTGACATAGACCGTAACTAGTCGATCCTCCTGGGTACCATTCATAGCACGTATCATGAGAACAAGAATCGGTATAAATGGCTGAATCGTACATGCCCAGCGCAGATTGCTTTCTGCCCACGTGCGGTGTACAGAGTGCGCACGGTCACCTGTGTTTCTTAACGTGGCCTGAATGATCTCCTTGCCGTTCTGGCAGTTGTCTCCCTTGTAGCTGTCTCCACAAGAGCACTGCTGCTTGCACGTGGCTGTGTTGATGCTGCACGTGCCGTTGTTATCGCAGTAGCTCTGAGGGCAGCTCAGGCCGGGGCACGGTGACTCTGTACAGTCACTACCTGCTCCACACAAACAAAACACACGTGGATTGAAATTGCAAACAGACTCAACATTTATATGTTGTTGCAAAATCACATCAACAGCGCTTCATAATTTATGTTCTCTTTTTACGAAAGTCGCCGTCTGGAACTTCTTCATCAGTGAACAATGACGCCCCCCCCCCTTTCTCTTTCTGCATTTACGTCTCTCCTCAAACCCTCTTTCTAACTCCGAGAAGTCACACTCCCTTAATTTCTTCCTGTTTTTGAGTGAATGGCTGAGTGAGCGAGTGGGTGGATGAGTGACTAGGTGGGCGAGTAAGTGGATTTGTGAGTGAGCAAGTGGGTGGATGAGCGAGTGGGAGGGTGAGTAAGTGGATTCGTGAGTGGGTGAGCGAGCGAGTGGGTAGATAAGTGAGCGGGTGAATAAGTAAGTGGATTAGTGAGTGGGTGAGCGAGTGAGTGGGTGGGTGAGTAGATTTGTGAGTGGGTGAGTGAGCGAGTGAGTGGATTCGCGAGTGGGTGAGCGAATGAGTGGATGAGTAAGTGGGTGGGTGAGTGGATTAATGAGTGGGTGAGCAAGCCACTTTCTTCCCTTGCTCGCTCCCTCCCATTGTCTTCCGATCTCCCTGTGCGACTGTGTTCTCCGAGACTCCTGTTACCTTGTGGATGCACTACAATTATAAGTTGCTGTTGTTGTTGTTAGGACTCACTGATATGATTTTGCTGCAATTGCGCACTCGTAATGACCTGTCTAATAAGAGTTGCGCATTTTTTGAATGTACGATTCAAGATATCAATGCATGGGCCTGACCTGATGTGCCCAGCTTGCAGGTGCACAGGAAACCGCCGAGCGTGTTCATGCAGTTTTGGCTGCTCGTGCAGACATTTGGGTTCTCCACACACTCGTCCACGTCCATGCACAGGTAGCCCCTGTAGCCGGGCAAGCAGGTGCAGGTGAAGGAGCCCGGGCTGTTGGTGCAGTTTCCGCCTCCGCCACAAGGCGAAGCGCCGTCGCACTCGTCAACGTCTGGCACAATGAGAAGAGGAAAGACGCGAGGGCCACGTTCGAGCAGACCATACCCCTACATCCCACGCATGTGTCTCCGCATCAACAAAAATAAGGTGTTTTTACACATGCCATCTGCCACACAGCCTTCTGGGAGTGCACACATGTTGTTATGTTTATTTTATGGTGTGTCAAACGTCCAAATTGCACCTCAAAATGTTGAACGTTGAGAGCAACATTTTAACATCATTTGACAGAAAAGAGCGCCACACACATTCAGAACTGTTTTTTTGTGTTTAGTTGTCCCTCCCCCGCACCTCCAATTAGCACGGTTGGCTACGTACGGTGCTAAAGAAGTTCAACATACGGTCCAGGGTAGGCGGTGAACACGCCACGAACAAAAGAAAACGCCAGAGATACAACTCAAACACGATCCAGGGTACGCGATCAGCATGGCGCGAAGCAGGTGGGGTGAAAGTAAACACGTGAACTCGCGACATCAGAGAGAGTCCGGGGAACGAACACCCAGGTGTCTAAATCAGCTCCCCTGCAGGATCCTTTCACCGGCTCAGAGCGCCCTAATGCAGTCCTGAGAACTTATTCACAAGGCCGACGTGATGTTGCTTACCCAAACAGGACCTCCCGTTGCCACTGTACCCGACAGGACAAGGTCCGCACGTGAAGTTCAGCGATGGCGCGGGCAGGTCCGTGCAGGTCACCCCGGTGAAACACGGGCTCTCCCCGCAGGCGTCGTAGTCCTGGTCACAGTAGGTTCCAGCGTAGCCGCTCGAGCACAGGCAGCTCGCAACCTACACCCACGGGCGCACGGAGAGGCCACATCCCATGGGAACATGTTGATATACCACGGACGTGTAAGGGCAGGTTGGAAATGGGAGAATGCTTTTTCCATCGTTTCAGTTGTCTGTCTGCCTCCTCTCGGAAATGTTTATGTGGTTTCTCATTTTTATGTAATTGTATTTGTTTCTATTCATTAAAATATTTCACCTGGATAATCATCACTTGGGTTTGAACATCTCATTCGCAAGGCCATCCCAGGTATCGATTGCCCCATACACAGCACACGCGTAACAACGCGAGTACACACACATATTCTAAATCTAGCACGCATGAGAATATCAACACCCATCCTCGAGGTCCTATGGCACCTGAAACGATGGCGAGTCGTTGGAGTTGCTGAGCTGCGGCTGCGAGAAGTTGCAAGCGGCGTTCCGGTTGCAGTTGCACACGGTGAGCGAGAGCGCCACCCGCGATGAATTCCCTCCGTCCGAGGCCACCAGCCACACCAACGCCTCCCGCGTGGAGCTGGGCCGCCACCCCACCGAGCCGTTGGCTGGGGGAGGGCGACCGCACGTGGAGGGTGAGAGTGGTCAGGGCGATCGTTTAGCTGTCTGTCCCTCACGCACGGCAGCGGCAGGGTTCTGATTGCAGCACGCATGCACTGGCAATTGTGCCCATGTAGGGCTTCCTTTAAATTAATATATGAAAACCTATTTACACGATGTATAGACACTGATAGATATATGTCAGTTTCAATTTCACGACTGCTCCAGCTGCAAAGAAGACATCTACATCAACAAGTAATCTCATTAACCACGGCCATTCCATTGCCGGATGAAGGCCTTCACCTGCCATTGCCATCTCACACAGCTCTGCAATGCCACAATCTAACTCACGACTGCGCTTGCACTGATCTCATTGCTCCATCTCCGTGGTGCTCTCTTTCTCACGTCCATCACCAGTCTTATCTCTTGGCCATCGTCCCTCCTAGCCATGATGGGTCCTGCTCAACCCACTTATTTTCCTGAACATTTAATATGATGTATTTAATTTTTATTTGGCTCCTGATCCGTGTGATCCACTTCCTGTCTCTCAGTGTAATCCCGAACATATACCCCTCCGCACGCATTTATGCAACTTTCAGCTTTTCGTTCCATTTTCTTAGTCAGTTTTCATCTTTTTGATTCATATGTCATAGCCGGTAACAGGCAATGGTGATTACACGAATGAAGACATGCATCATGGCTGGGAAGCAGTTACCCAGAGTACAGTTCCGACTCTTCCTGCCACGAAGGTTTGTCGAACACACGGTGGATAAACGTTTTATGACAATGATATATTTACCGTAAATTGTGAAGTCTGAAGAGTTCGGAGTGATCGTCAGGGTGATGGGGTCTGACTCGGGATCCACGACCGTGATCTGTAGAATCGTCGACTCATTCAACCGCGCTTTAACCTCGGTACTTCCGTTGATAGTTGGCGGCTTGTTGCCTGTTAGTAGAGGATGCAACGCATGTCTGATGTACGAAATCATACATTTTAACTTCAGTGCAACATATTTGATCGAGTTTGAACGTTTGACAGTGAGAGTGTTGTATCCAGAATGGACTGTATAAATAAGTGCAATTAAAGTGTTTATCAGTATAAATGTAAAGGGTGCTCCATCAAAAACAAATCGCTGTCACCAAATCACAAGGCCACTGATGGATTGTGCTGTTTTCATCGATAGCTGCCCTCGTGCTCACGTTGTCCTGCAGGATTCCCTGTCAGTTGCGAGTACTGCAGCCGTACCTGGGAGGCCCGGCTTGGGGTTGCAGCTGTAATTCCCTTCTTGGTTAAGGCAGTTTTCGGTGGCGTTGTTGCAGATGGACTTGTTCTCTGCACACTCGTCGATGTCCCGGCAGATGGGAGGGTCTCTGTAACCGGGGAAGCAGCTGCAGCTGAAGGATCCTGGGCTGTTGCTGCAGTTTCCATGACCGCCGCAAGGGGACATGACGTTGCACTCATCAATGTCTGGCGAAATACATAGAGAAAAGATCCGGGGTCACATTCGGTTACTTAAAGATCCAACACCGCTCCTGCACATTCGTGGATATCAGAGGCCAGGCCACAAGGGACTTCTCTGCCGACTTACCAAGACACTTCTCCCCATCCCCAGTGTAGCCCGCAGGGCAGGGACCACATTTGTAGCCCAGAGACGGAGGGGGCAGGTCTGTGCAGTTGATGCCCGGGTAGCACGGGTTGGTCACACAGGCGTCCACGTCCATTTCACAGAACTGCCCTGTGTAGCCGTCCGAGCAGTTGCAGCCGGCGACCTGACATGTCGACCAGAAGGAGCAAGCGTGACAGCAGAACGTGTGGCCTCAGTAACAGGGCTGTGTGCACCTCCAAAAAAACCCACAAAGTTGATTCACATACACACACTGCTTATTGTATTAAGATTGATTAATGGTATGCTATTTGTGTTTGTCTTTGACTGAAAATTCCAAAGTACTGTAATTGCCAAATACTATAATCAAGAATCGAACTAAGTGGTTTCAACAGCGATAGTTTATGTAACTAACAAGTCACTGCTTGTCGTAACTCAATCAGACAAAGCTGACTGCTGTAAAATATACTACTCCTCACTTGGAAGGTGGACTGGTTGTGTTGCACGCTGTACAGTGGCTCCGAGTAGAGGCAGGTGCTTTTGGCGCTGCAGTTGCACAGCGTGAGGCTGAGCGCCATCAGTGTCGGGGCCAGGCCGCCATCCGTGGCCACGACCCTAGCGAACACCTCCTTGGACGAGGTGGGCCGCCACGTCACCAAGCCATCGTCTGGCGAGACACACGACGATCAAGGTAAGATAAGGATGATCACAGTCATAATTAGTATGCGTTTATCCAGGTAAGCCACGCTGAGTCCGAATACTCTTTTTCAGGAGGGTGCATCTATATTTCAACAATTTGGCAAACCACCAAAAAATATCCAAATCTGTAAATGACGAAAAACCTCATGACGGAAAAATGTGCGCAAGCCGGGAAATAAACAGACGTAACAACACGCAAAGGTGTGCATTGAATGTAAAGAAGCTCTCAGCTCAATGCACGGTATGGTGATTCCTGAGAGGAAATGAGAGAAACCAGAGAAACTGCAGAACAGGGGGCGAGAACACGGGCTCGAGTCAGGAACTGAACCCAGGCCCTTGTTGTGAGGCACAAGTGTCACCACTCCGCCATCGTGGGAGTCGTGATCAACAGCATCGTTGGTGGATTCAATAGCATTTGTTTATTTTCCCACGATTTCACAATCGCCATTTGTGGAACCACGAGCAAGCAGCTGCCAAGACCAGATTTGTGCCCGTGGGATATAATTTCTGAGTGATAATTGCAATATCGAATTCCACCATAGACTTTGTTTAACCACGTTTTGAAACGTCACAACTCTTTTGCAAGGGTGACATGAGGATAACAAAGACATCTTTCTTGTCTGAGACTTGGTCATTGCCACATGTCGTGCAAACACATTGTGTAAACGTCATATAAGATTACATGTGCAAATTCACATGCAAATACTCTGGGCTATTAATTCCACGTGCTTGAGATGTCACCCACCCTTAATAAGAGCTGCTGCTTTAGGGTGTAATGTAAAAAAACCTGTTTGTGTGTGTTTTTCATACTTGAAATATTTAGATCTGGAGACGTTGGGGTAATACTGATGTTGACATTATCCCCGTTTGGGTCTGTGACGGCCAATTGTACACTGCTGGCCTCGTTCAAACGCGTTTGGATGATGTTGCGTCCCGTGATATTGGGTGGCGAGTTGCCTGTTGAGAGAATCAATGCCATCGTAAGACAAATGCGATTTAAATTGTTGTTGCTGGCAAACACAATGTTGCATATGAAGCCAACGAGTTTATCTCAAGACACTTTAACGTTAAAACAATGTCAATGCTATGGTGGTTGGGCACTTACTGATGATTTTGTTTTCGCTCATAAAAGTATCCGAGGCTTGTACAGTTGCTTTGCCGAAATCTAGGTCGCCGGTACTTAGAACGTCGAATATGCAGTCCTGGTTGCCTTTGCAGGTGCTTGTTATTGTGTCGAGGTTTTTGCTCTCGCTGAGAAGCTGCTCGTAGAAGGTTGGAACAAAGTTGTTGTTGTTGAAGATGTCCCAGCTTTCTCCACTTCCATACTGAAACAGGGAGCTGCTTGAAGTCACTTTCCCTGAGGAAACGAACGTCAGGTGCTGATTAAAGTTGACCAGACAGATGCTTGCATTGACTAATGTGGTGTGAATCTGGAGAGATGTAGCGAATTAAATTGCCACAGGCCAGGTGGCTCGCAATTGGAAGGTTGCGAGATCAAGTTCTAGTCAGGGGCTAACTTCGCCCGAGTACGACTTGTGGGGAAGTAAAAAGTGGTTGTCCTATGGACAGATTCACCCCATTATAGAAATGTGGAATTTGCACCCCTGGTTCAGTTATGTTATCAGGAGGTGAGCAACCCCCTACATGCTCATTTGAGCAGCAAATCACTTTGACTTACTGGGACAGGCATGGATATATATATACAGGCAGTCTCTAGTTACAACTTTTATACAGTGCCACCCTGAGTTGATTTACGATGCATCATCGACACAACTCTGAACAAATTCGAATGGAGTCAATCTGGTTTCCAATGTGACTCGGCGTGGAGTGTTTTGTGTATTTTTACCGATTAAACCCTTTTAAATATTGCTGATAAAAGAAAAAAACACGTCGGCAAGTGATGGTTCTACTGTTTCAACTGTCTATGAGAAAATAAGGGTCCGATATATGAAGGGGTTTCTCGTAACGCATTGTAAGCGGAGACTGCCTTTATATAATTTCTCGAATAATCGTGTGAACATGCGTCTGAAGATCCCGAAACCGCAGACGGACTTACACGTTGATCCAAACTCGTAAAATATCCTGGATTCTGAAGGAAGAGTGGTTCCATCGAAGGGCAGGATGGTTCCGTTGGAAGCCTGGAAGTCATCTGTCTTGTTTCCGTTGAACACTCCTAAAACGTTTCACGCGGCAAGGAGGGGGATGTTGGATTGTCACGCGGCTTGCCGAGGCCTTTCTCAACGCAGCATCCTCGCTGTCATCGCGACGGCCTTCCTCACCGAGCAGCCCTGTCGTCCTGTCGCGCATGGTCTCCGGCAGGGAGATGAGGAACTGCAGGGCTCCTACCGTGGCCGTGACCGTCACGGACGCGCCCGACGAGAACGAGGCCAGGAGGCTCCCATTGGTCGCCATCAACGTGGTCCCGTTTATCGTTGTGAGATTCCCTACGGGGTAGAAACATTGACACCGTTGTGTAACAGCACTTGATCAGGCTATACGGGAGATTTCTGTCTTAGTATATCTATAAACAATTTTGACAGATGTTTGCACAGTACCTGGTGTAAAACATCGATACGAGGGAGACAAAGGCAGCCGGGCTTGGTGTTCTGCCGTTGGCTAATTGCTTTGCTACAGGAAAAGTGATTCGATGGAAACTCACCTTTCACGTTGAAGACAACGCCATTCAGGTAAAGGGAAGTCGTGTTGTCCACATTCAACTTCCATTCAACCTGTTGATTAAAAGGAAGCTGGTTGTCAAGCTGAGACTTGTCCTGACACCGTAAAGCATGCGGATTGGCATCTCACGTAAGGATCAGGCTTCGCAGTGACACGGGTGCTCAATGTAGCGATTTGCACAATGGCTTTCTTTCGGCAACGCAGTCCGGGGTTTGCTGCAGCTGTCGCCATGGTGAACAATGCTGAAGGGCATTTTATATCTTGCTAAATTTGGCGGGGGCAAGGAAGCAATAATAATAATGAAGAGCATTATTATTATTGCTATTTAAAATCATTGAAATTATTATTATTAGGGCTAAATAAAGGAATATAAACCTCACGGACCTGTGTTTGATACCCAGTCACGGCGAATAGCAGTGACCAGTGAGATCTGAACCAGTCCTGGGCACTGACCAGTATGGTGAAGTATGGTCATAAAATCAACATAGCTTGGAGATGCTTTCATCCAGCAGTGGATGGATGAAGGTATCTGTAAACTATTATATATAACAATAATTATGCAGACTTGATTCGAAGCTTTCGTGACTGCAGGAATTACTCTTAGGTTTTTTCAGTAAAGTCACGTACGCTATTATGTTATTTTATTATATCTTATTTATATGTGACTTTACCGAAAAAACTCAGAGAGTAATAATTATGCACTTTATAAAGCTTGTAATATTTTACAGACACAATTGACTGTGATTGTGAGGTGCAGAGCTGTTGGGGTAGGCTCTGGTTTTAGGTGCAGGTAGAGATCCACAAGTTAGCCCAAGACGCAACATTTTGAAAGATCTCAATTTTAGTGAAAAACTTTTATCCTGTAGAAATCACTTTTATCCTAAAGAAATAAATATCGTGTGGCATTGGGCGACGTCTCTCTTGTTAGCACGAGGACTTGTTGCATGAGTACACGCACAATCTGAAAAGAGATACTAAATTATCCTCAATCTGAATATCAGAATGCTTAAATCTGCAACGCTACCCTACAGTGGATATTGTGGAAGCAGCAGGGGCAGAAAAATCTACTTTTGTTCAACTCACCATCGGAGCACGGGCCCACAGGCCCAAAACATTAAGCGGCCAGAAACAAACAGCCCCAGCAAAGTTGTAATAGAAAAGACTGAACACGCTTCTTCAACTGAGCAAGATGATACAAATTGTTTTTGGGAAATGAGAACAATGGGAGGCATTCCAAAGTGGAGCAGTGCGATGGAAGAAGCAGGAAGAGAAGAGTTGTGACCTGCAGTGTGGTGAGGGGGTGACTGAGGGGGTGAGCGAGTGGTTGAGTGAGTGCGTGTGTGAATGTGTGTGTGAGGAGTAGTGGTGCGTTGTTTAACGCACTGCACTACGAACCCAGCGACTCGAGTAATATTCCTGCTCATGGTCAACAACGGTGACAATGATCTGAAACGGTCCTGGGGCTCCCCTAGGTCGACTCAGCCTCAAATAAGTAGTAAACATCAGCAAAAAGGTAGCTGGCCACCCACCGCCTCGTGTGCTGTGCCGGCCTTCATAGGTGCTCGGTAATGGCACTTGCCCCGACAATCTGAGAAGGCTATACGGGGGATGTTTGTCTTTGCAGGTGAGTGAGTTATAGAATTGAGTGGGTGGGTGCGTGATTGGTGGTTGGGCACAATGTGGCCCATGAAGAGCAGGCACGACTGGCTTCAGCTGAGCCAAGTCAGCCAGCCAATTGTGCTGTTCTCACATTTCAACATGGAAAAAAATGCCTTTGTCAAATTTTTGTTTGTAAAAAAACCCCCAACAAGTTTGTCGAGTTGCTGAGGTGGCGAAAATTCCTCAACGTGGGTGAACGAGCACGCACGAGCACTCCGCTCGGCGCTCACCACGGGGCTGCCCAACTGCCACGCCACCAGCGCCACGAAGCTCGTGGCCATGGACGTGTGGTTGAAGCCGGCGCGCTGCGTGCGCCCCTGGATCCTGAACTTGGTCCCGTTTCCATTGTCGGCGATGAGCAGATCGTACTCGCCCAGTCCGTTGAACGTGTAGCCCAAGCCATCCATGGTCGTGATGTGCGGGTCGCCGTACATCCAGCCTTCGCAGCGGCACGTGCGAGTGTTCACATGAAACGGGCATTGAGCAGCAAGTCCAAAAACAAAGGTAATGGTGCAGCCCTGCCATTACTCGCTCACGCCACTGCTGGCAGAATGGCATTCCACTACTCCCTAAAGGTGTATTAGTGTTTAGCTTGCAACAAATTACATTCAAATTATTTCAAGAATCAATTCTTAGACGCATTATATCAGGCATGCACCATGACCACAATAATCAAATTTAACTGATAAAATTACAGGCTTTCTAGGCACAGCTGCAAATTCACTGAGATAATATAGGGGCTGAATTCACCTCCCTTACAAATGTATCCATCCCACAAAAATATCTATTTTTACACATCCCATCAGCAGCATGGCCTTCTGCTAGTGCATACATTTTGGCAACATTGGTTCAATACAAGGAAAACTCTGGCCCGGTCTCGACACCCAATGTCTTATCAGCAGAGCCAGGTTCAGCCCAAACCAGTGAAGGTGAACTTCCCATACGGGAAGGACTGTGTCTCTTAATATGCGGTCCTAGCTCAACGCAAAACTACACAACACAAATAAAATAAAAATGACACGAAAAGACCGCAAGCCTCCCTCACGCACAGCTGGTCCCACACAAAAATAATTCGAGTGTATTTCACATCCCGTTAGCCACACGGCCGGCTGCTTTTGCAGCACTCACCAAACCGGGGGGGCCTGTACCCCCAGCAGGAGTCGGCAGGCCGCTTCTCGTAGTAGAGCGAGCAGTAGGAGCTGTCTCCCGAGTCCACGCAGCAGTCGGTATATGGCTGCACCTCCTGGACTGATGCGCAGCAGTGAACAACGTTCGGCTGAATGTGCCGGCTCACAGAATCGTTAAGTGAACACAGAAAAACATAAACGCTATACGTTTCTGTGCATTAGTTGCGAGATTATAAAATATATGAATCATCGCCATCAGCCACGGTAAGTCTGCTTCTTGATAAACACCTCCCCAAGCTGCCACCACCGGTAGCTGATTCACTCCATTCACTCGTTCAAGGGCGGTCAGTGGCATAATCATCACTCTTCTATTGCTACTACGATGGTTCCTGTTTGGGTCTGTAAACCTCACTCATTGATTCCTTAACCCATGTTGGGGACTCGGTCTACCATACTGTTTTACCTCAAGTGCTCCGTGTTCAACCACCACTCACCCACCCACCCAACGACCACACTTAAGGTCACAACTAATTCACTCATCCACCCACTCCATCACTCACCCACTCACTCACCCACCCAACTACCACACTTCACACAGACGCACTTTGGATATCCCTCCCATCATCTCTTTTCCCAAGTCCTCATAATTATCATGCTGAATTCAAGAAACATTCTAACCATTGCCTATCACAACCTTGCTAGTTCCATCTGTCGGTGGCCACTTGCCACTTTGTTCCCTCGGCGCTGCGCTCAGTGGCTGCGTTAAAAGTGAAGTTTACGTTTTGATTTAAAGCTTTCGTGACTGCAGGGATTCATGTTCTTGGTCCCTTCTATGTGACTTTACCGAAAGAACCAAGAATAGAGAAGCTTACGTTTGTATGTGTTTGCTTCGCGCGGCAGCCACTGCGTAAAGTACACATTGTAGTAGTAGTAGAACAAGTTGTAGTCGGAGAACCACCAGGGGTTGTTGGGCGGGTTCCAGGGCGTTGGCAGCAAGCGCTCGTGCTGGCCCGTGATGAGGGAGCCTCGCCAGTCGTAGTAACAGCGCACGCCCGATCCGTCAGGGTTCTGCCACACGCTCTGCAGCGTGTACGCCATGCCTGACGAGGGGAAAGCACGGCGGTTCACCGGACGACCTCACCAAATCATCTCAAGGCCAACGGATCACCCGTGCCATCTCAAACGCCTATCAGATGGCTTCCCCTGTTTCACGACGTCGGTTGTGGGAGTTGCTCCGGCGTCCTGAACCACGCCGGTGAGTGTGGGTTGGTGAGGGGTCTGGGGATGCCAGCTATCACTCAACAACTGATGTTAGCCATGGCTGGCAATCAAACACAGGTCGCCAGGTTCGTAGCACAGTGCGCTCACTCGTACAATCGCAGCTGTACCCCAGTTATACAATGATAGATTGGGGAAGCGGAGGGCAGAAAAGGCGCTTTAAGGACGTCCTCAAGGCCAATGTGAAGAAGTGCAACAATGACACTGGCTCGTGAGAGAATACTGCCCAGGATCTCAGCAAATCGAAACTCTTAAGACGACAACAGGAGGAGGAGAAACGGGTGCTGCAGGCGCAACAGTAGCGCGTCGCAGGCCATGCGAGCTGGGGCACCAGCACTGCGATGACAAAGTCTGACGATCGCCAATCTTCAGACCCACAGACACCGATGGAACACTGTCGAAGTCAACACTGAGGGATTGCTGAAGAAGAGACTAGAACAATCAAGCAAAATAAATTAATCGTAAAAATCAGTCTTGATGGAAATGAGGTGAAGATAATTTGACTGCGTTAATTACCATCCAACTGCTTGGTGGGAAAGTTATAGTTTTGAATCAAGTCCCCATTGATGAACGTAGAGTCAAGCCTCCCTTGCCAGTATGAGCAGGGACATGGATTCCAGAACCAAAAGTTACTCTTCTGCTCTGTGTTGACCCAGCGCAGACAATCCCGCTTGCTGTTCACGCTAGTGATGCTGTTGGTTTCCAGTCGGTACAACCACGTGCCCATTTGGCCTGCCAGAGGAAAAAGACACAAAGTCATTGTTTTGTGAAAACCGTTTGCATCGGTTGTAGCTGTTTTGTCTTGTCAATAATAACAATTTCACTGTACACGGTGTCATTCATACTAATTACATCCCACAACGCTCTACATTGATTATGTTTCTATCTACGTGGCTTTACCGAAAGACCCAAATAATATTCAACATACTGTAAGTCATGTCCGTTTTACCCGCACCTTGGCGTGACCGGCAGAGCGAGCGGCTCCCAATCACAAGGCCTCGAGCTCCAATCCTGGTTGGGGGTTGACTCGGCCCATCATCCCTTCAAGGTCAATGAAATATATACCAGTTTGTGGGGAAGTCAACAGTGGCTGTCCTGCTTATCGACTGGTCCCTGCCATAGGAATGTGGTATTTCCATCGCTGGCTCAGGGCTCTGAGCCGGAGAAGAGCCCCGCTATGCTGAATGCTAATTTGAGCCGGGCCACTTTCATATTTGATGAAGCGCGGTGAGCCCAAGGCTCAGCGAGGGTGACCCACCTGTGTTGCCCACCACGCTGTCCGGGCTGTAGCGCACTGCAACACTCTTCGTCATGATCGGGTCGTTGTAGAACACGTTGAATATTCCCCTTGAGTGAGGATCGGTGAGGATGGGTGAGAGATGGGTGAGAGAGAGGTGAGGGAGGGTGAGTTAAACGTAAGATAGATTAATTAATCGGAGGAAGTAGTTGTATAAAGGTGTCAGTTTTGGTGCCAGATAAAAGGGTAAAAACGTATTATTATATCTTGCTACTGGCAAAGGAGGTCTCATAATGTAATCGGAGGAAATCCGTGACGTGAGGAACTCTCCACCGCAACTCCGATTAGCATGGTTCGCTATGTATGGTGCGAAAGAAGTTCAGCCAAACTAATTAATGGTCATCTGAACGAGTGTTGAACAACACGACAATTGATACTCAGCTCACCAGGAAGTTGAAGAACACATTTCAAAAATCAACTTGTATAGCAATTAGATACGTGGTGCTGCACTTTAAACGATATCAAACATCATCAGGACAAGATCGATGAAGTCAAGCGTAACAAAATAGAAAGTCAGATGGCTCTTTAACTTACTCTTTGGTTCTATTGGGTAAAGTCACGTAGGTAAAAAAATAAAATAAAAAATCTAGAATCGGCTCTTTAACTTACCCACAGTGAGCTGAAACAACAACAATTGGTGAGGTAAATACACGAGACTATTAATTAGTTTGTCGGTCAAGTGGCGGAGGGTGTTAACAATACACATTTGGCCCGTTCACTACGGAGCCTAACCGAAAACCAGCTATGATTTAAAACGGTATCTTTGTGCCCGGACAAAAACACCGGAAAAATTCAGCAGAGAGGAAGCTCAGCTGAGAGGAAAGTGCAACCCAAAAAGTTATTGTCTACGTGATAACATCTCGGGATAACAAAATGAGGCACTCCGGCCTCTTTAAACATTCATGTACATGCTATGAGGAAGGGTCAATGCCCATCGCATCACTTTGCCTTTGAACGGTGCACTATGGATGAGTGTGTGGAGTTGGTGTTTTTTGTGCGCCACTGCCAAGGCACCAGTGACAAATAATTTGTTTCATTTCATGAGGAGGTTCAACTGCGGCAAGCAGATGGTCGTCAACGGCAGTGGGAATTTGACCCCATTGTGACGTGGTGAGGTACGCACGCAAAACAACAATGATAGTCGTCGTCGTCGTGAGTGTCATAGTGTCCAGCCCCCACGCTGCTGAGCCCGTCTGTGTTGCGTGCATCGGGACAGCAGCAGTGGTGGCAGCCGTCGCTTGTTGCTGCACGCAGTTCGCTATGTCGAACGAGATGACCGTGGCACGCACGGTAGGCCCGTTTGCACTACTCACGTGTGGTAACCCATGACAACCTTGTTCAGGTTCGGGTCCCTGTTCAGCGGTTGCCACTTCATGCTGTTGTGCTGGAAGATGCTTAGGCAGAAAGAGAACACTCCATCTGTTGCAAGAATGGCCTGAAACGTGTTGGTCTGTGGGGTGGGTGAAGACAAACATAACACAACATGAAACAAAAATGCCTTTCTAACACAGAACACAGAACACACTGATACGCAACATGAAACGAATGCCTGACTAACACTGCGTTGACAAGGGGCGTGGACACGTGATCCCGGTGTGCATTGTGGTTTCATAGTCTGCGGAGGGGGGCATGGGGGGCAGGGAGCACGGGGATCCAGTGGCCTTGGTTGGGGGTCTACCGAACCAACAGTGATAAATCCACTAATCTAGGGGGTGAAAAAATCCGACAGTAATGGTCAGCGCACTGCGCTCTGAGTCAGGCAACCTGAGTTTGATTCCTGCCCCCGGTTGGCATCAGTGGCGGACCGGTCCTATGCACCCCACCTCGCTATCCTGCACTGACCACGATGGTGAGCTGTGGTCAAACAACCGCCATGACTTACACAGCGAGGAGATGCCGTCATCCAGCAGTGGCCTGACAAAGGGCTGAAGATTGTTATTATTATTATTGCGTGCATCTTCCTGTGCTCTGGAAGCATTCTCTCTCTGCCTTCGTATGCACAGCTCAGAACTATGCTGCCAAAGGAACGTTTATTGTTGATGCACTGCATTGAAACGTCACACGTGGAATACCTCTCCAGACCAGCAGCCTCTGTCATGGCCTGTGTTTTACATTCCAGTGACTAAGGCATTATTTTAAAGCAGTTTTTTTCCACTTTTGAGGTTTGTGGGACTATTTAAATATTAAGTTCACGTTTAAATTGACAGGTGTATCGTATGGAAATGACAACAGAGAACGATAGTGGAATTAGAATTAAAGCAAATAAAACAACCAAATAGTTCAAACTGTATAACTGAAATTTTATTTCGAATTTAATGTATTGATATATGTAATAAATAATAATGAACTTACGACTCTTTTTCAGTACAATTATAAATGAAGGTCTCTCATGCCATGTCAGCCATGGATATTGCTGATCATACTTCACCGTCCTGGTCATTGCAGGTTAGTGGAAGAGGGGCCACAGACCGGTTCAGATATCACTTTCCACTGATGTGAGCCGTGGTCAGGAATCAAACTCAAGCAACCAAGGTTCATAGACCACTGAGCCACCACTCTATCCCAACCAACACTCGATGCCACGTGAAGTTGCACAAATATTTAACTTCACATCGTTACGAATATTGTAAACAATGTAAACAAGCTCATATTACACCTCGCAATAGCCATCTCTCCGCATTAAAAACAAGATAATTTCTGTCCACATTTCACCAGCCACACGGCCTGCAAGTGAATGTTTTTAGCCGCATTGGTTTAAATCGAGAAAACTTTGGACCGGTTTCGACATGTAGTATCTCACCAATGCAGGTGAACTGCAAGATGTTTATAAAAAATAACGTTAATGGATTATTTAGTGAATTGTAAATATAATTATTGTTTCGTGTTAAAAAACAATGTGCTGTGTATATCCAAGGCAAACAAAAGTGCATGCAAAATCAACGATACACTCAAAACAATTTAACCTGCAGTGCTGTAATAGCCATCACAGGAGTGTAACAGCCATCACAGGAGTGTAATAGCCATCACAGGAGTGTAATAGCCATCACAGGAGTGTAACAGCCATCACAAGAGTGTAACAGCCATCACAGGAGAGTAATAGCCATCACAGGAGTGTAATAGCCATCAAAGGAGTGTAACAGCCATCACAGGAGTGTAATAGCCATCACAGGAGTGTAATAGCCATCACAGGAGTGTAATAGCCATCACAGGAGTGTAATAGCCATCACAGGAGTGTAATAGCCATCACAGGAGTGTAATAGCCATCACAGGAGTGTAACAGCCATCACAGGAAAGTAATAGCCATCACAGGAGTGTAATAGCCATCACAAGAGTGTAACAGCCATCACAAGAGTGTAACAGCCATCACAGGAGAGTAATAGCCATCACAGGAGTGTAATAGCCAGCACAGGAGTGTAACAGCCATCACAGGAGTGTAATAGCCATCACAGGAGTGTAATAGTCATCACAGGAGTGTAACAGCCATCACAGGAGTGTAATAGCCATCACAGGAGTGTAATAGTCATCACAGGGGTGTAATAGCCATCACAGGAGTGTAACAGCCATCACAGGAGTGTAACAGCCATCACAGGAGTGTAATAGCCATCACAGGAGTGTAATAGCCATCACAGGAGTGTAATAGTCATCACAGGAGTGTAATAGCCATCACAGGAGTGTAATAGTAATCACAGGAGTGTAATAGCCATCACAGGAGTGTAATAGCCATCACAGGAGTGTAATAGTCATCACAGGAGTGTAATAGCCATCACAGGAGTGTAACAGCCATCACAGGAGTGTAACAGCCATCACAGGAGAGTAATAGCCATCACAGGAGTGTAATAGCCATCACAGGAGTGTAATAGCCATCACAGGAGTGTAATAGTCATCACAGGAGTGTAATAGCCATCACAGGAGTGTAATAGTAATCACAGGAGTGTAATAGCCATCACAGGAGTGTAATAGCCATCACAGGAGTGTAATAGTCATCACAGGAGTGTAATAGCCATCACAGGAGTGTAACAGCCATCACAAGAGTGTAACAGCCATCACAGGAGAGTAATAGCCATCACAGGAGTGTAATAGCCATCACAGGAGTGTAATAGTCATCACAGGAGTGTAATAGCCATCACAGGAGTGTAATAGCAATCACAGGAATGTAATAGTCGTCACAGGAGTGTAATAGCCATCACAGGAGTGTAATAGTCATCACAGGAGTGTAATAGCCATCACAGGAGTGTAACAGTCATCACAAGAGTGTAATAGCCATCACAGGAGTGTAATAGCCATCGCAGGAGTGTAATAGTCATCATAGGAGTGTAATAGTCATCACAGGAGTGTAATAGACATCACAGGAGTGTAATAGCCATCACAGGAGTGTAATAGCCATCACAGGAGTGTAATAGCCATCACAGGAGTGTAATAGTCATCACAGGAGTGTAATAGCCATCACAGGAGTGTAATAGTCATCACAGGAGTGTAATAGCCATCACAGGAGTGTAATAGCCATCACAGGAGTGTAATAGCCATCACAGGAGTGTAATAGTCATCACAGGAGTGTAATAGCCATCACAGGAGTGTAATAGTCATCACAGGAGTGTAATAGCCATCACAGGAGTGTAATAGTCATTACAGGAGTGTAATAGCCATCACAGGAGTGTAACATTAATCACAGGAGTGTAATAGCCATCACAGGAGTGTAATAGCCATCACAGGAGTGTAATAGTCATCACAGGAGTGTAATAGTCATCACAGGAGTGTAATAGCCATCACAGGAGTGTAATAGCCATCACAGGGGTGTAATAGCCATCACAGGAGTGTAATAGTCATCACAGGAGTGTAATAGCCATCACAGGAGTGTAATAGTCATCACAGGAGTGTAATAGTCATCACAGGAGTGTAATAGCCAGCACAGGAGTGTAATAGCCATCACAGGAGTGTAATAGCCATCACAGGAGTGTAATAGTCATCACAGGAGTGTAATAGCCAGCACAGGAGTGTAATAGCCATCACAGGAGTGTAATAGCCATCACAGGAGTGTAATAGTCATCACAGGAGTGTAATAGCCAGCACAAGAGTGTAACAGCCATCACAGGAGTGGAATAGCCATCACCTCCTCCTTTAGGTGGCCTGCTGGGAGATGCTTTACCTGTGGTCCGCTCAGTGCACTCTTGACACACTCATTATCGCAGACACAAAAGTGCAGAGTGTTTCGCGAGGTGTGTACGCACGTGTTGCGGGTTGTCGTTTTCTGTCACGGCCGGCACATTATCCCACGTTACTTTGAGGATCCAGGATGGTTGAAACGCATTTACTGCACTGTAATCGCGCGCGATTACATTTTTCAGTGTTGTCACTATATCCGGCACTAGATTCTGAGAACCGTCTAAGTTGTACTCCTGATGACAGTAACAAAAAAAAACACATATCCGTACACTGTGATTGCTGTAGCAAGAACACTCTAAAGTAATAATGTAATGTACAAAAAAGTGTGTTTACGCAATGCAGGCTTTGTTGTCTGTGAGCTGTGTGGGTGCGTGAGCTTAGCGTGGGCAGCCAAGGTCGCAACTGCAATGCAAGGCATTGTTCCTCTGCCGTACCTGGTAGAAGATATTCCCAATCCCTGCGGACAAGTCTGCGTCGTCCCAAAACACGGCGATTATTGCGTTGGCGCTGTTGCTTTGGAAGCCGCTGGACGGTGGGTTGGGGAAGGGGAACTTTGGAGCATGGCGATTGTCCTGGAATATGAAGGCCCCATTGTCCGTGAACTGTGGATGAGAACGAACTTTGAGCAGCGGACGGCCACAAGTGTGACGCGCTAATGCTAGACCAGACATGGGCAAGGTACGGTCCCCGGGCCGTATACGGCCCATTTGGCTTTTTAATCCGGCCCGCGGAACTTGTCCAAATATTATTAAATTAAATTTTACCTTTCTCCTCTAATGCCCCCATTTCCCCATTAGATGGCGCACTTTGATCGGGAGTGTGGTGTATAGGGCTCGAAAGGGCAGATGATCTCGCAATGCATTGTGGGTCATCAGCGCCATTTTCAGGGTTTGTTTACATTACTGAGTTAGATACGGTGCTCCCTTCACTGTTTCGCTTTGCCCTGTGAGCCCTTCTGTAAAATGAGCGGATCAAGGAAACGAAAAGTGGACAATGAGTGCCGAGTGTTTAACACGGAGTGGACAACAAAATACTTTTTCACTGAAGTTCAATCGAAGGCTGAATGCCTGATATGCCAAGAAACTTTTCAAGGAGTACAACAACAGCTATCACTTTGCTACGAGGCATGCTAACTACGCTAGCAAGCAGTCAACGCAAGAACGGGCGGCTACGGCTCAGAGGTTGGCGGCAATTTACAGACTCAGCAACATTTGTTTCACTGACAAACTGCGATTCAAGAGTCAACTACCAAGGCAAGTTTTTTGGTGGCATTCGAAATAGAAAAGGCTATCAAGCCTTTCTCCGAAGGCGAGTTTGTAAAATAATGCATGTTATAGACAGCAGACATCTTGTGTCCAGAGATCAAAAGCAAATTTGAAAAAGTCAGTTTATCACGCAGGACTGTGACTTGCCATGTGGAACTGATTGATGAAAATATAGCCAGCCAATTAAACAAAAAGTCTGATTCCTTTGAGTTATATTCACTACCACTGGATGAAAGTACGGACGTAAAAGACACTGCTCAGCTCCTCATTTTTATCCGAAGCATTGACGACAGTTTTGCGATAACAGAGGAGTTTTTGACCATGGAGTCCCTGAAAGGAACAACGCGGGGAGAGGACTTGTGTAACCAGGTGTCTGCTGTCATCGAGAGAATGAAGCTGCCTTGGAGTAAACTTGTCAATGTCACAAGGGATGGATCGCCAAATTTAACTGGAAAAAATGTTGGGCTGCTGAAAAGAATCCAGAATAAAGTGAAAGAGCAAAACCCTGACCAGGATCTTATTTTCCTTCACTGCATCATCCATCAGGGATCCCTGTGTAAGTCTGTATTGCAGCTTAATCATGTCGTGAATCCAGCCGTAAAACTTGGTAACTTTATACGAGCAAGGGGACTTCAGCACCGTCAGTTTATTACGTTCCTGGAGGAAACTGATGCAGATTATCAGGACTTGCTGTACCACTCTCGTGTCCGCTGGTTAAGTTTGGGGAAAATGTTACAACGAGTGTGGGAGCTGAAAGAGGACATCATCGCATTTTTGGAGTTGATGACAAATTCCCTGAGCTAAGCGACAAGAACTGGCTTAGTGACTTTGCGTTTGGTGTGGACATATTTTCACACATGAATGAGCTGAATGTGAAACTGCAGGGGAAAGATCAGTTTGTTCACGACATGTACAAACATGTGAAAGCCTTCAAATAGAAGCTCACTTTGTTCTCCAGACAAATTGCGAACAAATCTTTAGCTAATTTCCCCACACTTGCCATGCAGGAAGAGGCACCGCGAAACGCAAAAAAAAATACAGCAAAGCACTTGAGGACTTGCACGGAGAATTCTGCCATAGGTTTTCTGATTTCGAAAACATTGAACAGTCACTTCATCTGGTGTCCTGTCCCCTGTCACAAGACTCTGAAACAGCACCACAGGAGCTGCAGTCGGAACTGATAGATCTTCAGTCTGACTCCGTCCTAAAGGAGAAGTTCAACTCTGTTAAACTAAATGACTTTTATGCTTAACTTAACAGAGCCACGTTTCCAAACCTCCGGAGGACTGCACAGAAGATGCTGACTTTGTTTGGCTCGACTTATGTGTGTGAGCAGACATTCAGCGTCATGAACGCCAACAACGCCCGTCACAGATCAAAGTTAACGGATCAGCACCTCAGATGTATCCTGAGAATTGCCACAACCAAAATAACTCCATACTTGGACGCACTGGCAAAAATGGGAGATCAACAACACTGTTCCCACTGAAACTGAAATTGATGATGTGTTGCTGCAGCGAGGTTGGAGCCAAATCTCCGACACACAGCCTGCTTGGCTGCTCTAACCTGTTAATGTAGATGATAAAGAAGTTCAAGTGAGGTAATTGGTTTGGGCGCAGGCCTCAGATGTTTTCATGATGTTTGATCAGTCACGTTACGACATGTTTTTGTATTGTTCATGTTCGTGCAATTTGTTAAATTGCCTTGCAAATAAATGCTTTGCTACCTGTTAAAGGCCAAATCCTTTCATGTAATGATTTTTACATGTCATTTATATTAGTTCCCACAAACACTCCATCCATCTGCTTCCTGGCCCGGCCCCTCTGTCAAATTTTTGAATCCATTGTGGCCCGCGATTCAAAAAATTTGCCCACCCCTGTGCTAGACGGACGTCTGCTACGGTTTCACAGGCAGCAGAAATGTACGAATATCACAAAGCATCGGAATAAACCTAAGCAATCAAATCGTAAATTAATAACTGTAATGTATAGCGCTTCGTCAATCCACTGCTGGATGAAGGACTGTCCTTGTTGTGTCAGTCAGGGTTTTCACCGTTCTTCACCACTTTAGTCAGTGCTCTGCGAGACAGGTGGAGGATCGGCACTGGTTCAGATATCCCTCGCTGGTGATGTTAGACACCACCAGCAACTGAACTTAGGTCAGTTGGTTGAAAGCTCAGTGCATGAATCAATAATAAAACCCTTTCATTATCTAGGAAATCCTCGAGGAGTCTCAAGACTTTTTAAGGAGGGTGATGCTACATTGGAATGTTTGCCCAATGCCATGAATGAGAGTTGGCTTCGTGTGAGGAGTAAAGCCACTGATGCAGGAAGATAACCCGCAGAGTTCCACGAAGATTGAATCTAGAATACATGAAATCTTGACTTAAAGCTTTCGTGACTGCAGGAATACATATTCTATAGGTCTTTCGGTAAAGCCACGTAGATAGAAAAATAACCTTCCAGGCGAATCTCTCACAATACGAAGGCCACTGCCTCAGCCTCTGTGGTTGGACAATTTTTGCTCCACCCACCGACCTTGATGCACCCATCTCAGGCCTATATGAGACCTTGTCTCAGCAGCTTTCTCTCTCTCACCTGAAGATGATTGCTTGTGTTGCGATCGAAACGTCGTGATATTTTTATTATTTTTCTATCTACGTGGCTTTACCGAAAGACCCATAGAATACTATAATCCTTTGTTATAATGACTTTTCCTGTTAAAAAAAGATGGAGGTCAGTATCCCATCCATGTATTAACCAGGTTCAACTCTACTTAGCTTCTGGGATCTGACTATACCAGACACATTCAGGATAATTTAGTCGAAAATGGTGATGCTGTAAGAATTACCTTAACACAAACATATGTGTAGAACTTGTTTTACAAAGGAGAAACGTTATTTGTTTGGAAAAAACTCACATAGAGGTAATTGTAGAATGTTAGTCCGAATGGAAATCCATATGGAATATTAAAAGTAGGTGAAACATAGTCATTCCCTCCATGGGAAATCTTGACATCTCCGACTTGTGATCCATAGGCAAAGAGCCGGTTTTCCACTGCAGGAAACAATGCATGAGCAACATCCACAGAAGCACGGTTACCACGCATTCCCAAAGTCTTGCGCTTACATTTGTAAGAGTCATGTGATTTGTCTTTGTGGCCTTCCAAATCACAGAACTGAACTTCACAATGAAAAGTAACACAGTAATGTGGCTGAAAATAAAAGTTTTCAATCAGTGCACCTCCGATTAGCCCTGTTGGCTACGTATCGCGCGAAAGACGTTTAACATATATACATAGAAAATATCCGTCGCAATGTGCATCACAAGTGTTGAGATTTGATGAAGAAAATGGAATAAAAGCTGAAAAGTGTGAAAAAAAACATGTAGAAATGCATGCTTGGAATGGAGAGACAGACTTCGGAACTTGTGGACCAGGGAACAACCGCAAATCAGATATGTCAAATTGTTAAGGAGAATAAGTGGGATTGGCTTGGACACATTGCTGGAAGTGATGATGGCCGATGGATGAGACTGGTAACAGAATGGCAGTCAAAGTAGAGAACGCTCCCAAGAGGACGACCACAACAGAGAAAAGGTGATGAGATCAGCTCACGGTGCAGGAGTGAGATGGATTCTAGTGTCATAAAACCGTGACATTAAGCAGGGAGGCATTCATCCAGCTGTGGATAGACCATGGCTGCTGATGATGACGACACCTGCATGCAGGTTTAGAGAGCCCTCAGAGGGCATGGGGCACAATGCATAGCTGCAGGAATTTGGATGCGCCATAACTCGGCCAATTCCTGGTCTGGAACGCATGAATGGACACAGGCAAACATTTAACCCCCACTGGGTAACGCCCCACACACACAGCTTCTGCCTGCATTCCATCAACGGCTCAGCTTTGAGTCTCGTGGTGATACACAATGCCAATTCCGGAAAATGTTAAATCCGAGGGCTTGTTTCTGATCCTTTTGAGTTGTCAGACTGAATGTTTTAGCGGTAGGGTGTGGGCTTTTGTATCACAAAAATGTGTATTGCTCAATGACACATCACATGTGTTGGTCTCCTAATCTGCCATATAAGTAGATCAAATCCAATGTCTTGCATGGAGATAATGTGGCACTGATGGCTTCAAACAGTTATGTGAGAAGCAGATTTAGCCACGAATCCACTCCGAACACCTCACAACACCATGGTAAGGAGCATTCATCTCTTCTCTGTGTGTGTCACAACAGCAGCACACTCGGTAGCTACGCGACCGGATTGTACGGCGTTTATCAAAATGGACTGGACTCATGAGAGTGTGTGATAACAAATGTTCAGACTTAGTGCCTAAAGTTAAGGTAGGGCCATGTTTCACCCCGGAACATTACATCGTACCCACAGAGTGTCGCATTGGCTGGGTGGCTCAGTGGCAGACCGAGTCGCTCGCAATCGATGAAAGGTTGCGAGTTCAAATCCTGGTTACGTGATGACTCAGCCCATCATTCCTCGGGGGTCACTCCAGTGAGTACCACTTTGTGGGGGAAGTTAACAGTGGTTGTCTTATGCATAGACTCAAGCCCACCATAGGAATGTGGAATTTCCACCACTGGCTCAGAGTTAATAGGAGATAAGCACCACCTCTAATCTCATTTGAGAAGGAAATCACTTTGAAAGTTAAAATTGTAGGGTGAATGACCCAGAAACCCAACACATTATCTGGAGTGCTGACTGCAACCGTGACTGTTTTTCCCAGCATGCAACTGCGAGCGAGTGAATGGAGCGGTGTGGAAGGCTGTGAGCCTTATGGATTGGTGCGAATGTTCCAGCTGATGAGTGTGACGTGTTTAACTGGATATGTTTAATACCTTGTGTCGCAGTTGCATTTGTTGTCAAGGGAGTCGTGGTGCTTGTGACTGTCGTAGAGTTTCTTGTGGTAGAGATTTCCACGGAAGTAGTGGCTGTCGTAATAGTTGTGTTGGTGATATGGGGAGTTACGATGGGGATAGGGGTAGTTGTGTTGGTGATAGGGGCAGTTACGATGGTGATAGGGGTAGTTGTGTTGGTGATTGGGGCAGTTACGATGGTGATAGGAGTAGTTGTGTTGGTGATAGGGGCAGTTACGATGGGGATAGGAGAAGTTGTGTTGGTGATTGGGGCAGTTACGATGGTGATCGAAGTAGTTGTGTTGGTGATTGGGGCAGTTACGATGGGGACAGGCGAAGTTGTGTTGGTGATTGGGGCAGTTACGATGGTGATCGAAGTAGTTGTGTTGGTGATTGGGGCAGTTACGATGGGGATAGGAGAAGTTGTGTTGGTGATTGGGGCAGTTACGATGGTGATAGGAGTAGTTGTGTTGGTGATTGGGGCAGTGACGATGGTGAAAGGAGTAGTTGTGTTGGTGATTGGGGCAGTTACGATGGGGATCGGAGTAGTTGTGTTGGTGATTGGGGCAGTTACGATGGCGATAGGGGTAGTTGTGTTGGTGATTGGGGCAGTTACGATGGGGATAGGGGTAGTTGTGTTGGTGATTGGGGCAGTTACGATGGGGATAGGAGAAGTTGTGTTGGTGATTGGGGCAGTTACGATGGGGATAGGGGTAGTTGTGTTGGTGATTGGGGCAGTTACGTTGGTGAAAAGAGTAGTTGTGTTGGTGATTGGGGCAGTTACGATGGGGATAGGAGAAGTTGTGTTGGTGATTGGGGCAGTTACGATGGGGATAGGAGAAGTTGTGTTGGTGATTGGGGCAGTTACGATGGGGATAGGGGTAGTTGTATTGGTGATTGGGGCAGTTACGATTGGGATAGGGGTAGTTGTGTTGGTGATTGAGGCAGTTACGTTGGTGAAAAGAGTAGTTGTGTTGGTGATTGGGGCAGTTACGATGGTGATCAGAGTAGTTGTGTTGGTGATTGGGGCAATTACGATGGTGATCGGAGTAGTTGTATTGGTGATTGGGGCAGTTACGTTGGTGAAAAGAGTAGTTGTGTTGGTGATTGGGGCAGTTACGATGGTGATCGGAGTAGTTGTGTTGGTGATTGGGGCAGTTACGATGGGGATAGGAGAAGTTGTGTTGGTGATTCGGGCAGTGACGATGGTGATAGGAGAAGTTGTGTTGGTGATTGGGGCAGTTACGATGGTGATAGGAGAAGTTGTGTTGGTGATTGGGGCAGTGACGATGGGGATAGGAGAAGTTGTGTTGGTGATTGGGGCAGTTACGATGGTGGTAGGAGAAGTTGTGTTGGTGATTGGGGCAGTGACGATGGTGATAGGAGAAGTTGTGTTGGTGATTGGGGCAGTGACGATGGGGATAGGAGAAGTTGTGTTGGTGATTGGGGCAGTTACGATGGTGATAGGAGAAGTTGTGTTGGTGATTGGGGCAGTGACGATGGGGATAGGAGACGTTGTGTTGGTGATTGGGGCAGTTACGATGGTGATAGGAGTAGTTGTGTTGGTGATAGGGGCAGTGACGATGGGGATAGGAGAAGTTGTGTTGGTGATTGGGGCAGTTACGATGGGGATAGAAGTTGTGTTGGTGATTGGGGCAGTGACGATGGGGATAGGAGAAGTTGTGTTGGTGATTGGGGCAGTTACGATGGTGATCGGAGTAGTTGTGTTGGTGATTGGGGCAGTTACGATGGTGATAGAAGTTGTGTTGGTGATTGGGGCAGTGACGATGGGGATAGGAGAAGTTGTGTTGGTGATTGGGGCAGTTACGATGGGGATAGGAGAAGTTGTGTTGGTGATTGGGGCAGTGACGATGGGGATAGGAGAAGTTGTGTTGGTGATTGGGGCAGTTACGATGGTGATCGGAGTAGTTGTGTTGGTGATTGGGGCAGTTACGATGGTGATAGGAGAAGTTGTGTTGGTGATTGGGGAAGTGACGATGGTGAAAGGAGTAGTTGTGTTTGTGATTGGGGCAGTTATGATGATGAAAGGAGTAGTTGTGTTGGTGATTGGGGCAGTTACGATGGGGATCGGAGTAGCTGTATTGGTGATTGCGGCAGTTACGATAGTGATTGGAGTAGTTGTGTTGGTGATTGGGGCAGTTGCGATAGTGATAGGGGTAGTTGTGTTGGTGATAGGGGCAGTTGCGATGGGGAGAGTAGTAAATTCGTTGGTGGGGTTTGCGATACTGGCCACTCCTTGTGTAACTGAAATAAAAAAGAAACATAAAAAATAACACGTTTCATTTAGTCAAGTTAGAGGCATTGGAATACGAAATTGGCATTAAACATAAATATTAAACCGTAATATAAAAAGTGTTTTGTAATAATTCACGGCTTGCCACCTTCTTCTCTTTCAGAACTGGTTGTTCCCAACAGCCCTGGCATTGACCCGAGTGGACTAAGGCCCATATCTAACAAAGCGAGTCCTTGCCTATTCACTTCTGGTATTTCACCTGTACTTGTTTAAACAAGCCTGCATTTATATTCTTTGGTTCTTTCGGTAAAGTCACATAGATGGAAAATAAAAAAATGAAAAATAAATCTCATATAAAAACCAAAAAGTCACGACGTTCCGATCAAAGCGGTCGTCATCAGACAGAGAGAAAAGGGGTCCCGTTTTCGACGAACGCCAGCGAAACGTCGTGAGTTTTTGGTTTTGATGAAATTTTTATAATTTTTATTATTTTAATTGTATTATTTTTCTATTTACGTGACTTTACCAAAAGAACCAAAGAATTGAATTCCTGCAGTCACGAACGTTTCAAGTCAAAATTTAAGCCTTTCTCTCTTGAGACACTGAATGTCAATATCGGCCCACAGTTTGCTTGTACTGTATTACACTAGCATTAAACTAGTATTAAACTAGTATTAAACTAGTATTAATCTAATGCTGTTGAAATTCTGCATTCTCAAGACGGCCGAATGGCTGATTTATCTGCAGGGATAAGTCTGTATGCATTTAAGTCTGTATGCATGTATGTATGTAAGTATGTATTTATGTACATACGTTGAACTTATTTTTCACCGTACGTGGCCAACCGCGTTCGCCGGAGTTGCAAAGCAGGCGAATTTTGTTGTTAGATTGTTACATATTTTCTGAGATTGGCACCTCTTACGAGTAGCATATCTCCATCCAGTTCAGCCCAGCTAAACTAGTATAGATGAGTAAGCACAACATGGGATTTACTGTGTTTCACAATTTCCAGATACAATCCTAAAATAATATTGTGTCCAATGTTTAAGGTCAACTTGAGGTATACAGAGGCAGCTTTAGAAAATTGAGCGTTTCGCTGCATTGCCCTTGTGAGTTTCGATTGCCATTTTTAGCGACCCTTGCCAGGAAGGGAAAATGCTTTCTCTCAAATGCCCTCTCTTGATCGCGAGAGACGATAAACGCCATACCTCAGCAGTGCCGTGAAAGAGTCTGGTTCATGCAGCATTAGACTCGGCTGCTACAAGGCATGCATGCACAATATGAAGACATGAGATTGGGCATTTGTGGAAGAGGTTTTGAGACTTATAGATTTTTTTTCTAATAATCTGGCCATGCAGAATGACAAATGCTAAATACACATAATATCAGTTGCCGTGTCATTTAAATGCTGGAGTAAATGGTGAAGGCGGTACTGTTTATAAAGAGCCGACGATGCGTAATTTTGTATGCCACAAGTCCAGTGGTTGATGCAGATTTGTACCGAGCGGTGCTTTAGAATCGCTAGAGTAGGGGCTCCAAGCCAGTGGTCCTCGCCTTTGCGCTCTGCCGCGCTGTGGGAAGTGGTCTATGAAATTGCTGAGACACCACAGTTTTTTTTCACATACACCATGTTTTTTTAAATGCCCATCGTGCAACTATTTGCAATTGTCAATAGAAGCTAAAACGAAACTTTTTTTCCCCTAGGTAAAATCCACTGAGCTATCAGCTCTTTTTCAGAAGCGACCTGGCCACAAATCATAGTTCAACGAAGTGACTTATCATGTGGGAATTTATAGCAGCCAAATATTCTAATCGCATGTTTCTAAATGTGGAGGAGAAATCGGAGGAGCTGGAGAAAAATCCATGCCACCACGGGGAGAGAGACACGCAAACCCCAAATATACACCAGCAGGCGTCAGGGTGGGCCATGAACCCACGACCTCCTGTATACCAGGTGAGGTAGTTAACACCTCGCCACCGCGGCGCTCTTAAAGCCAGCCAATAATTTTTTTTGGTCTCTGCATTAACTTTTACAGTGATTTTAGAGTGGTTTTAATTCATAAACATGTCAATGGTGCATGGTAGTCTGTGAAAATGTTTTGATGGTTGACAATGGTCCACTGGACCAACATCGTCCATCAAATTGACGGAGGCTGTGGGAGACCAAGATGGGGCTGTGGCTGTAGTTGAAGATTGTGTGGCAGCAAATGATGACGATGGGGATATCGATTAATTTGATGATGATGTTGAAAGCGTCACTAAAATGCCATGAAGTGTGGCATTCGGCCAATTTTTCAGAGCGTCGTTTTAAACTTTAATTCAAATTCGTACTCATGATAACATTCTAACTATTGTGATTGACTCACCATCGCAATCTAGGCCTCACAAAGTAAAAAAAGTATGAAGCGACTCTTGTAACACTCTCATTGCCGGAACAATTCGTTGTTTGAAACGCTTTTGTTTACCATAATTCTTCTTTTAATCTATGATCTTTCAGTAAATCTCTCCGGGGCAACAAAACACGCATTTTTTCACAATGGCTGATAATCAAGATATTGTGACTACTCTCATGCAGAACAAAATGAAAACGAAATAAGCTCCTGGATTTAAATTATTGCTGCTAAATGCTGTGCTAGAAATGTGCGCATTGCTGATTTTTCTGATGCCACAACTGGGCTTGAAATGGCTTGCACCACATCAAGCCGCACCTGTCTCAGCAATGCAGAACTCGTCTTCCGCCTTGGCTGCCTTACACGAGCCGGAGTGCGCAGGTGTGCACAGGTATGCACAGGTGAGTGTGCCAATGGATGTGGGGCCAAGTGCCCAGCACTTGTTTTACATTCAAGTGGTTCCAGAAGGAGAGAAGGTCGAGGCCATGGTTACCTGACACCACTATGTGGGTTTCAGATGCTGCTGCTTGGGTAGGTGGGACACAGATGCTCGCAGCCACGGAAATGGAACAAAGTAGTCATAAAGTTTTGGCGTAGTGATTAGCGCACTTGCGCTATTAATACATATATCTCAGTTTGATACCTGGCCATGGCTAACAGCAGTGACGAGTGATATCTGAACCAGTTTTTGGGCACCCCGTTTTCATGAGGTATCATCGGAATGTTGGTGCAACGTCTTAAGGACAGTTTACACAATTTGTATAATATATTAATGGATACATCTTTAAAGCTTTCGTGACTGCAGGAATTCATACTCTTTGGGTCTTTCGGTAAAGTCACGTAGATAGGGGTTACCAAAAAGATTTCCAAAGTCATGAACAAACACAAGATCCAGGTTCGATTCAACACAGTACATAAAATTCGTGAACTGATCCCATCTGTGAAGGATGTGATCCCTGACATGCAATAACCTGGCGTCTACAAACTAAGCTGTGTCTGTGGCAGTAGTTACATTTGGGAAACTAAGCGACATGTCTCGGACCGTGTCCGTGAACACAAAGCAGAACTGAAACATGGTAGGACCAATACCTCGGCCGTGGCTGATCATTGTTTTAACGCTATGGGATCACATGATTTTTCCAAGACGAAAGTACTATGCAAAGCCATTGGCTATCATCAAAGTTTTTTCCATGAAGCCATCCAGATATATAAACACAGACACAACTTCAACCGAGAAGATGGGTATAAATTGAGCAATCATTGGAAAGACGTGATTAACCAGGTAAAGTCTTAACCTGCTGTGATGTTTGCATGCTTCTTGCCAATGTTAGCTGACTCTCCGAGTTGCGTTACTAGGTTGGATGTCTTTGTATTGACAGGCTGGATGTCTTACTCGATCTGCCGCCGAAGCATCATTGACATGCTAATCTCTCACAATACAATGGGCACTTCCACAGCCTCAGGGAGACCATTTCTAGCCCTGCCCTCTTACCCTGAGGGGACTTCCATCTCAGGCCTATACAAGACCTTGTTTCAGTAGATTTCTCTCTCTCTCACCTGAAGACGAAACGTCGTGATCTGTAATTTTTTCTATCTACGTGACTTTACCGAAAGACCCAAAGAGTATAATAATGTATAATTATAATTTTCAATCCACTACTCGGTGAAGGCTTTCCCATTCCTTATGGCCATGGGGGTTGTTTCACCATCATCACGTTGGCCAGTGTGGGCTGGTGAAGGACGTGCACCCAGGACCAGTACAGATATGGCTCTCCACAGATGTTAGCCCAAGCCATGAATCAAACTCAAGTTCGCTGTGTTCATAGCGCATTGCTCGAACCACTGTGCCACAGTACCCAATGTCATTGGTCACACGCGAGCTATTGGCAGGTGTGCGAGTGCTCTCCGATGGAACACCTCCTGTTAATCCAGTGGCGTTGGATACAGAGTGCGTGAGATGGAAGGGCTGTGGAGGACGAGGCTGGTGATCATGATGATGGATGTGACACTGTAGTATTCGCTATTTCAGGGACAATTTATGGGAATGTTCAAAGGTTTGTCAATGTACACCCCTACATCACGGTGTAAACACAGTAGTTCATTGACATCAGTGTGTGTTTATCTAATCATCATCAGCCATTTGTCTATCAACTGCTGAAAGGCCTCCCCATGGCCCTGTGACGCCGCAATCCATCTCACTGCTTGCACACAAGCGGATCTCAGCGCTCCATCTCCACCGTGGGCCGCCTCTCTCTCCCGTGCATTCTCAGATTCCTGCCATTCCGTCACCAGTCTCGTCCATCGTCTGTCCTAGCCACGGTGCATCCTGCCCAAGCCCGTGCTCTCCTTCACATTCAGTACGATCGCTCCAATTTAATAGCAATCACATTAATGGAGCGCTGCTGTCATTAGTGCTTACAGCTCTTAAGCCCTTACAAGATAAAGATTATGAGTGGAGCATGGGGTCCATCTGTGACCTGCTCTCAAATGTTCCCAAATTTTCACATCTCACTTTAACTGAGTCGTGTTTGTTGCCTGATCCCCGTGTCTTTATTTTTGTCTCAGTGTAATTCCGAGCATGCAAATATCCCTGCTTCAACTTGTCACAATTGTTGAACTTGTGTATAACCTTAACGTTGTCCACGTGTTTGATTCGTTAGATCGTAGTGGGTAAAACACAGTGATTGAAAATGTTCTTCTTGAGGTACTGTGGTATGTGACATCTTTATGAAATGTCCTTTTCTAAAATCACTGCGAGCTGCTCTGTGTGACTTTTATTCATCATTTTGTTCCTGATCCTTCCTCAGTCATTGCCCACGGTGTCCATACCCTGCTGTATTTGACAGATATGTCCCTCTTATAATTGTTTTGTTTAGCAAATTGTTTTGTTTAGCAAACGTGTACACTCACCCGGAATGATCTTAACTTAACTGGATTAATCTTCGGAATGTTTTAAAATAAATGGAGATGAACAACACGAAAACAAATCAAGACATATCCAGTACCTGTGACTGCGGTGCTGTTGCTGCTGTGTACAAGGGGAGTATTCGTCGGCTGTGCCATGGCTGATGAAGCTGATGGCACTGCTGCCGCTGTGGTAGCTGTGGATTCAGCAGCTGTTGTAGACGGAAGCGATGGCAAAGCGGAGGACGCGGCTGTAGTTAGCACAGCTGTTACAAGTGCTGATGATGACGGCGATGGAGTTGACACAGCTGTAATTGGTGCTGCTGTTGCACGTGTTGATGATGTTGGCAATAGAGTTGACACAATTGTAGCTGTGGATGGGGTAGCTGTCATTTGCATAGCTGTTGCACGTGGTGATGATGTTGGCAATGGAGTTGACACAGCTGTAGCTGTGGATGGGGTAGATGTTGTTTGCACAGCTGTTACACGTGGTGATGATGTTGGCAATGGAGCTGACACAGCTGTAGCTGTGGATGGGGTAGCTGATGTTTGCACAGCTGTTACACGTGGTGATGATGTTGGCAATGGAGTTGACACAGCTGTAGCTGTGGATGGGGTAGCTGATGTTTGCACAGCTGTTACACGTGGTGATGATGCTGGCAATGGAGTTGACACAGCTGTAGCTGCGAATGAGGCAGCTGTAGTTTGCGTAGCTGTAGCTTGGGCAGTTGTTGCAGGTGATGCCAATGATACTAAAATGATAGCGTAATAAAACAGTACTCACAGTTAGTCTATGCAAGTGTTACATTGAAAATTGTTTTAATACTTTATAGTTTCAGATAATTGGTCAAATTCATAGCTAAAAACAATGTAATAATCATACCTGGTGATGTTATATCTTCCGTAGGGGTAGGACTAGGTTCATCTGGAGTTGATACAATTGTAGCTATGGATTGTGCAGCTGCAGTTAGTGCTGCTGTTACACGTGGTGATGATGACGGCGATGGAGTTGACACAGCTGTAGCTGTGGATGGGGTAGCTGTTGTTTGCACAGCTGTTACACGTGGTGATGATATTGGCAATGGAGTTGACACAGCTGTAGCTGTGGATTGTGCAGCTGTATGTAGTGCTGCTGTTACAGGTGGTGATGATGTTGGCAATAGAGTTGACATAGATGTAGCTGTGGATGGGGTAGCTGTTGTTTGCAAAGCTGTTACACATGGTGATGATGTTGGCAATGGAGTTGACACTGCTGTAGCTGCGAATGAGGCAGCTGTAGTTTGTGTAGCTGTAGCTTGGGCAGTTGTTGCAGGTGATGATGCCAATGATACTAAAATGATAGCGTAATGAAACAGTACTCACAGTTAGTCTATGCAAGTGTTACATTGAAAATTGTTTTAAAACCTTATAGTTTCAGATAATTGGTCAAATTCATGGATAAAAACAACGTGATAATCATACCTGGTGATGTTAAATCTTCCGTAGGGGTAGAACTAGGTTCATCTGTAGGTAATGTTGTGAAGTCTGTGTTTGTTGGTTCTAGGGAAACATTGAAAATTGTTTGAATACTTTATAGTTTCAGATAATTGATCAAATTCATGGATAAAAACTAGGTGATAATCATACCTGTTGATGATATTATATATTCTGTAGGAGTAGATTCAGGTTCATCTGGAGGTGATGTTGGGAACTCTGTGATTGTCGGTTCTGAGGAAAGATTTATCCTTATTTTAATATCTTATACGTTCAGATAATGTAAAATGTATGGATGAAAACAACTTTATAATCATACTCTTTGGTTCTATTCGGTAAAGTCACGTAGGTAAAAATAAAATAAAATTCATGACGTTTCGACCACAACACAAGTGGCCTTCATCAGGTGAAGGGACCGGACTGTCCAAAGGACAGCGTTGGAGTGAAGACAGCCAAGCCCAGGTCGCGTCCTTTAAGCTGTGTGGGAAGAAAACAAAAAACGCCTTGACAAAGGAATTAGCTTAAAATGATGTACTGGACCGGCACGGTGGGGGGAGTTTACATAATGTTGGTGTGAAGGGAAATAAGCTGCTGTGAAAGTTTGGGATACCACTACTTGAATAAATATACTGTACCATTGAAAATTAGTTTAATGTTTGGTTTGATTTAGAACATCTTTCCAATGATTGCTTAATTTGAAACCATCCTCTCGGGTGAAATTGTGTCTGTGTTTGTAAATCTGAATTGCCTTGTGGACAAATCTCTGATAAAAACCCGTGGGTTTGCAGAGAACCTTGGTATCGGAGAAAACTATATCGTGATCACCCACAGCGTTGTAACAGTGATCAGCTACGGCAGAAGAATTCGTTCTGCCGTGTTTCAAATCTGATTTGTGCTCGCGAATTCGGTCAGAGACATGTCGTTACGTCTCCCCGATGTAGCAGTCACCACAGGTACAGCTCAATTTGTAAGCCCCGGGGTACTGTAAGTCAGGAACGACATCCTTCAAGGATGGGATCAGGTCACGGATTTTGTGTACTGTATTGAACCGGACCAGGATCTTGTGTTTGTTTAGAATTTTGGAGATCTTTTTAGTAACGCCTGCTATATATGGTAGTGTGATGGTTTTGACCGGAGTATCAAGTGGTTGTTTCTGTATGGAGGGAGAAACAGCTTGGCGGATGGTATGGTCAGAGATTAAAGATAGGCTGGCCTTAAACATAATCTGTTTATGGATAAGACTACTCCGTTTTGAACTCGATACTTTAGACAAGCCTCTCCTACAAGCTCATTTAACGCTAACACAAAAAATGTCACCTTCTGATTGGAACCACGTAGACAACATGACTGCTTCCTCTGCTGATTCACTTTCAGTCAAATACAAAGCTAACCTGATTTCTAAATTCAACCACCTATCGAAGAAGAACCCAGTACAACGTCTTTGACCATAGAGACCAAATGAGCTGAGTTAAGTACTGCTGAGGAGGTCTTGCCAGTGAAAGGTAGCAAGGTATCTGACAGAAAACGTGGTAGCTTATAGGTATGGGAGTTGATCGTGGATACGATGGGTCGTAGTGGAGTGCCTTCTTTATGAATCTTGGGGAGATCATAGAATCTAGGGGGTCTTGCAGCAGAAGGTTTTAAGGAGGGACGTTTAGTTGGTTCGATTAGGGAGGTCGAACTTGTGATGATCTTGTTGGTTTTTATAGTTAGGCTATTAGTAGGGTCATTTTTTTAATTTTGAGTAACTTCCATCGTTGAGTAGGTTCTGGATTTTGTTGTTGTACGAATCTTTATCCAAAATTACAGTAGCGTTGCCTTTGTTGGCTGAGAGCATGACTATATCACTTCTGTTTTTTAAATTCGCGAGATCAGAGCGTTCATTTTTGCTGATGTTGCTAATGGGTTTCTTAGCATTCTTAAGAATAGTGGCTATTTCAGCTCTCGCAACGTCTGCTTGGATGTGTCCTACGCCTTTAAGGGCCACATCGACCTGAGAGATGATATAATCTACAGGAATATGTTTCGGGGTGACAGCAAAATGTAGCCCTCTAGCCAGTACTGTTTTCAGATTGTCCGAAATCGGGGTGCTACTCTGATTAATGACGATTTTGGTAACGTCTAGTTGTGTTATATGTGGGACTGGGTTCTTCATCGATAGGTGGTTGAATTCATAAATCAGGTTAACTTTGTATTTGACTGAAAGTTAATCGGCAGAAGAAGCAGTCATGTTGTCTACGTGGTTCCAATCAGAAGGTGACATTTTTTGTGTTAGCGTTAAATGAGCTTGTAGGAGAGTCCTGTCTAAAGTATCGAGTTCAAAACGGAGTAGCCTTATCCATAAACAGATTATGTTTAAGGCCAGCCTATCTTTAATCTCTGACCGTACCATCCGCCAAGCTGTGTCTCCCTCCATACAGAAACAACCACTTGATACTCCGGTCAAAACCATCACATTACCATATATAGCAGGCATTACTAAAAAGATCTCCAAAATTCTAAACAAACACAAGATCATGGTCTGGTTCAATACAGTACACAAAATCCGTGACCTGATCCCATCCGTAAAGGATGTCGTTCCTGACTTACAGTACCCCGGGGTTTACAAATTGAGCTGCACCTGTGGTGATTGCTATATCGGGGAGACGAAACGACATGTCTCTGACCGAATTCGCGAGCACAAATCAGACTTGAAACACGGCAGAACGAATTCTTCTGCCGTAGCTGATCACTGTTGCAACGCTGTGGGTGATCACGATATAGTTTTCTCCGATACCAAGGTTCTCTGCAAACCCACGGGTTTTTATCAGAGATTTGTCCACGAGGCAATTCAGATTTACAAACACAGACACAATTTCAACCGAGAAGATGGTTTCAAATTAAGCAATCATTGGAAAGATGTTCTAAATCATACCAAACATTAAACTAATTTTCAATGGTACAGTATATTTATTCAAGTAGTGGTATCCTAAACTTTCACAGCAGCTTATTTCCCTTCACACCAACATTTGTAACCCCCCCCCCCCTCCCCGTGCCGGTCCTCTACAGCATTTTATGCTAATTCCTTTGTCAAAGCGTTTGGTTTCCTCCCACACAGCTTAAAGGACGCGACCTGAGCTTGGCTGTCTTCACTCCAACGCTGTCCTCTGGACAGTACAGTCCCTTCACCTGATGAAGGCCACTTGTGTTGTGGCCGAAACGTCGTTATTTTTTGTTTTATTTTTTACCTACGTGACTTTACCGAATAGAACCAAAGAGTATGGATCCTTGCAGTCACGAAAGCTTCAAATCTAGAATTTATAATCATACCTGGTGATGTTACATCTTTCATAGGGGTAGGACTAGGTTCATCTGTAGGTAATGTTGTGAAGTCTGTATTTGTTGGTTCTAGGAAAACATTGAAAATATTTTAATACCTTATAGTTTCAGATAATTGTTGAAATGTACGGATAAAACAATGTGATAATCATACCTGGTGATGTTATATCTTCCGTAGGTGTAGGACTCGGTATATCTGTAGGTAATGTTGAGAAGTCTGTATATGTTGGTTCTAGGGAAACATTGAAAATTGTTTTAATACTTTGAAGTTTCAGATAATTGGTCAAATTCATGGATAAAAACTATGTGATAAACATACCTGCTGATGTTACATCTTCTGTAGGGGTAGGACTAGGTTCATCTGTAGGTAATGTTGTGAAGTCTGCATTTGTTGGTTCTAGGGAAACATTGAAAATTGTTTAAATACTTTATAGTTTCAGATAATTTGTGAAATTCATGGATAAAAACTACGTGATAATCATACCTGCTGATGTTACATCTTCCGTAGGGGTAGGACGAGGTTCATCTGTAGGTGATGTTGTGAAGTCTGTATTTGCTGGTTCTAGGAAAACATTAAAAATTGTTTTAATACTTTATAGTTTCAGATAATTGGTGAAATTCATGGATAAAAACTACGTGATAATCATACCTGGTGATGTTACATCTTCCGTAGGGGTACGACTAGGTTCATCTGTAGGTAATGTTGTGAAGTCTGTATATGTTGGTTCTAGGAAAACATTGAAGATTGTTTTAATACTTTATAGTTTCAGATAATTGGTCAAATTCATGGATAAAAACTACGGGATAATCATACCTGCGGATGTTATATCTTCCGTAGGGGTAGGACTAGGTTCATCTGTAGGTAATGTTGTGACGTCTGTATTTGTTGGTTCTAGGAAAACATTGAAAATTATTTTAATACCTTATAGTTTCAGATAATTGGTGAAATTCACAGATAAAACAACGTGATAATCATACCTGGTGATGTTACATCTTCCGTAGGGGTAGGACTAGGTACATCTGTAGGTAATGTTGTGAAGTCTGTATTTGTTGGTTCTAGGAAAACATTGAAGATTGTTTGAACACTTTATAGTTTCAGATAATTTGTCAAATTAATGGATAAACGCAATGTGATAATCATACGTGTTGATGATATTATATGTCCTGTAGGCGTAGATTCAGGTTCATCTGCAGGTGATGTTGGGAACTGTGTGATTGTTTGTTCTAAGGAAACAATTACCATTATTTTACTATCTTATACGTTCAGATAATGTAAAATGTATGGATGAAAACAACTTTATAATCATACCTGGTAATGTTATATCTTCTGTAGGGGTAGGACTAGATTCATCTGTAGGTAATGTTGTGAAGTCCGTATTTGTTGGTTCTAGGAAAACATTGAAAATTATTTTAATACTTTATAGTTTCAGATAATTGGTCAAATTCATGAATAAAAACTACGTGATAATCATACCTGTTGATGTTACATCTTCCGTAGGGGTAGGACTAGGTTCATCTGTAGGTAATGTCGTGAAGTCTGTATTTGTTTGTTCTAGGAAAACATTGAAAATTATTTCAATACCTTATAGTTTCAGCTAATTGGTGAAATTCATGGATAAAAACAACGTGATAATCATACCTGGTGATGTTATATCTTCCATAGGGGTAGGACTAGGTTCATCTGTAGGTAATGTTGTGAAGTCTGTATTTGTTGGTTCTAGGAAAACATTGAAGATTGTTTGAATACTTTATAGTTTCAGATAATTTGTCAAATTAATGGATACACGCAATGTGATAATCATACGTGTTGATGATATTATATGTTCTGTAGGAGTAGATTCAGGTTCATCTGGAGGTGATGTTGGGAACTCTGTGATTGTTTGTTCTAAGGAAACAATTACCATTATTTAACTATTTTATACGTTCAGATAATGTAAAATGTATGGATGAAAACAACTTTATAATCATACCTGGTAATGTTATATCTTCTGTAGGGGTAGGACTAGGTTTATCTGTAGGTAATGTTGAGAAGTCTGTATTTGTTGGTTCTAGGGAAACATTGAAAATAGTTTTAATACTTTATAGTTTCAGATAATTGGTAAAATTCATGGATAAAAATTACGTGATAATCATACCTGGAGATGTTACATCTTCTGTAGGGGTAGGACTTGGTTCATCTGTAGGTAATGTTGTGAAGTCCGTATTTGTTGGTTCTAGGAAAACATTGAAGATTGTTTTAATACTTTATAGTTTCAGATAATTGGTCAAATTCATGAATAAAAACTACGTGATAATCATACCTGTTGATGTTACATCTTCCGTAGGGGTAGGACTAGGTTCATCTGTAGGTAATGTTGTGAAGTCCGTATTTGTTGGTTCTAAGAAAACATTGAAGATTGTTTTAATACTTTATAGTTTCAGATAATTGGTCAAATTCATGGATAAAAACTACGGGATAATCATACCTGCGGATGTTATATCTTCCGTAGGGGTAGGACTAGGTTCATCTGTAGGTAATGTTGTGAAGTCTGTATTTGTTGGTTCTAGGAAAACATTGAAAATTATTTTAATACCTTATAGTTTCAGATAATTGGTGAAATTCACAGAAAAAACAAGTGATAATCATACCTGGTGATGTTATATCTTCCGTAGGGGTAGGACTAGGTTCATCTGTAGGTAATGTTGTGAAGTCCATATTTGTTGGTTCTAGGAAAACATTGAAGATTGTTTTAATATTTCGATTTAAAGCTTTAACATAGCCATTTCTGTGACCAGTCACAAGCTAATCACTCAGCTATTTCAATGCTAAATTCAATGCTAATTCCTTTGTCAAGGCGCTTTGTTTCTTCTCACACAGCTTAAAGGTCGCGATCTGAGCGTGGCTTTGTTCACTCCAGCGCTGTCCTCCAGACAGTCTCGTCCCTTCACCTGATGAAGGCCGCTTGTGTTGTGGCCGAAACGTCGTGAGAATTTTATTGCGTTATTTTATTTTATCAATTTATTATTTTATTTTCATTCTACGTGACTTTACCGAAAGAACCAAAGAAGATTGTTTTAATACTTTCTAGTTTCAGATAATTGTTCAAATTCATGGATAAAAACTACGGGATAATCATACCTGCTGATGTTACATCTTCCGTAGGGGTAGGACTAGGTTCATCTGTAGGTAATGTTGTGAAGTCTGTATTTGTTGGTTCTAGGAAAACATTGAAAATTGTTTGAATACTTTATAGTTTCAGATAATTGGTGAAATTAATGGATAAAAGGAATGTGATAATCATACGTGTTGATGATATTATATGTTCTGTAGGAGTAGATTCAGGTTCATCTGGAGGTGATGTTGGGAACTCTGTGATTGTTTGTTCTAAGGAAACAATTACCATTATTTTACTATCTTATACGTTCAGAAAATGTAAAATGTATGGATGAAAACAACTTCCTAATCATACCTGGTAATGTTATATCTTCTGTAGGGGTAGGATTAGGTTCATCTGTAGGTAATGTTGTGAAGTCTGTGTCTGATGGTTCTAGGGAAACATTGAAGATTGTTTTAATACTTTATAGTTTCAGATAATTGGTCAAATTCATGGATAAAAACTACGGGATAATCATACCTGCTGATGTTACATCTTCCGTAGGGGTAGGACTAGGTTCATCTGTAGGTAATGTTGTGAAGTCCGTATTTGTTGTTTCTAGGAAAACATTGAAAATTATTTTAATACTTTTTAGTTTCAGATAATTGGTGAAATTCATGGATAAAACAATGTGATAATCATACCTGGTGATGTTATATCTTCCGTAGGAGTAGGACTAGGTTCATCTGTAGGTAATGTTGTGAAGTCTGTATATGTTGGTTCTAGGGAAACATTGAAAATAGTTTTAATACTTTATAGTTTCAGAAAAATGGTCAAATTCATGGATAAAAACTAAGTGATAATCATACCTGGTGATGTTATATCTTCCGAAGGGGTAGGACTTGGTTCATTTGTAGGTAATGTTGTGAAGTCTGTATTTGTTGGTTCTAGGAAAACATTGAAGATTGTTTTAATATTTCGATTTAAAGCTTTAACATAGCCATTTCTGTAACCAGTCACAAGCTAATCACTCAGCTATTTCAATGCTAAATTCAATGCTAATTCCTTTGTCAAGGCGCTTTGTTTCTTCTCACACAGCTTAAAGTTCGCGATCTGAGCGTGGCTTTGTTCGCTCCAGCGCTGTCCTCCAGTCAGTCTCGTCCCTTCACCTGATGAAGGCCGCTTGTGTTGTGGCCGAAATGTCGTGAGAATTTTATTGCGTTATTTTATTTTATCAATTTATTATTTTATTTTCATTCTACGTGACTTTACCGAAATAACCAAAGAAGATTGTTTTAATACTTTATAGTTTCAGATAATTGTTCAAATTCATGGATAAAAACTACGGGATAATCATACCTGCTGATGTTACATCTTCCGTAGGGGTAGGACTAGGTTCATCTGTAGGTAATGTTGTGAAGTCTGTATTTGTTGGTTCTAGGAAAACATTGAAAATTGTTTGAATACTTTATAGTTTCAGATAATTGGTGAAATTAATGGATAAAAGCAATGTGATAATCATACGTGTTGATGATATTATATGTTCTGTAGGAGTAGATTCAGGTTCATCTGGAGGTGATGTTGGGAACTCTGTGATTGTTTGTTCTAAGGAAACAATTACCATTATTTTACTATCTTATACGTTCAGAAAATGTAAAATGTATGGATGAAAACAACTTCCTAATCATACCTGGTAATGTTATATCTTCTGTAGGGGTAGGATTAGGTTCATCTGTAGGTGATGTTGTGAAGTCTGTGTCTGATGGTTCTAGGGAAACATTGAAGATTGTTTTAATACTTTATAGTTTCAGATAATTGGTCAAATTCATGGATAAAAACTACGGGATAATCATACCTGCTGATGTTACATCTTCCGTAGGGGTAGGACTAGGTTCATCTGTAGGTAATGTTGTGAAGTCCGTATTTGTTGGTTCTAGGAAAACATTGAAAATTATTTTAATACTTTTTAGTTTCAGATAATTGGTGAAATTCATGGATAAAACAATGTGATAATCATACCTGGTGATGTTATATCTTCCGTAGGAGTAGGACTAGGTTCATCTGTAGGTAATGTTGTGAAGTCCGTATTTGTTGGTTCTAGGAAAACATTGAAAATTGTTTGAATACTTTATAGTTTCAGATAATTGGTGAAATTAATGGATAAAAGCAATGTGATAATCATACGTGTTGATGATATTATATGTTCTGTAGGAGTAGATTCAGGTTCATCTGGAGGTGATGTTGGGAACTCTGTGATTGTTTGTTCTAAGGAAACAATTAGAATTATTTTACTATCTTATACGTTCAGAAAATGTAAAATGTATGGATGAAAACAACTTCCTAATCATACCTGGTAATGTTATATCTTCTGTAGGGGTAGGATTAGGTTCATCTGTAGGTAATGTTGGGAAGTCTGTGTCTGGTGGTTCTAGGGAAACAGTGAAAATTATTGAAATATCTTATATGTTCGGGTAGTTTCTCAAATGTATTAAGAATTCAAATATTATAATCATACCTGGTGATGTTACATCTTCCGAAGGGGTAGGACTTGGTTCATCTGTAGGTAATGTTGTGAAGTCTGTATATGTTGGTTCTAGGGAAACATTGAAAATAGTTTTAATACTTTATAGTTTCAAATAAATGGTCAAATTCATGGATAAAAACTAAGTGATAATCATACCTGGTGATGTTATATCTTCCGAAGGGGTAGGACTTGGTTCATCTGTAGGTAATGTTGTGAAGTCTGTATTTGTTGGTTCTAGGAAAACATTGAAGATTGTTTTAATATTTCGATTTAAAGCTTTAACATAGCCATTTCTGTGACCAGTCACAAGCTAATCACTCAGCTATTTCAATGCTAAATTCAATGCTAATTCCTTTCTCAAGGCGCTTTGTTTCTTCTCACACAGCTTAAAGGTCGCGATCTGAGCGTGGCTTTGTTCACTCCAGCGCTGTCCTCCAGACAGTCTCGTCCCTTCACCTGATGAAGGCCGCTTGTGTTGTGGCCGAAACGTCGTGAGAATTTTATTGCGTTATTTTATTTTATCAATTTATTATTTTATTCTCATTCTACGTGACTTTACCGAAAGAACCAAAGAAGATTGTTTTAATACTTTATAGTTTCATATAATTGTTCAAATTCATGGATAAAAACTACGGGATAATCATACCTGCTGATGTTACATCTTCCGTAGGGGTAGGACTAGGTTCATCTGTAGGTAATGTTGTGAAGTCTGTATTTGTTGGTTCTAGGAAAACATTGAAAATTGTTTGAATACTTTATAGTTTCAGATAATTGGTGAAATTAATGGATAAAAGCAATGTGATAATCATACGTGTTGATGATATTATATGTTCTGTAGGAGTAGATTCAGGTTCATCTGGAGGTGATGTTGGGAACTCTGTGATTGTTTGTTCTAAGGAAACAATTACCATTATTTTACTATCTTATACGTTCAGAAAATGTAAAATGTATGGATGAAAACAACTTCCTAATCATACCTGGTAATGTTATATCTTCTGTAGGGGTAGGATTAGGTTCATCTGTAGGTAATGTTGTGAAGTCTGTGTCTGATGGTTCTAGGGAAACATTGAAGATTGTTTTAATACTTTATAGTTTCAGATAATTGGTCAAATTCATGGATAAAAACTACGGGATAATCATACCTGCTGATGTTACATCTTCCGTAGGGGTAGGACTAGGTTCATTTGTAGGTAATGTTGTGAAGTCTGTATTTGTTGGTTCTAGGAAAACATTGAAAATTGTTTGAATACTTTATAGTTTCAGATAATTGGTGAAATTAATGGATAAAAGCAATGTGATAATCATACGTGTTGATGATATTATATGTTCTGTAGGAGTAGATTCAGGTTCATCTGGAGGTGATGTTGGGAACTCTGTGATTGTTTGTTCTAAGGAAACAATTACCATTATTTTACTATCTTATACGTTCAGAAAATGTAAAATGTATGGATGAAAACAACTTCCTAATCATACCTGGTAATGTTATATCTTCTGTAGGGGTAGGATTAGGTTCATCTGTAGGTAATGTTGGGAAGTCTGTGTCTGATGGTTCTAGGGAAACAGTGAAAATTGTTTTAATACTTTATAGTTTCTGATAATTGGTCAAATTCATGGATAAAAACAATGTGATAATCATACCTGGTGATGTTATATCTTCTGTAGGGGTAGGACCAGGTTCATCTGTAGGTGATGTTGGGAAGTCTGTGTCTGATGGTTCTAGGGAAACAGTGAAAATTATTGAAATATCTTATATGTTCGGGTAGTTTCTCAAATGTATTAAGAATTCAAATATTATAATCATACCTGGTGATGTTACATCTTCCGAAGGGGTAGGACTTGGTTCATCTGTAGGTAATGTTGTGAAGTCTGTATATGTTGGTTCTAGGGAAACATTGAAAATAGTTTTAATACTTTATAGTTTCAGATAAATGGTCAAATTCATGGATAAAAACTAAGTGATAATCATACCTGGTGATGTTATATCTTCCGAAGGGGTAGGACTTGGTTCATCTGTAGGTAATGTTGTGAAGTCTGTATTTGTTGGTTCTAGGAAAACATTGAAGATTGTTTTAATATTTCGATTTAAAGCTTTAACATAGCCATTTCTGTGACCAGTCACAAGCTAATCACTCAGCTATTTCAATGCTAAATTCAATGCTAATTCCTTTGTCAAGGCGCTTTGTTTCTTCTCACACAGCTTAAAGGTCGCGATCTGAGCGTGGCTTTGTTCACTCCAGCGCTGTCCTCCAGACAATCTCGTCCCTTCACCTGATGAAGGCCGCTTGTGTTGTGGCCGAAACGTCGTGAGAATTTTATTGCGTTATTTTATTTTATCAATTTATTATTTTATTTTCATTCTACGTGACTTTACCGAAAGAACCAAAGAAGATTGTTTTAATACTTTCTAGTTTCAGATAATTGTTCAAATTCATGGATAAAAACTACGGGATAATCATACCTGCTGATGTTACATCTTCCGTAGGGGTAGGACTAGGTTCATCTGTAGGTAATGTTGTGAAGTCTGTATTTGTTGGTTCTAGGAAAACATTGAAAATTGTTTTAATACTTTATAGTTTCAGATAATTGGTGAAATTAATGGATAAAAGCAATGTGATAATCATACATGTTGATGATATTATATGTTCTGTAGGAGTAGATTCAGGTTCATCTGGAGGTGATGTTGGGAACTCTGTGATTGTTTGTTCTAAGGAAACAATTACCATTATTTTACTATCTTATACGTTCAGAAAATGTAAAATGTATGGATGAAAACAACTTCCTAATCATACCTGGTAATGTTATATCTTCTGTAGGGGTAGGATTAGGTTCATCTGTAGGTGATGTTGTGAAGTCTGTGTCTGATGGTTCTAGGGAAACATTGAAGATTGTTTTAATACTTTATAGTTTCAGATAATTGGTCAAATTCATGGATAAAAACTACGTGATAATCATACCTAGTGATGTTATATCTTCTGTAGGGGTAGGACCAGGTTCATCTGTAGGTGATGTTGGGAAGTCTGTGTCTGATGGTTCTAGGGAAACAGTGAAAATTATTGAAATATCTTATATGTTCGGGTAGTTTTTCAAATGTATTAAGAATTCAAATATTATAATCATACCTGGTGATGATATTAATTCTTCTGGAGGCGTAGGACTAGGTTCATCTGTAGGTAATGTTGTGAAGTCTGTATTTGTTGGTTCTAGGGAAACATTGAAAATAGTTTTCATACTTTATAGTCTCAGATAAATGGTCAAATACACGGACAAAAACTAAGTGATATTCATACCTGGTGATGTTATATCTTCTGTAGGGGTAGGACTAGGTTCATCTGTAGGTAATGTTGTGAAGTCTGTATTTGTTGGTTCTAGGAAAACGTTGAAAATTGTTTTAACAGCTTATAGTTTCAGATAATTGGTGAAATGCATGGATAAAGCAATTTGATAATCATACCTGCTGATGATATTATATGTTCTGTAGGAGTAGATTCAGGTTCATCTGGAGGTGATGTTGGGAACTCTGTGTCTGATGGTTCTAGGGAAACATTGAAAATTATTGAAATGTTTAAAATGTTTGGATAGTTTATCAAGTGTGTAGTGACATCGGGGGGATGTCACTGTATGGTGCCGGCCCAGAAGGGCTGTGCTGTTCGATGTTCCTACATCGTGGACAGCACCGTGTGAGTGGCTATGTGTAATACCGGCCCTAGCGGGCCTTGGTGAGCACTGGGATAGTGCAGGCACCACGCGCAGTGTGTGGTGGGGAATCCCAAGAGTAGGATTGGGTGAGTGTCAGCCCAGGGGCAGGGTTGCCCCGGGCCATGGCCCTCTGGTTGACCCCGTAGACACGTGATCCAGAGTGTCCACACAAGGGGCCCCAGGTGGGGAGGCTAGTGGGTGATCACGTGTCCGGAGAGACCTCTTGAGAGGGATTGAGAGGGAACGAGAATGCTCGAGAAGGCGGACGGGGCCGAGGGCAGAGCGGACCTGACCGTAGGGGGATATAAGGTGGGTCCCTTCTACAAGTTGGAAGCTCAACACCTACAAGCGGGAAGCTCTACGTAAGCTGGAAGCTCTTCGTCTTATGAGGCAACCACGTGGTCGGAGACCCGAGTGAGGGTCCGACCCTTCGTAGCAGTAACCCCTCTGTATAGCGTAGTTAGCTGTGTGGTCACCACCCTAGGCTGTATCGGGTAAAGAGGCCGTTATCCCTTTGTGTTACGGTGTTACAATAAATGTGTTGCCTCTAAAAGAAACAACGTCTGCAACTCAGTTGGACTCACTACACATGCATTAATAATAAAAACGTGATAATCATACCTGGTGATGACGTTAATTCTTCTGTAGGAGTAGGACTAGCATCATCTGTAGGTAATGTTGTGAAGTCTGTATTTGTTGGTTCTAGGGAAACATTGAATATTCTTTTTTACATCTTATACGTTCAGATAATTTGAGGGCTTCACTATTCTGGCAAATTGCCCGATGATGCTGGATGTAATTACCAGCAAAACGTCGTACTAAAAAATTGTAAATGTTGTGGATTTACTCTTCAACACACCGGTGGGCTAAAGTAGTGAACTATTTGTCTTTTGTCAACGTGACACCTTTTTTACTGATTGGCCATGTCGGGTGGTGGAGGGTTATGACACATTTATAAATAACGCGATCTCACCCAAAAACGTTTATTATGAATAATATTGGTCGCGAAAGCCTACGTGTTCAGATAGTTTATCAAATGTATTATGAATAAAAATATGATAATCATACCTGGTGATGATGTGAATTCTTCTGTAGGAGTAGGACTAGGTTCATCTGTAGGTAATGTTGTGAAGTCTGTATTTGTTGATTCTAGGGAAACATTTAAACTTGTTTTAATACTTTATAGTTTCAGATAATTGGTCAAATTCATGGATAAAAACTACGTGATAATCATACCTGTTGATGATATTATATCTTCTGTAGGAGTAGATTCAGGTTCATCTGGAGGTGATGTTGGGAACTCTGTGTTTGTTGGTTCTGAAGAAACATTTACCATTATTTTAACATCTGATATGTTCAGATAGTTGATCAAATTAAGTAACAATAACATGATAATAATACCTGGTGATGATGGTAAATCTTCTGAGGAGGTAGGGTCAGGTTCATCTGTAGGTAATGTTGGAACATCTTTGTCTGTTGGTTCGAAGGAAACACGGAACATTGTTTACATTGTATACATTTGGAACGTTGGGAGGTATCTTTCTGTTGGTTCTGAGCATTTATCCATTTTGTTTTTTTTATATATCTTAAAAGTTGAGATAGTAGTTTGAAGTTCTTAAGATTGAGTAAATTATAATGTTGTGTCATATATAGAGGTAGGACTAGGTTCATCTGTAGGTAATATTGTGAAGTCTGTGTTTGTTGGTTCCGGGGAACATTGGAAAATGATTCAAATATTTTATGCGTTCAGATAGTTGATCAATGTATTATGAATAACATGATACTCATATCTGGTGATGATATTAAATCGTCTGTGGGAGTAGGACCAGGTTCATCAGTAGGTAATGTTGGGGCATCTGTGTCTGTTGGTTCTAGGGAAACATTTAAAATTATTTTTACATCTTATATGTTCGGACAGTTGGTCTAATTTATTCAAAATACAATATAATCATACCTGGTGATGATGTTATATCTTCTGTAGGGCTTGGACCATGTTCAACTGTTTGTAATGTTGAGAAGTCTGAGTTTGTTGGCTCTAAGGAAACATCTATCTTATCTATATAATATCTTATATAATCTTATCTTCTAATATAATAATACGCCTACTCGCACTGGCGAATCGAACCGTGGAACTATTTGGTTTTGCAGAGCCATCCTCTACCAGCTATAAGTCCTAACGTCAACGCTAGAAGAGTGTGTTGAGAGGGTGTGTACGCGGGTGTGTGTCTGTGTGTGTGGGGAGCGGTAGTGCAGCGGTGAGCGCTAAGCTGCGCTACGAACGTTCGGTTCCCGCACGGCCAACACCAGTGATGATAGCTGAATCGGGCATGGGCCTCCCGTAGGTCTATTCCATCTCAAATGAGTACATGGTGCGTTGTGTAAGCATCGCCACTAGGGAGACAAAGGCGGTCGGGCGTGGTGCTGGCCACCCACCTCCTCGTGTGCCGTGCCGTCCTTCATCGGTACTCGCTAACAGCACTTGCCCCAACAGTCTGTTAAAGGCTCTACGGGGGACTTGTCTTTGTGTGTGCGTGTGAAAGAGTTTCCTGATAAGTAGCACTCTGCTCATCATGAAATCCTCACAGAAGTTCCGCGGATTCCTGCTCGTCAAACAATATCTTCTTATACGTTTTGATGGCCTTGTCAGTGTTTCATTTTTAAAACTGGGATAAACAACCGCTAACTCACAACTTGTTTCAAGTCACTGAAAAAAGTTCCAGTGACTTATCAACCTTCCCCACCCCAATTCCGCATACAGAAGTGCTTAAGATAAAATTTTTCCTGTTGATTTAAGGAAATTAATACGTAGAATAAAATGAGTGCAGAAGTTAACAAATGTTTATTTCCGCAAATGCAGCCACAGGCCAACTAGATTACGTAATTGTTCCTCGTTTATTAAGTGTTAATTAGATATAGAATGTTTTAATTATTAATATATTAATTAACATTGAATATACTCTTTGGTTCTATTCGCTAAAGTCACGTGACTTTACCGAATAGAACCAAAGAGTATGGATCCTTGCAGTCACGAAAGCTTTAAATCTAACATTGAATATGTTTCAATTACTTAGTTTTGTCATATCGTTGACATCGCTCATAATTAGAAAGAGTCTCTCTGAAATGAGTCTGGGTTTTAGAGATATTCCTGTACATCTTCAAGTCGTGTCTTCAAAAGGAAAGGTGTCAGTTTTGTGTCTGTTGGTTCCAGAGAGCAATGCATGGTCAAGTCGCTACCTATTAACTAAATGTTAGTCCACAAAAACAAAAAAATCGGTGGCCCAGAGAATTTGATTGCAGTAGCATTAAGCCAGTTTCGCTGAGATCCTGGGTTCAAATCCAGGCGAATAATCACGATTAAACCGGACTCTTAAGTGTAGTCAGTTGATATGCTCTGCCCAATCACCAATGACTGCACAAAAAAAACTGCTTAAAGTTTGGATTGTTTCTTAATTTGGCTCAATTTCCAGCTTTGAGACAATATCAATTTGACTGTAATTAGCCCCCTGCCGAATCAAATTTTAAAATGTCGCTTGAGGGATTTTTCAGGAAAATTTATTTTAAAAGTCACTTGCTGCGTTCATTCTCTGATACACGGGGATCAGCACTGCTCGGTGAGATTTACGTATGGAATCTGCATCTCACGACACGAAGCGGATATAACATTTGTAATAAATGTGTAGGGGAAAAATACGAACAAAAATAAATTACACATTTAAGTTGATTATTTGCATCAGATTGTTGTGGTAGTGCTGTAAGCAGAATATTTTCGTGTGTTTCCAGACAGGCATTTACAAGTCCATTCGTGAGATTTCATCACACCAGTTTTAGTCACATACATATGAAAAAAAAACAAGCACTATATGCTTATTCACTAACTAAACGTGATAATATTAGTCATGGAACACGTTGGCTGGCCAAGTCTTGTGTACAAACACGAATCACCTACACGTGGTAGCAGACCAGGCAGTCTTTGCCATTGCTCGTGTGGGAACATCCCGAGGTGTGTGCGCACAACCGCACGACACAGTAACGCACAATTTGGATTCAGACATTCAGTCATTGGGCCCTCCACTTGCACATGGGCAAGGGGAATCGCTAGAACGGATGGCCCGGGGGAGGGAGTTCCAGACTGTGGTCATAGCAGAGGAGAATGTGTAACCTCCCAACCGAGTGAATCTTGACTTGGGGGTTTGACATAAAGCCTTGATTGCTGGAGTGGAGAGGGCATGGAGGGGAGAGGATGGATGGGAGTGGTGGGAAAGGCTAATTCCCTGGATGGTTTTGAAGATGGGGGGGCGATCTTGATATTGATCTGAGACTCTCTTTGGAGCCAGGGGAGAGATCGGAGCTTTCAGGGGAGATTGGTCTCGTTGGCGAGTCTGGGTAAGGAGTGGGCAATGTCTAATTCAATTTGCGAGCGTACAAACACACGCTCACCAATTGCCCTGGTATGCCAAATACCAGGGCAACACTCGTTACAAATATGTAATTTACAATTTTGCACACAAAAAACATATAGAGGTGTGGGCGTTGGGATTTCTAAGCGTCGTGGTAGATTTAGTGTTGAGGTTCTTGGATGGAACTACACATAGATGCAATGTATCCTGGCCGTTATAGCGGCAGCTGTCTTCCTAACAACGAGTGTCCCCACCGACGATGAGGTTACATATGTATTCAGGAGAAACGAGTGTGGTGGGTTCTTCACTGTGGAAGAGGTGGAAGTCTGTGTGTTCGTTGGGTATATTTAAAGAATGAAATAGTGGAATGCTGAATGTCACCAAATATAAACAACTCTTGAATATTCCGCAGAATTCTCAACACTCGTGCCAACCCGCAAAACCGCACTTTTTTGCGCGACTGAGAGAACACTTGTGGCCTTAAATATGGTCGTGTATTGAGTATCAGTTGTTTTGTGCTGCAGACCTTGTGTCGAAGTGCTGTCGTCATTCGTTGATTTGGGGACTTCCGTTTGTTCCGTTATTGCTTCTGTAAAATCTGTGTCAGTGGGGATCCAGAAAAATAAACAAATGTACGTTGAGCATGCAGCAATTAGTTCGATTACCATCGCAACCCAAACTATGGCCCATACAGTAGACCAAGGAGGAGGAGGAAGAGCGACACGACTCTCTCTCTCTGCTGTAACCCTCTCATCGTGCTCAGCAGCAGCAGACCTCGACGTTGGGATCGCAAGAATGGAAATAGCAATGAGTGTAATTCATCAATACCCATGTGGAAGACGTGTCCAGGACACTAGGCGATGAGAGATTTTCTGAATGAGCTGCAGAAGGGTTTTTGAGTAAGGACTGACGGTGGGTTCGAATCGAGCACACGGCAAATGTTCCGAGTGATGTTGCCGCCACACAATGAGAGTGAACGAGGCGCCCCGTTGTGAACGGGGCGAAGTGCGATTTGTCCGTCACAGAACGAGGCACTGTCCATTGCTCGTTTACACAGGCGGGGCCAACAGTCGTACTTTTAGTGTCTCAGAGTAGCATGGTTGTGTAGTGTATCGTGGAGTACATATTAGTGTAGTGGAGTCGATCATTGGGTGGTATAGCGTGTCGTATAGGATTAGTCCAGTCGAGTAGTATTAATGAAAGTGTATAGTATTTGTGAAGTAAAGAGTAGTATTGTTGTGTTGTCTAGTACCGGATTAGTGTACAAGTGTATTATAAGTCGAGTATACACGAGACAGGAGCACTAAACACCAAGCAACTGATGGCATCGCTGCATGGATTACTACTCAGCACCCACTTAAGATGTTTTGTCATGTAAACAAATGCCATACGAGAGACGACCTAAGGATTGGTAAGGGGTCTGTGTGTTGTTTCGTCAAAACAATTACATGTAAATACATTTAACGAGGTAATTGCTCTGTGGCAGTCCTCATTCTGCTGATGAATGTGGTGATGATTGGGTATTCCTGAGGTTACATCAGCGTGCACGCGAAGAGAAGGTGGAGGGAAGCTTTGTGTCTGTGGGTTCTGTAGATTACACAGCAACATGTCGTTTTTAACCAAACATACACAAAATAATACCGATAATAATTATTATGCATTCACAATGCAGACCTGGTGTTGAAGTGATGTCGTCATCAGTTGTTGAATCGGGAACGTCTGTTTCTCCAGTCACTGCTTCGGTAAAATCTGTCCATGCAGGTTGATAATAATGATATTAATGGATAACAGTGATATCATTTATATGTTTTACTTTTATCTCTCATGTGCTGCGCTTTCAGATTACCAACTTGAAAGACCCTTTAAACAACTGGATTTTTATTATTATTTATCTTAATCATATCACAATAAAGTTCGTAAAATTAATAGTGAAGACGTGTGGTTACACGTGGTGAGATCAAATGATGTGAGCAAGCAAGATCAGTGTCTTCAGTATGGCGTGAGATTTGTTTGTTGCTTTTGACCAAGCATACAGAAAACGCGATTATGCATTCAAAATGCTGACCTGGTGTTTCAGTGACATCGTCATCATTTGTTGAATCCGAGACGCCTGCTTCTACCGTCACTGCTTGTGTTAAATCTGCTTCTGTGGGTTCAGAAAAAAAGTCTCATTATATTAATGGATAACAGTTATTTGTTAAACTGAAGATGCTGAAGACATGAACATGACACCCAGTGATGGTAAAATATCTCAGTGGGTGGCAGCAATGTAACTCGCAATGATGGAGTGTGTGCGTGTGTGTCTGTTCTGTTGTAGACATTATTAACCCCGTGTATTGGGTACAATTTAATATTCAGTGTAATACTCGGAGAGTTAAATACGTGCTGGAATAAAGAGGCCAACAAGAGTGGGTTTGGATCGCTTTTTGAAAGCTGAAATAAACACTGTGATTCAAATAACCCCCAATAACAACAATTTGCTCAAGGATCATTGACTCGTGGTCAGAACTGACTACGGAGCGGTGGCCAAAGTCGTGAACACGCCCGAGTGGACATTCACTGTGGATATGGAGTGATACAATCAGCCACATGGACTGATGCATCATGTGACGACGATGGTGGCGATGGCTTTGGGCAGGCCATCTTCCAGCAGTGGATACATCATGGTTGATGATAATGATTTTAATGTAGCTATGAGATAAACATGTACAATATATATTGGGTTAAAGTGACGTTAGCGAACATTGCAGCAACTTCTACGGTTTCGAAATGAGTGTGCGTCTATAAGCACAATGAGTCATGACCAGCCCGTTGTCATTTTTATATTCATGGGACTCATTAGGGCTAAATTATTAGCAACCCTGTCAATATACTGCTGCTAGATGGTGGTGAAGGTTTACTCACCCGGATCGTCTGTTGATTCCTCTGTGGAATTCACGGCTAGCGGCGTCTCGGTAGCGTCTGCAGAGAAGAGGAGCGGCGGTCACAGACACAACAACAACAGCAGCCGCCGCTAAGTGGCGATGATGTCACCATGGCGCTTGTGCCAGACGAGGTGCACCTTGAGGCCACGTGAAGTATCGAAGGCTCACTGGCAGGATGTCACGGAACAGATCCATGTGCTATGGGATGACTGACCGAGATGACCGGCAGGTGCACACCAGCTGTGCTCTCCCCACTGTGCTGCTGCCGAACGCTCCTCGCACGTCGCGTCCGCTCGCAGCAGCTGCAGCAGTAGCAGTGCCAAGCGGACCCAGACTCTGGCACTGAGCTCCCAAACAAATTGCCGTGCGTGAGAAGGGAAGAGTGCCTACCTGTTTCCGCTAACGTGAATTCATCCGGAGACGTTGCGTATGTCTCTTCCGTGCCAGATGGTGAGCTTGCGTCTGCTGTGACAGAGAAGAGCATTGCCATATTACTATTGCACAATCAGCATTCGGGTTGTGGTGGAGAATATAAGTTACAAGATAACTAAACAGGCGGCATCTGCTTCTCATATCTGTCCCTCCATTAAATAAGTATCAGTATATTTACACATCCCTTCAGCCTTATTACTTTATGGAAGTGCATAATTTTGACAGCCTTGGTTTATAATACAAGACAACGTTGGAGCGGTTTTGACATGCAGTGTCTCATCAGCAGAGTCGGGCCAGCTGGCTATCTGCGAACATATTTACTACATTCCTTTGCTTGCTTTAAACGCGATGATTCCCGGTGATTCAAATACTGCAGTAATTATCCTGATACAGTGAAATATCCATGGTCACCTGATATGGACAAATTTTTCTTCAGAGTGAGAATTCCTCGTCGGTCCTTATTAGCGGGAGGAACAAACACTCAAATTCGTCCATAACTCTTAAAAGGAAAAACTAAAGTATAAAATGGATGACGTTTCGGGCAATAGCTCTTCATGTGCCATGAAGAAATGTTACTATAGAGTTGTTTCCCTTTTAGAGGAATGTATTAACAAATGTGTGTAATTTATGTTATCCTTGTGCACCACAGTCAAATGGTTAACGCCAAATATAGTTTGTTTAAGTTATAAGTTCGGTAGTCTTTCCTGTATGAGGCGAGCTGGCAAACTTAACGGTGAGCTTTAGACCGTGACCCAGAGCAGACATTGGTAGCAAAACCTTCGTCCTAATCATTTATTCGTATGGCCAATAAGAGTGAAGTACTCTGTAGCCCCACTGCCATCGGCCACATGAGAGAAATCAGAACCACCTCGCGTGGAACCCATAAGTGAAGTATGTCTTGGTGTTAGCTCACGGACAATAGCCACAAAGTGACCGGTGTGGTGCACGGTTCGGGTTAACCAACATCTAACACATTAACCAACACCTAACACACTCAACATATAACAGATAAACCAGCATCTAACACACTCAACATCTAACAGATAAACCAACATCTCACACATTCCACATATAACAGATGAACCAACATCTCACACATTCCACATATAACAGATAAACCAACATCTAACACACTCAACATATAACACATTAACCAACATCTAAAACACTCAACATATAACAGATAAACCAACATCTAACACACTCAACATATAACAGATAAACCAACATCTAACACACTCAACATATAACAGATAAACCAACATCTAACACACTCAACATATAACAGATAAACCAACATCTCACACATTCCACATATAACAGATAAACCAACATCTAACACACTCAACATCTAACAGATAAATAAACATCGAACACACTCAACATATAACACATTAACCAATATCTAACACACAGCATATAACAGATAAACCAACATCTAACACACTCAACATATAACAGATAAACCAACATCTAAAACACTCAACATATAACAGATAAACCAACATCTCACACACTCAACATATAACACATTAACTAATATCTAACACACTCAACATATAACAGATAAATAAACATCTAACACACTCAACATATAACACATTAACCAATATCTAACACACTCAACATATAACAGATAAACCAACATCTCACACATTCCACATATAACAGATAAACCAACATCTAACACACTCAACATCTAACAGATAAACCAACATCTAACACACTCAACATCTAACAGATAAACCAACATCTAACACACTCAACATCTAACAGATAAACCAACATCTAACACACTCAACATATAACACATTAACCAACATCTAAAACACTCAACATATAACTGATAAACCAACATCTAAAACACTCAACATATAACAGATAAACCAACATCTAACACACTCAACATATAACAGATAAACCAACACCTAACACACTCAACATATAACAGATAAACCAACATCTAACACACTCAACATATAACAGATAAATAAACATCTAACACACTCAACATATAACACATTAACCAATATCTAACACACTCAGCATATAACAGATACACCAACATCTAACACACTCAACATATAACAGATAAACCAACATCTAACACACTCAACATCTAACAGATATACCAACATCTAACACACTCAACATCTAACAGATAAACCAACATCTAACACACTCAACATATAACACATTAACCAACATCTAAAACACTCAACATATAACAGATAAACCAACATCTAACACACTCAACATATAACACATTAACCAATATCTAACACACTCAGCATATAACAGATAAACCAACATCTAACACACTCAACATATAACAGATAAACCAACATCTAACACACTCAACATATAACAGATAAACCAACATCTCACACATTCCACATATAACAGAAAAAAACAACATCTAACACACTCAACATATAACAGAAAAACCAACATCTAACACACTCAACATATAACAGATAAATAAACATCGAACACACTCAACATATAACACATTAACCAATATCTAACACACAGCATATAATAGATAAACCAACATCTAACACACTCAACATATAACAGATAAACCAACATCTAAAACACTCAACATATAACAGATAAACCAACATCTCACACACTCCACACACGCGCCCTGTGTCTCGAGAGCATTCTGTTACTCTTGTTGGAGAGCTCGCATTTTATCATCTGAAACTATATATATTTTCCTTATTTTCTTTACAAATTAACAAGTGACAATATACAAGGGATATTTTCTAAATACTGTGAGTAGGACTCAAACAATATTTAAAGTGCCTTATTTTTTATACATATAACACGGTAATACACAAATAACATCTATCCATAATGGATATTATATAGAAAGCCCTTGTCTTGTCAAACCATTTACAACTATACTCTTTGGTTCTTTCGGTAAAGTCAAGTAGGTATAAAATAAAATAAATTACTAATATTACACCTACGTGACCTTACGGAAATAACCAAAGAGTATGGATCCATGCATTTAGAGAAAACTTCAAATCTAGATTCATTTACAACTAGTCTCAATTATCCCTGTATAATTGCTCTTGATTGCGACTCACCGCTGCATAGCAGAATAACCCACAGCGTCACAATGAAGACAACATATCTTCCGCTTGTAATATTCTTGCTTGTGAAGTTCAGCTTAGGCATGTTGTGGTTTTCGATCTTTGCGCGTAATGGATTTAAATGTATTACTTTAAGGTGCTGCTAGGCTGTGAGTTAAATGCGGTCTGGAGAGAGGGGAGGTGTCGTCCCGGTGTTAGCTAAGTCGCCACGCATGTCGTCACACCCTCACTCACGGTCCATGCAAATGCCGTGCATTCTTGCTATCGACGTTACAAAATACTCAAGTATGCGTCCACATTAGGTGATGAGTGGAGCAAGTGACAATACATAACCATTACGTCTGGCCCGCCTGACGAAACGCCGCCGTCCATTTAGAGAACCCTGCGGAAGTGAACGTGGCATAGAGAGACGATCTGCAATCCTATCTCAAGATGCTCCTTTAAAATCGTACAGTTATCAGGATAGAGGGGTGGGGGGCAGATGGGGGGGGGGGGCTAGGGTCGCCAGATTGTCCACCATAGACCTCAGTCAAGTGTGCTCGCCTATGGAATATTCGCGTGCAACGCGGTGGGGGTACCAGACTTGGGTACAAGTCAGCTCTTACCACCCGAACACGCGCGTCAATTTACGAACTATTCGGGTCAAACCTGGACAGGTGGCAACCAAAGGAGGTTGGTTCGGGCCGACAACGCAACACTGCGGCACAGCCCGGGGCCCAACAATAATACAAATTAAAACAAATTACAACAACAATTACAACAACCAAGGAGTCCTCGGTGGGTGGAACCCACTCACCAGGGGGACTCAGTGTGCGCTGCAAGTGGAATGATGCCAGCGCTGTGTTTTCGAGGCGGGCAGTCCTTGACAATGTTCTCAATGTGCCGTGACTTCTCGATATTTTTCAAATTGCGCATGAAATGCCTGGTCCAGTAACCAAAAGTAATTACACAGGATCACTTGGTTGGTTGGCGAGATATTTTGGTCAAAGATGAATCACCTAGGCATGGCAGTGGTCTACAAATACAGTATTTGCCATCGGGTCACGTGTTGATATTGGACTGCCTGATATCCTCTTTGTGTGCGTTGTGGGCAGAGGATGGAATGGGGGCCTTGATCAGAAGGGAGCAGCAGAGTGGACGGGGGGTAGAAGGGAGATAATACAATAGGGGGTTAGGGTTAGACTGACCCCCCCATACTCGACATCTGTGAAAAAGAGCTTCATAGGTCATCGGATTCCTCTTGCAGTCTAAATATTCGGATTGTGAGTAACTCAGAGCAAGAGCCCGACATTTATCGGTTAGCACCGAGCTTGTTATGAAAACCGCACAGTCTCCTGACCTAGTTCTACACAGCAACATCGGGGCCAGATCTCGAGACAGGTCAACTCCTGCTGATCGAATACAGACGCTGGTCATGGCAATTGTTTAACCACATTTCATCAAGCTGGTCAGTTCGGGTTAGTTAAGATGGGTACTGATATCATTATCCACTGATGTTAGTTTTCCGTGGTCGGGAATCATTCAGGTTGTTGGGCTTATAGTGCAATACGCTAACCGATGAACCACCACTCCCTCCCACCACTCCTATACAACGAATACTAAACTAAAAGCATGCATTGTGCCACGCCATTCAAGGCAAGTTCCCCGTACAATGTGAACGCATTGCGAAAACCAGGCAAAGGTGCAGAGCTGCAAATGCTTGCTCACACCACGACCAGGACTCCGCTCGAGCAAATTCTCGAGGGGATTTTGCCTCCTATTCTACTGTGGCCACACGTCGTGGCCATCGTAGAAGAGGCAGCAGCAGCATAGAGATTAGAGAAACTATCCCCATCATTTTGACTGCCACGCCAGGAGATGGAATCGAACCGACGTCCTCTGGATTGCAAGTCCAGATGTCTTGTGACCCCCAATTAATTGACCCCTGTTTTCCTTCGCATATTCATTTGTTTTAAATAAACATTGCTTTAAATATACAGTATTAAGTTTTAGTGACTTTAATGGTGGTCACAAGACATGTGGACCAGCCTGTACAATGTCCCAACCGTAGTATCACTGTGGTAGCTCTGCGCTGTGCTATTAGCGCCACCTGCAGCCTAGAGTGAGAACACTGCAAGTCGACGCACGACGACACGTGCGTGTGTGTGAGAGTGGGGAGCCAAGTGAAAGATAACGTGTTTGCAAAAAAATTATAACGAATAGCTTGCGTGATCTCAAACTGCAGAGACATTGTAAACAACTAAATTTGGTGCTTTCGTGACTGCAGGAATTACTCTTTGGTTTTTTCGGTAAAGTCACGTAGAAATAAGAAATAATAATACAATAAAATTACATAATAGCATACGACGTTTCGATTGCAACGCAAGCAATCATCATCAGGTATAGAAGAGCTAAATTTAAGAGAGAGAGAGAGGAAACAGAGATAGATTGAGAAGCACATCAAATTGAACAAGATTTAGTAAAATTTGGAAACAACATAATGCAGCACAGAGGGTCGGTCAAAACACAATTAACGCATGGTCTGGCTGATTACGTTATTTCAAAGATTGCTAAATTATAGGTTAAGAGTGATAGAGTACAGACCACAGACACATATATAGACATCCAAGCAGAGAGAAACGGGGAGGTATAAAGTATGTGTCTTTGCGTTGTCTCTGTTTGTGTCTCCGTGTATGTGTCGTTTCTCTCAAATGTCACACAACTTAAGTTTGTGTCTCTATGTTGTCTCTACCTGTGTTTCTGCCTTTGTGTCTACGTGTATGTGTCTTGTCTCTCTCCACAGTCCCTGTGGGCATGCTAATCTGATTTCTGTGCCCCCTTCCTCCCCCCTCACCACGCTGCAGCGGCATGTGCCGTGGCTCCCAGTCCATGCTAATTTGTATTCCTTTGCTCTGTCTCCAACCCCCCTCCCTCCCTCCCTCCCCCTCTATTTTAAGCTTCGACACAGAAGCATTGTTGCACTGTGTCTCTCTCTGTGTGTCTCTGTGCTGGCTCTCTCTGCTTGGATGTCTATATATGTGTCTGTGATCTGTACTCTATCACTCTTAACCTATAATTTTAGCAATCTTTGAAATAACGTAACCAGCCAGACCATGCGTTAATTGTGTTTTGACCGACCCTCTGTGCTGCATTATATTGTTTCCAAATTTTACTAAATCTTGTTCAATTTGATGTGCTTCTCCATCTCTCTGTGTTTCCTCTCTCTCTTAAATTTAGCTCTTCTATACCTGATGATGATTGCTTGCGTTGCAATCGAAACGTCGTATGATATAATGTAATTTTATTTTATTATTATTTCTTATTTCTACGTGACTTTACCGAAAAAACCAAAGAGTACATTGTAAACAATTACACCTGAGATGCTGGCAACACCTGGGACTCTCACATCTCGATAAGTGTCGCCAATGCAATGGCAAACACGTGGGGTGTAGACTGTAGAGGCTTGACAAACGAGAAAATGTTCACACTGCCGAGAAGGAATATGAACACTGATTGAGCTCAAACAGATCCCTGTAGTACTTTCATCGGTGGGACTTTTATGGACACCCAGTACACCAAGAATGTATGCATCGAGTCAATGTGGGATGTGTCGTGTCCTCCTTCCTCCCGGCGTGTGTGTGGTGTGTGTGTGGTGTGTGTGTGGTGTGTGTGTGTGTGGTGTGTGTGTGGTGTCTGTGTGTGGTGTGTGTGTGGTGTGCGTGTGGTGTGTGCGTGTGGTGTGCGTGTGTGGTGTGCGTGTGGTGTGCGTGTGTATGTGGCGTGTGTGTGCGTCTGTGGTGTGCGTGTGGTGTGTGTGTGTGGTGTGCGTGTGTATGTGACGTGTGTGTGGCGTGCGTGTGGTGTGTATGTGTGTGGTGTGCGTGTGTATGTGGCGTGTGTGTGATGTGCGTGTGGTGTGCGTGTGGTGTGTGTGGTGTGCGTGTGGTGTGTGTGTGGTGTGCGTGTAGTGTGTGTGTATGTGGTGTGCGTGTGGTGTGCGTGTGGTGCGTGTGTGTGGTGTGCGTGTGGTGTGGTGTGCGTGTGGTGTGTGTGTGGTGTGCGTGTGTGTATAGTGTGCGTGTGTGTGGTGTGCGTGTGGTGTGCGTGTGTGTGTGGTGTGCGTGTGGTGTGCGTGTGTATGTGGCGTGTGTGTGCGTCTGTGGTGTGCGTGTGGTGTGTGTGTGTGGTGTGCGTGTGTATGTGACGGTTGTGTGGTGTGCGTGTGGTGTGTGTGTGTGGTGTGCGTGTGTATGTGGCGTGTGTGTGATGTGCGTGTGGTGTGGTGTGCGTGTGGTGTGTGTGGTGTGCGTGTGGTGTGTGTGTGGTGTGCGTGTGGTGTGTGTGTATGTGGTGTGCGTGTGGTGTGCGTGTGTGTTGTGTGTGTGTGGTGTGCGTGTGGTGTGCGTGTGTGGTGTGCGTGTGTGATGTGCGTGTCGTGTGCGTGTGGTGTGCGTGTCGTGTGATGTGCGTGTGGTGTGTGTGGTGTGTGTGTGTAGTGTGCGTGTGGTGTGCGTGTGTGTGGTGTGTGTGGTGTGCGTGTGGTGTGTGTGTATGTGGTGTGTGGTGTGCGTGTGGTGTGTGTGGTGTGCGTGTAGTGCGTGTGTGTGGTGTGCGTGTGGTGTGCGTGTGGTGTGTGTGTGGTGTGCGTGTGTGTGTGGTGTGCGTGTGGTGTGCGTGTGTGTGTGGTGTGCGTGTGGTGTGCGTGTGGGGTGCGTGTGTGTGGTGTGCGTGTGTGTGTGTGTGGTGTGCGTGTGGTGTGCGTGTGGTGTGTGTGTAGTGTGCGTGTGGTGTGCGTGTGTGTGTGGTGTGCGTGTGTGGTGTGCGTGTGGTGTGTGTGTGTGTGGTGTGCGTGTGGTGTGTGTGGTGTGCGTGTGGTGCGTGTGGTGTGTGTGGTGTGCGTGTGGTGTGTGTGGTGTGTGTGGTGTGCGTGTGGTGTGTGTGTGGTGTGTGTGTGGTGTGCGTGTGGTGTGTGTGTAGTGTGTGTATGTGGTGTGTGTGGTGTGTGTGTGGTGTGTGTGTGTGTGGTGTGCGTGTGTGTGGTGTGCGTGTGGTGTGTGTGTGCGGTGTGCACACACTCAGTCGGAGACGAGGTAGTTGCAGGAGGTACCGTCCACACCAACTCCGGCCTCCTCTCTCTCGACCACGCTGTCGTACAGCCCAGCCTAGAAACGACCCTAACCGCGTTGCACCGACGGCTTCGACTGAGACAGCCGACCACTGTCCGGCTACGCAATGATGGGGCGAAGGCGGCGGCGACGAAAGCGGCGACGAGACGAGTCCACTCCCAGAACCGGCAGCCCGGAGCTCTCGCCCTCCGCTGCTTTTATTCCCCTCGGCGCCGCTTGGCTCCGCCCTAGCCGCGCCTCACTTCTCGAACCCACCAGAGGGTTCCAGGGGCCTCCCTATGAGATCTTCCGTGACCCTTGTCCCAGTTCTTCCGCCCTGCCGGCACACACACCGTGTATAAGCTGAGCTGCGTGAGTGCGCTAACTGTCCATCGCAGTTGCCGCTGCTGGACAGCAGTCAGTGCTGTGTCACTACACACGTATGGAAATACTCTTCTGCTTGTACATGCTGTGTTTAATTCTCAAAGCATTGGCAACGGTCTCTGATGTGCCATCAATACCCATATTGTATTGTCAATACGATCCACCACACCAGTTTATTTGATATTCATTTTATTTGTAACTTGTGCTTAAATCAACATACATTAAAACATTTTAATATTTTATTTCAATATATTAAAGAAATATTTGATTTGATGTGTGTAAACATTGTGCAATGGATCAAACGTTTCAGCTTGGAAAAGTGTGCAAATAGTATTTTTATATTCTTGGTTCTTTCCGTAAAGTCACGTAGAAGGGAAACAATAAAATAATAAAAAGATTATTATTATTATTTTATTGTTTATTATTTTGTTGTTTCCCTTCTACGTGACTTTACCGAAAGAACCAAGAATATGAATCCCTGCAGTCACGAAAGCTTTAAATCAAAATAGTATTTTGTTGCTACTCAGTGTTGTTCATGTGAACATTTGCATTGCTCCCTTCAGCGATGGCATATATTCCATATAATTAATGTTTTGAGTGCAGCCTATTGCCTGTCAATAAAATATCTGTTACAAAGTTCAAAAAGTTACAGAAACCCACGAGATTCCCCTGATAATTAAAAACTAAAGTAAACGTGAACGTCAGCGTTGTGGCAGTGTGGTAAACTGGAGGACCCTTCTAGATCACAACGGAAGTGCCCTAAATGATAAAAAAAAACCAACAAAGCGACTCATTTTACAATAAAAATCTGAAAAATTAAAAGTTTTGAGTTTTAGCCGTAAAAGTGGCAAACTCTGGAAAAGAATGTCCCAGACCACTTTAACATTCAGGGTGTCAGCAAAAGCAGTGCTTTTACAGATTCTCTTCAGCACATCAAAAATGTTGCCGCAGTCGGAGTTTAAACCACCAAAGCCAGGTAAACTCTCACTTCGTCATCTATGCACTCCAATACAGAAATATATGTATCTAAAATATATTATTGGCTTATAATATTAATGTTATAGATATATACGATATAACCATGAAAGAAATTTAATTTATAGTAAAAATGAAAGTTTACATTCACTTGCATCGGTTTATAACGAATTTTTTCAGTATTTAAGAATGTATTTTTCTATTTAAAATATTCGTAGAACTGTATTCGCAGTGTTTATGGGACGATGGGAATGTGACGGCGTTGCTGAAGTTGGGCGGTGCCCTCGGGGACCTCGCTGTGCCTCGTCACGTTTCAGGGATTCTGTCGCAGTCTTGATTTGGCTTGAGAGTCATTGTCATCCGCCGTCACCACGGGGAAACTGTCTCCTCACTGACTGCTCATTGAATCCTGGTCCATTGGCTTGGGGTGCACAATGGTCGGGCGCTTGGTGAAAATCTGGTCATGATAAAATATGCACAGGGCAGAGCAATTAGTGAGATCAATTTCTGTTATTTTTGCATCTTCAATGAACAAAGCGTAGTGTTTTACGTGCAAACTGGAAACTGCTCCACATACAAACCAGATATTAGATAGCACATTGGACAGATTAAAAGAAAAGTGATCGCTCATGGAATCAGCGCTCAAAGAAGTCATTATATCATTGTGTATATTTTGCGATGCATTCCCAATGGTGTTATTTCTTTCGTATGAGCAATATATGAGGACATAATTCAGGTATGTGCATTCTACTGTACTCGTCCTACAAGGCAGTGGTGGGGGAGCTGCTTTTAGGTGGAGTCAGTTCTCACCTGACCAGACAAAATAGATTTTTTTTCAATGTGATCTTGTGACTACGAATCGTTATAATCGAATCGTGGGGGCTGGGGTCTGGTTGGATCAGAGCGCAAGTCGCTCTCATTGGCTGAGCGGATAAGAGGGGGGGGAGGGGCACATGTCCTCGTTCTCAATCGTAAGAGCTTTTGAGAATATTTAATTTTATTTTTGTGAGTCAAAATGTTCTCCAGGATAAAGTTCGCTATAACGAATCGGCGTTCCACAGGGTCGCGCAAAGTGTTGTCTGCCCATACTTTTGTAACGGCAAGATGCTACTTTCAGACCACATTGCAGTGTGAAGAAACCATAAAATGATAACAAGACATAGTGGCCTAGAGGCTACCTCTACAGTAGTTGACATCTAGTGGAGTCAAGGGTTGACTTAGGCTGTATGTGAAGACCAAGTGGCTAAATTAATATTTTGTTTTGTGTGCTTATACCTGGACACAAATATTGCTACCAAATATATCGCAGTGATGTGAAATACAACACAGTTACAATTTCATTTAGATTCATACAAAACCTAAATGCAACTGTATTACAAGACACTGCACAGCAACAATAAATATGCATTTATTTTAAGAGTGAAAGAGGCACTCGGTTATAGACAGAGAGGTTGTGAGCCCAGACTTGAACAAGGGCAGGAAGTTAACAGCAAGGATGTCTGGGGTGAAGGGAGATCCAGACCATGGGGTAGCAGAGGAGACTTCCTATTGAGCAAAGGTTAACTGGGGACCTTTGACAGAAAGCCTTTTATCGAACCCTGCATTTCAACATCCACATCTGCATTGAACAAGTAATCCTCCTGCAGATTATGTTGTCTGTGTGTGAATGTGCTTTACCTTGGAGCTTATGTCGATGTTATCGAGTTTGGTTTTCAAGCCTTTAAGAGTAATGCCCGGTACATTTCCTTGCAGAGTTGATTCGTTCATTGATGACAGCCCTAGAAAGGATTTTTTTTCCAAATTAAACTTAAGGAGTAGTTTTAAATGACTAGTGCACAACATGATAATGACGCGAAATGTAATTGCAATACATGGAGTAGAAATCACGAAAACATGTGAGCTACATGTGTTGTGAATTAGAGTAATCCTTACAGGGTACATAGCTTCCTCTTGATGAAGATCGCAGGATGCTGTGTCTGGAATGAAGATAAAAAGCAAAATAATTACATCACTTGAAATTTCAACTGCACCTATTTTTCAAGCAAATTGAACTATTGAATGCATATTTTAGGAACGAATGGCACCGATTTAATCAGAAAATAATCTGTGTAACATGCATTCGTATTTCAATAATTAAATCTGACAGTAAAACTCTGCTCGTGGATGAGTGTATATGCCCATGTACCCTGTAGACTTGATATATACGGTGCATATTCAGTGGAAAATGTGTGTGGGTTCTTACTTGTCATCAAAGAGTGAGCTATTGTTCTTCTTGCAGAGACAGAAGGCCAGCAGCCCTAGTAGCAGCAGCAGCAATCCTCCCAACACTCCAAACAGCACGCCAAAGAACACTCCATGGCTCACTCCGGTCACATCATTCTCACAAAACTGCCCGTTGAAGTTTGCAGGACATCTGTCAGAGGAACACAACAACAAATCAACGGTGTGGCTTAATTTAATACGTAGGATTTCGTGACCAATATCTATATATTAAAATACTGTACATTGCGGGAGTAACTGCTAAACTAGCCAGATGTTTGGAAAAACAAAACATCTGAGTCAGATTTGGCACCGTAAACAAAATACAGAAATTAATATCTGGTACAAAAGATGTATTACCGAAGCTATCAACAGAAGGTGTGTACTGGATTCATTGCACGTGTGGCAAATGCTATGTTGGGCAGACAGGACGAATGATCAGCACGAGACTAAAGGAACATCAAATAAATATGAAATACTCACAAATACAACTATCGGCAGAACACGCGTGCCAATAAGAACGCTCAATTGATTTTGATAACGTTGAAGTTCTGTGCAAAACTAGTTACTATTGGCCAAGACTAATTAGATAATCTATCGAAATTGAGAGAAATAAAAATAATTTTAACCGTTCAGATAGCTAGAGATGCATGCAATATACAGGTCACCATACTTCAATAGGGATTACCATTGAACAATAGTGCACACAATCGACAGGAAGTACAAGAGCAATGGATCTGCGTAATGCGCATGCATAATTTACGCTGATTACCATACAAATGATCTTACCGGCATTGGATACCGATAGTCATTTATACGCATTCATTAATCCCCCCCCCCCCAATTCGCGCAAAGAAGTTGCTCAAAAGTGTTGTCATCACATCTATACATCTACCCCTCTATTTAAGGAACGAAATAGGAGGATTTCTCTACAAATCTGGCTGTCGCCTGATGAAGCTAGTTGTAATTACTGGCAAAACATCGTACTCAGATTGTAAATGTTGTGGCTTTGCTCACCAACACACACGTGTGCTGTACTCTTAACGATTTGGCATGTTTTGTTTATGTGACAAACCTTACTAATTGGCTGTGTCGGGTGGTAGTGGGTTTAATGACACATTTATATATTTACGTGATCTAACCCAAAAACCTCTATTATGGATTCCTATTATCTAGCTCAATTCAATAAAGATGCCATAAATGTATCTGCATTACCATCTATTGTGCTCGATGTTGCAGGATACTTTGCATTATAAACCTTCAGACCAGCATTCAACAACGTATTTAGAAAAAATGTGCACAATTGCATCGCAAATTCCAATCCGAATGGACGCACGTCTGAGAAGACGTCTACCGAGGATATAGAACGATAATATCGGTTGGTGTGCAGGATCATTGCATTGCAGCATAGAAATGGGGAGGTCTCCATCCAGCAGTGGATTGATTATGGCTGATGATGATGAATTCCATAACTCACTTGCACTGGACTCCAGTTGCCAGGTGCTGGCAGGTGCCACCGTTTTTGCAGTAGTTGGTGTCGCTGCACGGGGACTTGCAAATGAACCCCTGTGCACTGTCGAAGACGATGACATAGCCATTCAAATCTGTGTCGCAGCTATAGTAGTTGGGGAGAACGTCTCTGGGAACTGCGGCAACGAAGAGGAGGGAGGGACAGGTTAATACGGGGGCACATGTTGGCTGCCCTCATGATGAGTAGGGCTTCAGACAGAACATGATTATGAAGGTTTTAAAAAATAAAATTGGACAATCTAAAAATACAGAATTTAATGTTGTGGTGAATGATAAAATAACTTCACTAATGTAGATTTCAATCTCTCTAGCAACATACACTTCTGAAGCGATGTCACCCAATGAAACTCACCCACTGTGTCTTCCGCCAGATTATTAAGGTAGACGACGTTAGTTGATCGCGTTGTTTTGTTGAAACTGTTTCTTATTGTTTGCATGAGCGAGCTGTCGTAGAACATTATGACATCCTTGGTGGGGGTGTAGTTGTACTTGGCTGTCATCTCTGTTAACATCACCTTGTTGCCTTGGTTACTGCAGATATGAATAATACACACAATCCCTTTAAAGGCGTTGTATGATACAGAAATTCATATAGCAATTGTGGTATAAACCTTTAGCTTGTTAAAAGCTTTAGTATTTAAATGTAGAAATAGCATGAAATGAATATGCACCTCCAGCATGTGGTTGCCACTCAAATACAAGTCAAAGTGAGTTCATGCTCAAACAAGCATTAAGGCAGTAATCATCTGCAGTTACAGTCCTCTGCCAGTGGTGGATATTCCACATTCCTATGGCAGCGACGAGTATATCCATAGGATAATCACTGTTGACTTCCCCACAAAGTGGTACTAATTGTATCGACCCCGGAAGGATGATGGTCTAAGTTAACTTATAACCAGGATTTGAACTCGCAATCTTCAGATTGTGAGCTGCTCACCCTACCGGTGAGCCACCTGGTGGGATAGTGATAAGACCGTACTGAACTACATTTATTCCTGTGGGTTCTACAACAACAACACAAGAGCCATTTTGCCAGCCACTAGTGACTCTAACATACAGTGTGATCATGCTCAAGTATATAGACAACATCCCTTGCCAAGTAAAGATGCTGTTGGTAGTGCAGCACATCGCGAATTTGAGATCACAAGATTCGGACGTGTAAAATGAGGCTCCACCATCCCATCCAATGGGAGGTCAAGAGTGGTTGTGTCTTAGGGCAATACTAGTCAACACCAGTGAGCCTTTACTGAGCTATGTAGCTCTTTTTCAGAAGCGACCTGGCCACAAATTATAGCTCAACGAAGTGGTTTATCACGTCGAAATTTATAGCAGCCAAATACTCTGAACGCGTGTTTTGTAAATGTGGAGGGAAAAAATGAAGGACCCGGACAAAAATCCACGCGTCCACGGAGAGAATGTGCAGACTCCAAATATAGGCGTCAGGATCGGGTCGAACTCAAGACCCTGCATGCCAGGTGAGGAAGCTAATATCTCACCACCGTGGTGCCCATCAGGACTATAAATACACATGAGCACTGCTTAATGCTAATTTGAGTACAGGTATTCTGATTGTCAAATGAATGTGTAACTAGTCACTTACATAAATCTTTTCAAGCTGACATAATAGAATAAAGAAACGCTTGACAGCCTGCCTGTAACCTGTAGAGAGAAGCATCAATTGTGGTGTTAAATGCATATTTTATGCAGACATGAACAATACAAACACGCAGTTTACTTCATGATGACTTATATGACCAACATGTGAACCATTACCATAAGTGTTTAAATTCATACCCTGACAAAATAGCACCTTATCGAAGTCTACAGCAGTAATCGTGTGGAGAGACTGATGACATAGGAATGCATTATTTTCACCCGTTAGTTCCATAAATGGAAATGAGTGGAGCCCAATAGCTCATTTGAGCAAGGGGACACTATGAAATAAGCTAAATGCATAGCAAATTGTTTACATTTTATATACGTATAAATATCTATTAACTCAACAAAGGCCTGTTTTAGGATGTAGTGCATTCCAGTCTAGCGATCAAGTAGAAAATTTTGACAATAGTGATAACAAATCTAAAATGATATCTGTAATCCGATGTTATTAATCCAATAGTGATAACAAATCTAAAATTATATCTCTAATCCGATGTTATTAATAAAGAAGAAGAAGACCGTTCGTGGACAACTCCAACTTCCCAATGCAGAACCAGTTTATCTATTGAACAAACGATCAAGAAGTCCCCCACATACGAGCCCCAACAAGTCCCCCACATACGAGCCCCAACAAGTCCCCCACATACGAGCCCCCACAAGTCCCCCACGTACGAGCTCCAACAAGTCCCCCACTTACGAGCCTCAACAAATCCCCCACATACGAGGCCCAACAAGTCCCCCACGTACGAGCCCCAACAGGTCCCCCACATACGAGCCCCAACAAGTCCCCTACATACGAGCCCCCACAAGTCCCCAACGTACGAGCCCCAACAAGTCCCCCACATACGAGCCCCAACAAGTCCCCCACATACGAACCCCAACAAGTCCCCCACGTACGAGCCCCAACAAGTCCCCCACATACGAGCCCCAACAAGTCCCCCACATACGAGTCCCAACAAGTCCCCTACGTACGAGCCCCAACAGGTCCCCCACGTACGAGCCCCAACAAGTCCCCCACATACGAGCCCCAACAAGTCCCCCACATACAAGCCCAAACAAGTCCCCCACATACGAGAGCTCCAGAGGAGGCCGTCCCCACGTTGGTGAACCACCACTTACAGTTCTGATGTAGCTATCTCTGCGCCTCGCGTATTCTGAATTGGTGTTGTCCATTAAATTGTCGTCGTACGTCTCGCCCTCAAAGGTGAGGTTCAGCTGGTAGACTGCATTCAATTCTGCACGCAAAGAAGCACAACCACTCAAGCACGGATCCACTGCTCATCCACAACACCCTCGTTACTGCTGACAGCAGCACTTGGCTCAGCAGCGCACAGCGGTGTACAAGGCAGTGTTAGTTAAATATCAAAGGGATGCCGCCGATACAGCTGCTCAATCAATTGCCATACACGATAAGGATATAAATGAATTGGATTCTGAATGAATTAGAGTCTAAATGAATTAGATGCTTAAATACCGTGGCACCTCAAGTCGCCTTACACACACAAATCACAAAAAATACAAAACATCACCACGCATCACCCCATGCACAATAGAGGAGTGACTCGTGAGTAAGTTAAACGTATTTTGCACCGTACGTAGCCAACTGTGCAAATCGGAAGTGCGGGACGAACTCACTCAGACTAGGGAGTGACTCACTCACTCACTCGGGGAGCGACTCACTCACTCACACCGGGGAGCGACTCACTCACTCACTCACACCGGGGAGTGACTCACTCACACCGGGGAGTGACTCACACCTGGGAGTGACTCACTCACTCGGGGAGCGACTCACTCACTCACTCACACCGGGGAGTGACTCACTCTGACTAGGGAGTGACTCACACCTGGGAGTGACTCACTCACACCGGGGAGCGACTCACTCACTCACTCACACCGGGGAGTGACTCACTCTGACTAGGGAGTGACTCACTCACTCACACCGGGGAGTGACTCACTCACTCACACCGGGGAGTGACTCACTCACTCACACCGGGGAGTGACTCACTCACTCACACCGGGGAGTGACTCACTCACTCACCCACTCACTCACACTGGGGAGCGACTCACTCACACCGGGGAGCGACTCACTCACACCGGGGAGTGACTCACTCACTCACACGGGGAGTGACTCACTCACTCACACCGGGGAGTGACTCACTCACTCACCCACTCACTCACACCGGGGAGTGACTCACTCACACTGGGGAGCGACTCACTCACACCGGGGAGCGACTCACTCACTCACTCACACCGGGGAGTGACTCACTCACTCACACCGGGGAGTGACTCACTCACTCACACCGGGGAGTGACTCACTCACACCGGGGAGTGACTCACTCACTCACTCACACCGGGGAGTGACTCACTCACTCACACCGGGGAGTGACTCACTCACTCACTCACACCGGGGAGTGACTCACTCACTCACCCACTCACTCACACTGGGGAGCGACTCACTCACTCACTCACACCGGGGAGTGACTCACTCACTCACTCACACCGGGGAGCGACTCACTCACTCACTCACACCGGGGAGTGACTCACTGACACCGGGGAGTGACTCACTCACACCGGGGAGTGACTCACTGACACCGGGGAGTGACTCACTCACTCACTCACACCGGGAAGTGACTTACCCACTCACTCACTCACACTGGGGGAGCGACTCATTCACCCATTCATACCAAAGAGAGACTCACTCACTCACAATGGGGAGCAACTCACCTCACTCACATCGGGGGAGCGACTCACTCACCCATCACACTGGAGAGCGATCTTCTTTGGTCCTTTCGGTAAAGTCACGTAGAATGAGTGACTTTACCGAAAGAACCAAAGAAGATGAATCCTTGCAGTCACGAAAGCTTTAAATCGAAACTGGAGAGCGACTCACTCACTACTCACACTGGGGGAGCAACAGCCTCCAAGAGCTCAAGCATCATCCAAATCACCATAAGCATGACTTCCAGGTCGAGTAGTGAAGAGAAAACGTGGCTCTGTGCTGCTGCTGTCACTGCGGCATATGTGTCCCGTGTAGATATAGAATGTGGACTCACCTGTGTATTTTAACTTCGCCTGAAAGATCTCCTTGCCGTTCTGGCAGTTGTCTCCCTTGTAGCTGTCTCCACAAGCGCACTGCTGCTTGCACGTGGTCGTGTTGAGGCTGCACGTGCCGTGTTTATTGCAGTAGCTCTCAGGGCAGGTCAAGCCGGGGCAAACTAGACTGCAGATGCCATCTGTTCCAGATAAAATTACGGTTGTTATAAACATTACAGTAAGCTCGTATTGCCAAGTTTCTTAATGAAATGTAAATAACGCTCTAAGTAATCAGGAACACCTCACATCCACTCAATACTATTTTCTTGGAGGGTGCTGCATAGGGATATCGGCCAATTTTTTTAATGTTTAGCATGACAGAGAAGTAGTTGAGAAATCACGGTTGGCTACGCACGGTGCATACGCACAACAAACACATTTCTGTGATTGAGCCAAGGTTCAAGAGGAAACCAACTGGTAAAATGCACCACCTTTGACATGGGTAGGAGGTGTACATCCGTGAAGCTCATGGGAACAACGATTGTCGGTCGTGGCAACAAAGGGGTGACAACCGACTGAATGGCAGTGAGAGAGTGGCTGGAGTTGATCAATGAGCGCAGCTTCTACCAAGATGCTTAATGTTGGATTCCATTGAGCACAGTCAGGTAGGAACTAGGGAGTTCCATCACAAACGTGACAACAGATATGCGATTTGTACAGTAGCGGCTGACTATAGATGAACCAGTCTTTTGAGCTTCATCGGTGCTTCCGGAGCCTAATATGTACTGTAGCTGTTCCACAATGTCAGATAAAGTGATTGTACGAGTTATAATCACGACTCCAATATGGAAAAAAGTAATACTGACAGATGTGTTCGGATAACCTTTACTGTAGGTACTGACTAGCTTTAACTTCAGTTGAAAGTGATCAGGTTCTTGTCAACCCGACTCAAGGATTGGTTTGAAGTCAGTAGTGACTGACAGTGATGTCACAGCACAGTGTACAGCTGCATCTGTTACTGTCTGGTTGTGATTTGCATACATCAAAACTAAATAATTCTGAGTACATTTGGTTCGTTCATTTCATATCCATTGTACCAATGTAGTGCGATCCACATCAAACCATTTGTGGGCACAGGCCTGCACATGGTCAGTAACGGTGCTTAAATCATCAGCTGTGCATGGCTCAAATTTGCGGGTTGTCGTGTTTTATGGTATAAAAGCATCTGCGACTAGCATGGTTGGCTGCGTACGGCGCGAAAGAAGTTCAACATACATAAGAACAAAGCATATGCGTATGCCCTCACTCTTATGAGCATGTGAGCATATCATATTTATTCAACTCAATCAAACTCATCTGCTGGGTGAGAGAATATGGCTGGAGTCCGATGCGCCAGTGTGGAACGTGCGCTGGAATACACCGAAGGGCCTCACCTGACACGCCCAGCTTACAGTTGCACTGGAAACTGCCGAGTGTGTTCACGCAGAGCTGGCTGCTGCTGCAGCTGTTTGGCTGCTCGGCACACTCGTCGATGTCCAAGCAGGCTGTGGTGCCTCTGTAGCCTGGGAAGCAGCTGCAGCTGAAGGATCCTGGGCTGTTGCTGCAGTTTCCATGACCGCCGCAAGGGGACGTGACATTGCACTCATCAATGTCTGGCGAAATACATAGAGAAAAGATACGTGGTCACATTCGGTCACGTAAAGATCCAACACCGCTCCTGCCTATTCATGGATATCAGAGGCCTGGCCACAAGACACGTGAACTCCTGGTCTCGTAATTGAGATCACACATCATTGATTTTAAAGTCAACCCCATAACAAGTGTATCATGATTTGTACATGAAGATGTCCTTCAAAATAAAATGCTGCACCTATTTATTACCGTTAGTGTCAATTTATTATGAATCTGGTATATCTGCAAATCTATATTAGCGTCAGTGAGAATAAGATCATTTATTTTACCAAGAACTTCAGCCGATATGATTTCGTTAATATTCACTTTTTGTACGCAGTGCCCTTTACACTGCGGCAACCCAGAGCGCTTTACAGGACATCCCATCTCATCTGAAACATTCAAAAGGGCACCCCCAGTGGCAGTGGTCAATGTGGGCATAAGGTGACTGAGCACCTGGCCTGCAAACAAGCATTAGTCTGCCAGTAGGGTGCCACGTTTGCTACGTGTAATTCAAATTGAGTAATTTGCAGGTAATTTTTTTTAATTTGGCAAATTTGGACCATGACGTTGGCAAACGATGTCATACTGATTTCGAATTATGTCAGGGGAACTTTAACATCCACTGTGAAGCAGATGGTGCGTGTAGCATTTTATGGTTAATAAGCACACCAGGGCGGCCGCTGGGCTCGAGCCGCAAATCTCTGCAATAAGCGGTGAATGCGCTCCTGCTGGGGCGCGTCACAAGGCCGACGTGATGTTGCTTACCCAAACAGGACCTCCCGTTGCCTCTGTACCCGACAGGACAAGGTCCGCACATGAAGTTCAGCGATGGCGCGGGCAGGTCCGTGCAGGTCACCCCGGTGAAACACGGGCTCTCCCCGCAGGCGTCGTAGTCCTGGTCACAGTAGGTTCCAGCGTAGCCGCTCGAGCACAGGCAGCTCGCAACCTACACCCACGGGCGCACGGAGAGGCCACATCCCATGGGAACATGTTGATATACCACGGACGTGCAAGGGCAGGTTGGAAATGGGAGAATGCTTTTTCCATCGTTTCAGTTGTCTGTCTGCCTCCTCTCGGAAATGTTTATGTGGTTTCTCATTTTTATGTATTGTATTTGTTTCTATCTTGATTTGAAGCTTTCATGACTGTAGGAATCCATACTCTTTGGTTCTTTCAGTAAAGTTACGTAACTTTACCAAATAAACCAAAGAGTATGTATTTGTTTCTATTCATTAAAATATTTCACCTGGGTAATCATCACTTGGGGTTGAACATCTTATTCGCAAGGCTATCCCAGGTATCGATTGTCCCATACACAGCACACGCGTAACAACGCGAGTACACACACATATTCTAAATCTAGCACGCATGAGAATATCAACACCCATCCTCGAGGTCCTATGGTACCTGAAACGATGGCGAGTCGTTGGAGTTGCTGAGCTGCGGCTGCGAGAAGTTGCAAGCGGCGTTCCGGCTGCAGTTGCACACGGTGAGCGAGAGCGCCACCCGCGATGAATTCCCTCCGTCCGAGGCCACCAGCCACACCAACGCCTCCCGCGTGGAGCTGGGCCGCCACCCCACCGAGCCGTTGGCTGGGGGAGAGCGACCGCACGTGGAGGGTGAGAGTGGTCAGGGCGATCGTTTAGCTGTCTGTCCCTCACGCACGGCAGCGGCAGGGTTCTGATTGCAGTACGCATGCTCTGGCAATTGTGCCCATGTAGGGCTTCCTTTAAATCAATATATGAAAACCTATTTACACAATGTATAGACACTGATAGGTATATGTCAGTTTCAATTTCACGACTGCCCCAGCTGCAAAGAAGACATCTACATCAACAAGTAATTTCATTAACCACGACCATTCCATTGCCGGATGAAGGCCTTCACCTGCCATTGCCATCTCACACAGCTCTGCAATGCCACAATCCAACTCACGACTGCGCTTGCACTGATCTCATTGCTCCATCTCCGTGGTGCTCTCTTTCTCACGTCCATCACCAGTCTTATCTCTTGGCCATCGTCCCTCCTAGCCATGATGGGTGCTCCTCTAACCCACACATTTTCCTGAACATTTAATATGATGTATTTAATTTGTATTTGGCTCCTGATCCGTGTGATCCACTTCCTGTCTCTCAGTGTAATCCCGAACATATACCCCTCCGCACGCGTTTATGCAACTTTTAACTTTTCGTTCCATTTTCTTAGTCAGTTTTCATCTTTTTGATTCATATGTCATAGCCGGTAACAGGCAATGGTGATTACACGAATGAAGACATGCATCATGGCTGGGAAGCAGTTACCCAGAGTACAGTTCCGACTCTTCCTGCCACGAAGGTTTGTCGAACACACGGTGGATAAACGTTTTATGACAATGATATATTTACCATAAATTGTGAAGTCTGAAGAGTTCGGAGTGATCGTCAGGGTGATGGGGTCTGACTCGGGATCCACGACCGTGATCTGTAGAATCGTCGACTCATTCAACCGCGCTTTAACCTCGGTACTTCCGTTGATAGTTGGTGGCTTGTTGCCTGTTAGTAGAGGATGGAGGGTGATGAAGAGCAGTATTTTTATGGGGAGATAGACATGACATACAACGCATGTCTGATGTGTTAGACAAGACATTTTTACTTTAGTGCAACATTTTATTGGGTTTGAACGTTTGACAGTAAGAGTGTTGTATCAAGAATGTACTATGTAAATATGTGCAGTTAAAGCGTTTATCAGTACAAATGTTTGTAATTACGTGCACTTTTAATGTAAACATCATGGGACAATGACGTCGCTCAGTGGTAGCGCGTTCATTGCTTGTTGCAGAGGTTCATGGTTCGATCCAACAGGCCATCCTGGTTATTAATGCGGTGGCATAAACCATAAAATACAAGTCGTCTGCTGCACAGTGAATGTTTAAGATCCCCGGATGTCATTCAACCATTTTGTGCCGGCGTAATGGTTAAAATTTACCAAAATACTCAAATGGGATTACAAATAGAAACCATCGCCAGTAGGGTGCCACGTTTGCTACGTGTAATTCAAATTGAGTCATTTGCAGGTAATTTTTTTAATTTGGCAAATTTGGACCATGACGTTGGCAAACGATGTCATACTCAATTTCGAATTATGTCAGGGGAACTTTAACATCCACTGTGAAGCAGGTGGTGCGTGTAGCATTTTATAGTTAATAAGCACACCGCAGTATTAACCAGGGCGGCCGCTGGGCTCGAGCCGCAAACCTCTGCAATAAGCGGTGAATGCGCTCCCGCTGGGACGCGTCACAAGGCCGACGTGATGTTGCTTACCCAAACAGGACCTCCCGTTGCCTCTGTACCCGACAGGACAAGGTCCGCACGTGAAGTTCAGCGATGGCGCGGGCAGGTCCGTGCAGGTCACCCCGGTGAAACACGGGCTCTCCCCGCAGGCGTCGTAGTCCTGGTCACAGTAGGTTCCAGCGTAGCCGCTCGAGCACAGGCAGCTCGCAACCTACACCCACGGGCGCACGGAGAGGCCACATCCCATGGGAACATGTTGATATACCACGGACGTGCAAGGGCAGGTTGGAAATGGGAGAATGCTTTTTCCATCGTTTCAGTTGTCTGTCTGCCTCCTCTCGGAAATGTTTATGTGGTTTCTCATTTTTATGTATTGTATTTGTTTCTATCTTGATTTGAAGCTTTCATGACTGTAGGAATCCATACTCTTTGGTTCTTTCAGTAAAGTTACGTAACTTTACCGAATAAACCAAAGAGTATGTATTTGTTTCTATTCATTAAAATATTTCACCTGGGTAATCATCACTTGGGGTTGAACATCTCATTAGCAAGGCTATCCCAGGTATCGATTGTCCCATACACAGCACACGCGTAACAACGCGAGTACACACACATATTCTAAATCTAGCACGCATGAGAATATCAACACCCATCCTCGAGGTCCTATGGTACCTGAAACGATGGCGAGTCGTTGGAGTTGCTGAGCTGCGGCTGCGAGAAGTTGCAAGCGGCGTTCCGGCTGCAGTTGCACACAGTGAGCAGGAGTGCCACCCGCGATGAATTCCCTCCGTCCGAGGCCACCAGCCACACCAACGCCTCCCGCGTGGAGCTGGGCCGCCACCCCACCGAGCCGTTGGCTGGGGGAGAGCGACCGCACGTGGAGGGTGAGAGTGTTCAGGGCGATCGTTTAGCTGTCTGTCCCTCACGCACGGCAGCGGCAGGGTTCTGATTGCAGTACGCATGCACTGGCAATTGTGCCCATGTAGGGCTTCCTTTAAATTAATATATGAAAACCTATTTACACAATGTATAGACACTGATAGGTATATGTCGGTTTTAATTTCACGACTGCTCCAGCTGCAAAGAAGACATCTACATCAACAAGTAATTTCATTAACCACGACCATTCCATTGCCGGATGAAGGCCTTCACCTGCCATTGCCATCTCACACAGCTCTGCAATGCCACAATCCAACTCACGACTGCGCTTGCACTGATCTCATTGCTCCATCTCCGTGGTGCTCTCTTTCTCACGCCCATCACCAGTCTTATCTCTTGGCCATCGTCCCTCCTAGCCATGATGGGTCCTCCTCCAACCCACTTATTTTCCTGAACATTTAATGATGTATTTAATTTGTATTGGCTCCTGATCCGTGTGATCCACTTCCTGTCTCTCAGTGTAATCCCGAACAAATACCCCTCCGCACGCGTTTATGCAACTTTTAACTTTTCGTTCCATTTTCTTAGTCAGTTTTAATTTTTTTGTATCATATGTCATAGCCGGTAACAGGCAATAGTGATTACACGAATGAAGACATGCATCATGGCTGGGAAGCAGTTACCCAGAGTACAGTTCCGACTCTTCCTGCCACGAAGGTTTGTCGAACACACGGTGGATAAACGTTTTATGACAATGATATATTTACCGTAAATTGTGAAGTCTGAAGAGTTCGGAGTGATCGTCAGGGTGATGGGGTCTGACTCGGGATCCACGACCGTGATTTGTAGAATCGTCGACTCATTCAACCGCGCTTTAACCTCGGTACTTCCGTTGATAGTTGGTGGCTTGTTGCCTGTTAGTAGACGATGGAGGGTGATGAAGAGCAGTATTTTTATGGGGAGATAGACATGACATACAACGCATGTCTGATGTGTTAGACAAGACATTTTTACTTTAGTGCAACATTTGATTGGGTTTGAATGTTTGACAGTAAGAGTGTTGTATCAAGAATGTACTATGTAAATATGTGCAGTTAAAGCGTTTATCAGTACAAATGTTTGTAATTACGTGCACTTTTAATGTAAACATCATGGGACAATGACGTCGCTCAGTGGTAGCGCGTTCACTGCTTGTTGCAGAGGTTCATGGTTTGAATCCAACAGGCCATCCTGGTTATTAATGCGGTGGCATAAACCATAAAATACAAGTTGTCTGCTGCACAGTGATCCCCGGATGTCAATCAACCATTTTGTGCCGGTGTAATAGTTAAAATTTACCAAAATACTCAAATGGGATTACAAATAGAAACCATCGCCACCCTACTGGCAGACCAACGCCCGTTTGTAGACCAGGTGGTCAGTCATCTTCTGCCCACAGGAGCAGCTGCCACTGGTGGTGCCCTTACAAAATTTGGAGATGAGATGCAATGCAAGCCACTTATGGCGTGTAAGGTGCTCTGAGACACTGCGGTGTGAAGGGTGCTCCATCAAAAACGAATCACTGCATTCAGATCGCAAGGCCACTGATGGATTGTGCTGTTTTCATCGATAGCTGCCCTCATGCTCACGTTGTGCTGCAGGATTCCCTGTCAGTTGCGAGTACTGCAGCCGTACCTGGGAGGCCCGGCTTGGGGTTGCAGCTGTAATTCCCTCCTTTGTTAAGGCAGTTTTCGGTGGCGTTGTTGCAGATGGACGTGTTCTCTGCACACTCGTCGATGTCCCGGCAGATGGGAGGGTCTCTGTAGCCGGGGAAGCAGCTGCAGCTGAAGGATCCTGGGCTGTTGCTGCAGATTCCATGACCACCACAAGGGGACGTGACGTTGCACTCATCAATGTCTGGCGAAATACATAGAGAAAAGATCCAGGGTCACATTCGGTTACTTAAAGATTCAACACCGCTCCTGCACATTCGTGGATATCAGAGGCCAGGCCACAAGGGACTTCTCTGCCGACTTACCAAGACAATTCTCCCCATCGCCAGTGTAGCCCGCAGGGCAGGGAGCACATTTGTAGCCCAGAGACGGAGGGGGCAGGTCTGTGCAGTTGATGCCCGGGTAGCATGGGTTGGTCGCACAGGCGTCTAAGTTTTCATCACAGAACTGCCCTGTGTAGCCGTCCGAGCAGTTGCAGCCGGCGACCTGACATGTGGACATGAAGAAGCAAGCGTGACAGCAGAAAGCGTGGCCTGAGTAACGGGACTGTATGCGCCTCCACACACACATACACACACAGTTGATTCACACACACACTGATTATTATATTAAGACTGATAAACTGTATGCCATTTGTGTTTCTCCGTGACGGAAAATGCCGAAGAACTGTAATTGTAGAATACTGTACTCAAGCATCGACCTAAGACCAGCAAGAGCTCTGTTAGCCGGCATCCATGGGGAACGTAGGAGCGTGCCGGTTAATTAAACACACCGGTTATAATCTGAGAGTTATACTTATGATTCACTACATGTTTCCGAGTAAGTACAACTTTTCAAGAAATAAACTTTAACTTACATTCTAACAGTGGCATAATAAATAATAAACTCGCTTACAGATGTACCCACCGGTCAGTAGTGGCGCATTCCAAGTTGACAAGTTGACTGTGGAGAAGTAGTGGGGCCCTTTAGAGTACTGTACACTATACAGTAGCACAGTGTACAGTGGTACAGTACACAGTGGTACAGTTTGTACAGTTCTGTATGAACAGACAGTCGCGAGAGCCGTCATTTGGCAGCGTCCCGAAGCTCCCGTGAGCAACATCGGGCGGTAAGATTCCGGATGGCTGTCGGGAATTTTTACGGTTGCCTGAAGGAAGATTTATATTTTTGTCCGTGACAGATGCCGGTTAATAGAGCATTCTGGATGGTAAAGTGCCAGATAAGAGAGCTTTTGCCGTAGTTTCAACAGCGGCCGTTTATGAAACTAACAAGTCACCGCCTGTCATAACTCAATCAGACCGCACTGACTACTGTAAAAAAACAGGAGAGGTTTGTTTAAAAAAAAATACAAGTTCTCACTTGGAAGATGGATTGGTTCTCTTGCACGCTGTACATTGGCTCCGAGAACAGGCAGGTGCTGTTGGCGCTGCAGTTGCACAGCGTGAGGTTGAGTGGCATTAGCGTCGGGGTCAGGGTGCCGTCTGGGGCCCTTACGCCGTCCGTAGCCACAACAGAAGCGAACACCGCTTGCGAAGAGGTGGGCAGCCACACGACCACGCCGTCCGCTGCGGAGAGATGGCCGTGTTAACGCGATACATCGCAGCGACTGAAACGTTTTCTCCAACCTGTAGATTGCAATGACTGACAGCTGGGTGGAGGGACGTTCCATGAATTGACATCTGGGTGGAGAGTTGGCACGGTTGTGTGCGCATTGCGGTGTAAACCAGGTGACCTAACTTCAATTCCCGGCAGTGGAGAGTCACATCTGGACTGGTCCAGGGGACCCCTTCACCAACCTGCTCTGTCCAGCATGTTGAAATATGGTCAGAGACACCCACTGCTCTCTCACGTTATGGTTCAAGATCCCTAGTACGGATGTGGTGTTGCAAGGCAAGGAGGGGGGGTTCTGGTGGGATGGGAAAGAGGGAGTCTGAGCCCTGGACCTGCGCTTCGGCAGTGAATTTATGGGGATTACAATGTATTGTTATTATTTCGCTGTTTACTTGAAAAGCCTCAATTGAGTCTCAACACTCGGTTTCAAGAGGATCTTGGCAAGTTTTGGCAGTCTGGGGCAATGTTACTGCTGTGTGTAATCCCAATTAAGTAATATACAGGACATTTTTTAGCATTCGGATGTTTGGCCAAAATAAGTTAGGTTTTGTTAATTAAATCATCCCATGATGGTATTCATAATTTGTCCTAGAAATGGTAAATGCCCTGATTTATGAGGAATTTTAAGAACCATGTGTGTGTATGTAAAGCTAGCCATTGTGGAACATAAATGCAGAAAGCTAAAAGATTTGGATTGAGGAATAGTTAGGGTTTTATTTCAACTTATTAGGACATTAAAACATACTGCGGTTGGTACTAATCGTATTTATTTGATGCATTATATTTAATCTTCAAGGTTGGTGATATGCGTTTACTGTACGTCATTGTAATTAAAATGTTCCATTAAACATTTAAGTTAAAACCAGGAGAGCGCCCACTGCAGAAGCGGTCTCTCTCATGGGAACTCTTGAGGCAGGATTCACACATTGCCAGTTTCCATTTAATCAGAGTTTTGGCGAAAACGTGCCGATGTGTCCATCACGAAAAGTAGGGTAAATCACCATGGTGAAGTGTTTTGACAGTTTTGTCACGATCTGAATCTGATCCAATAATGTGTGAACTCTCCTGAAATATCAAGCATTTAAGGTTGTATGTGCATGAGCGTCTCCTCAATGAAACATCCAGTAGACAATGGCTGACACTCGGGCAGCTCTGGGGTGGGAAGAGCACGACCGAATGTCCATTTGGCCCACCCAACATCACTTTCCTTAGCGGTATAATATACCGCTAAGGAAAGATGACTGCCGTGGCGGCCGCCTCGTACATCCGAGAGGAGCTGGAGCTGGGCCTATGGCATAACACAGGGCTACTTTCAGTCCCTTGGATACCTGTGATATTAATATCTGGAGATAATGAGGAGATGGAGAGGGTGATCTTGTCTCCATCTAGATCCGTGATGTTGAACTTGATTGTCTTGGCCTCCTTCACGCGCGTCTCAAGCACGGGACTGCCAGTAATATTTGGCAGTGAGTTACCTGTTCAACATAAAAAATAAAAATACAGATTAATTAAATACTAGAAAGATGCTTTTCAATAAATATGATGTACTAATATATGATTATGGGAAAAGCAGGCTAATTTTTGTTGTTAAAAGGTCAAGTAGATGGGGGGGGGGGGGAACTGGTGAAAGACATTTATATCAGATGCAGAGGAGACTGTCAATTATAGGCAGAGGAGAATATGATGTTCTAAGGCCTGGACTTTAAATAAGCAACAGAGTTAGCTGTGTGGACAGCCAGAGGGAAGGTAAATCAAGAAGAGCAGGTCATGTTTCAAGCAGTCACCCTGGTTTTTGTAACAGAACTTAAAGTGCACAAAGCTGGGATTCTTACGGACAACTGTGTTAATTCTCTCGAACGTTGAGTTGGCCTTCTTGGTTTGAAGGGCGAAGGCTATGTTTCCTGTGCTCAGGGCATCGAATATGCAAGCATCACTGCCATTGCAGAGAGCTGTGATTTCCGTTGTTTTGGTTGTATTTTCTGTTAAAAGATCATCAAAGAATCTTGGCACGAAGGTGTTGTTGTTGAATATTAACCAGCTCTCACTGCCCACGTAGCTGAACAGTGAACTCTCGTTTGTTATTTTCCCTGGGGAACATGTGAGAAGATATTTAGCGCAATGAAACGGACATTGTACAACTGCGACAAGTTAGGCATCTAGCATGTGCAATCTGTTAGATATGTAGGGTTTTATTTCTCATGGATTAATTTCTAAGGCACCTCAATTCTTAACCCCCCAATTCCTACCATCTCCCCTAACAAGGAGGTCAGGGATATGTTTTCCAGAGCCCAGCACTGGAAAGCTCTGGCTAAAATTAAGCCCTTATTATATGTGCATATTTACTACCTTTACATGTCTTTTTAATTAGAGCCTTGCATATCCTAATTGAAGCATAATACTCAAATCGGTAAGAAATGTGTTATTACTTAAATAAATGATTTGTGAATTAGCATATTTTTTTTTACTTACAGGATTGTCCAAATTCAAAAAATATTCTGTTATCCTTCGGAGGTTTGTCTCCATTGAATGGCAAAATGGTGCCATTTCTTGCTGTAAAGTCATCTGTCTTGTTTCCATTGAATATTCCTATAAATGTCATGAAAAACAGACACGAAAACAAATTACGAAGCCTGAAAAACGAGGACAGTACTCTCAGATGTAAATCACCAGAGGCAAAAGCAAGTGAGCACGTTTTATTCTCCAGTCAGTAACCCTCATCACACGTTGTCAGTGGCTGGCCTACCTGCCTGTGACACGAATGTGTCACTGCGGCATGTAAGGATTCTTAATAGCTATAATAATAATTGAATACATTTGAAATGTGTGCCTTTCTTACAGTGCAAGGCTATCACAGAGGCGCAGTGTTTTACAGACAAGGGTTGTAGTTTCACAGTAGGGGGTGCGATGTTGCTATGTGTAATGCCAATTGAATAATTTCCAGGTATTTTATTTACCTTGCAAATTTGAACCATGGCACCAGCACATAATGGCCTCATTTCAAATTATGTCATGGGATCTTTAACATTCACCGTAAAGCTGATGTGTCGTATTTTTATAGTTAATACCCCTAAAATAATAACCAGGGTTGCCTGTCTGGTTCAAACCACGAACCTCTGCAAATAGTATCAAACGCACGATCGGATCACCACCTCTGACTTATTAACATGGCTATTCCGGCCTTTGTAATGCTAATGCCATTAATGGTTGCCTTGTGCAAAATTAGCAATCACTGATGGCAAAATCTTGATAATGGGAGTGGAGACATGCAATAATTTGTTACATTTCACTCAATCTTTATAGCTGTGTGTACATACATTTAGTGTTATAAGCATAGTCTGTATCGTCTGGCTGAGATGCTTTATTTTGGGAAGCCAAAGTCTGGTTACACTTTAGGACACAATATAGAATAAGGCTGACTTACAGAAAACCTTACCATCTGATTGGACATGACCACTCGCGATGAGGATCTTATGGATGTGAGTGGGTTGTGACAGTCTGCCGGAAAACGGGTAAGTTAGCTCACCAAGCAGCCCCTGGGTGTTGTTGCGCATCTTCTCTGGCAGGGAGATGAGGAACTGCAGGGCCCCCATTGTGGCCGTCACCGTCACGGACACGCCAGACTTAAACGATGCCACGGTGCTCCCGTTGCTCAGCATCACCGTGGTCCCATTTATTGTGGTGGCATTTTCTGCAGGGGTTAAAAACAATGCCAGTGTTTAGATTGTACAATGGTGAGCATTTAGAGCAATACTGTTGTGGTTTGAATATTATGTTCGTTTAAAAATATTAAATATGGAGTGCTTGGCACAATTATGTTCACCTATTCATGATGCCCTATGTTTGATTTCCAGCCATGGCTAACATCAGTGATGAGTGTTATCTGCAATGGTCCTGGGCCCTCTTTCACCAACCCGCACTAACCAGCGTGGTGAAGTGTGGCCAAACAACGGCCATTACCGACATGGCGAGGGGAGGCATTCACCCAAAAGTGGGCAGTGAATTATAATTTTATTCATTATGTACCAAGAAGCTAAAATAACTGGTAAATGGATGCCTAAGCCAGGGAGGAGGTATGAAGTGTAGAAGGCCACATTCAGAGAATCTCATCCGCTGGCAGCGGTGCACTACGCCTGGATGACGGTTGACCACTGTATGAAACACAACGTTAATAAGTAGTATATCTCATCAATTCCATCACTGTACTTAATTGAAGAGTGGCAAACATTAGTACGTCTTGTGTGGATCAAGGACGTTAACTCAGCTGATGCATTATGGAATTTACCTGAAACACTGAATTGATATCCTTCAATGTATAACAAGGTTGTGTTCTCCTGGTCCAGTTTCCACTCCACCTGTTGAGTAAAAACATGGGTACGTTACAAATCTGTGACCTGCGCCATTAGTATTCCCTTGCACTGCAAGTGTTAAGCAAAGAGTTGTTCCCTTGACAATATGAAATGTTAAAACAATGTAAATTGATTTAAGCTCTGTTGTTTACAGGATTATAGCTATCGCTGGGGAAATCCGGAAATAAAACCCCTAGGTTAATATCGTTTCTGTAAAATGAGTGAGAAAAATCGACACCTTTGTTGATGGTAGCATGTTCACCGTTTACTGCAGATGTTTGTGGTTCGAACCAAGCAGGTCGCCCTGATAATTACTGTGTGTATTTAACCATTAAATACGTTCAGTCTGCTTCATAGTGGACGTTAAAGATTCCATAATGCCATTTAAAAAAAATACGTATGGTGTGCCATTTGCCAAAATCGAATCATTACCTGCAAATTCCTCATTTTGGATTGGACATCACAGCAATCATCGCCCCCTATAGGCAGACTATTGCCTGATTGCAGGCTAGGTGCACTCACCTCGAGTCCGCAAGAACAGCTGCCACTGGGGGTGCCCTTTCAACCGTTCGATATGAAATGTGATGTAAGTCACTTATCGCATTTAACGCACTGTGAGACACTCTGGCATGAAGGGTGTCTTAATAACAAATCAGTCATCATTATTGATGAGTTGGAGCATGAAGTAATTTGCAGTGTTTTTGAAGGCCCGTTACTTACCATTGGGCACCCTGTCTGCATCGCCACCAGCGCCACGAAGTTCGTAGCCATGGACGTGTGGTTGTCCCCCGCGCGCTGCGTGCGCCCCTGGACAATGAACTTGGTCACGTTTCCATCGTTAGCGATGAGCAGATCGTACTCGCCCAGGCCGTTGAACGTGTAGTCCACTCCGTCCAGTGTGGTGATGTGTGGGTCGCCAAACATCCAGCCTTTTCAGAGAAGACACAACACACAAGTGAAGGTAAAACATTAGTTTCGCTGTGATGGTGTTCGCAGTGCAGTAAATACAATCCCCTAGCGAGAAGGGTGCCTCTAATGGTAAAATCAGCCTCTGATAAATTAAACATTTCAGAAAGGGGCCCATGTTCCACAAAAAAGCCATCAATCCAAAATGACATCCAAAACAGGGCACGAAATAGGAATAATTATTTAAAGGCGGCTTCATCAATATCAAAAGGTGGAGGTGCAGCCCTGCAATTGCTTTTTTCCGCCACTGGTGGCGCAAGGGCCTCCCCTAGAGGAAGCAGAAAGAGCCCCTCCATAGGGTATTTGTCCTACTCATTCACGCTGGTCACACTTCTCGGAAGAGGTGCGAGTACCGACAATTTACACACCACACCCAACATGCCGACTGTGGTGTATCCATTTATACTGCTGGGTGGCGAGAGGTGGGGGATTTAAGAAACTTGAACATTTTGATTGAAAGCTTTCGTGACTGCAGTAATTCATATTCTTAGCTCTTTCGGTAAAGTCATGTTGAAGGGAAACAATAAAATTATGACCGTTTGTGTTATGGTCGAAACGTCGTGAGAATTTTTATTGTTTTATATATATTCTATTACTTTATTGTTTCCCTTCAACGTGACTTTACCGAAAGAGCTAGGAACTTGAACATTGTTTCAATTGCCACACCGGGGGAGCAAGTGAACCGGCAGTTTTCTGGATTGCAAGTCAAGTGTGCTGATTATTACACCACGGCAGTATCAATATACTCGCATGAAACTGGTTTGATGTGCATAACTTGGGGTGTGTTGAAATTTTTTCTCCACTTACCAAACCAGGGGGGTCTGTAATTCCAGCAGGATACCGCGGGACGTTTTGTTTGGTACAGTGAGCAGAAGTAGTTGTCTCCAGAGTTCAGGCAACAGTCCTTGTACGGCTTCACCTCGTTGGCTGCAGTGTTCAGAAGCACACAGAGAAGCATACAGCATGGTGTGAATTAACAGCATGGAGTTTTAAAATTAAAACAACGATAACATTGAGAATAGGTTTTCCCCTTTTTTCTGGCAACAAAACAAGTGTTAAGATGTTAAAACACCAAACTGAAACCTTTTGCAAGAAATCATGTCTGCATTAACCACAATACAGAATGCAAACAAAAAACACTGATAATATATGCATTGTCTTTGAAACTAATTGGTCCACACCAGAGACAGCTTTCTTTAGTCTAAAATGGTGTTTGCATTCTGACCACAAGTATTGTGGTTAATGCAGTAACATGATTCCTTGTAAAAGGTTTCAGTTTGGTGTTTTAACATCTTAACACTTGTTTTGTTGCCAGAAAAAGGGGAAAACCTATTCTCATATTTTGGTACTGGCAAAGGAGGTCCCGTGATGTAACTATAACATTGTCCATGTGCATTTTGTTACCTGTGCTAAAGCTCTTGAAGGTGTTTTTTAAAAAACAATTTCAGAGTTCTCATAATTGCATATTATTTTCTGTGATATGGGCCGGAGGCAGTGTGTTTGCTGCTCGTTGCTTAGGATCGTAGTTCAAACTCGGCAGGCTGCCCTGGTTAATGTGGCAGGTGTATTAACCATAAACATCCATAATATAGGTTTTTTTGGGTTAGATCGCGTAAATATAAATGTGTCGTTAAACCCGCTACCACCCGACACAGCCAATTAGTAAGGTTTGTCAGGTAAACAGAACGTGCCAATTCGTTACTAGTACAGCAAACCGGTATGTTGGAGAGCAAATCCACAAAATTTACAATCTGAGTACGATGTTTCGCTAGTAATTACAACTAGCATCATCAGGCGGACAGCCAGATTTGTGGAGAAATCGTGTTAAACTAACCGTGAACATATGTTATCTCCTTCAAAGTGGATGTTAACAATTCTTTGACGTCCTTTGAACAGAGTACAGTCAACCTTTGCGTGGTGGCGATTTGGTTAAAATTTGACAAATTTTAAATTGTAACTACAAATCACTCAATGGGATTACACACAGCAACATGGGCCCCCTACTATGAAAAATTGTCAGGATCCACCTAAAAAGATTCTTGAGACTCTGAGGCTTTCCTGATTGCTATGCATACAGTACGGTAATTACAATTGAGTCATTTGAAGATGAAGTATGGCAGCAGTTGTCAACATGCAGGTGTTCAGTCCGTGTCAATAAAAATGATAAATTATTTGCAGTATATAAACAATTACAACTTCTGGAAACATCTGGCACGTTAAAATATAAAACCTATACGCAGGTCTCCCTTCTTGACAGAAACCTGGGATTCAGGACAGGGCCCGTCGCCATGAGGAATCACGGCCGATGGTGGAGATGAAAGGCGGAGTGGCAGCCAAAGGAGGGAACGCGTCTGAGTGAATAATCGCCGAGGAGATGGGGCTCCTGCGATTTTGTATGAGCCACGTGGATTGTTGCATCGCAAGACCGTGAGACGTCTTCATCCAGCGGTGGCTGCTGCTGCTGTACGTATGCATGTTGAACTTCTTTCCCACCGTACGTAGCCAACCGTGCTATTTGCAGGTGCGGGGGAAGGACAACTAACTAAACATAAAAGCAGTTCTCCAGAAATTCTGATGATGAAAGAATGAATTCAAGACAACAGGAACTTACTGTAGTAATTGCTGGTATCCGTTTGAATGAACATCTGGAAGTAGACGTAGTTGAACCAGTACGCATTCCGGTAGAACGACCAGGGGCTGATTGGAGGGTTCCAGGGCGTTGGCAGCAAGCCCTCGTGCTGGCCCGTGATGAGGGAGCCTTGCCAGTCGTAGTAACAGCGCACGCCCGATCTGTCAGGGTTCTGCCACACGCTCTGCAGCGTGTACGCCGCGCCTGTGGCGGCGGCAGTAGCAATACAAACCAGAGTCAAATACCATACGCGTACGCATGTTTCGTTTAAGGCAGTTCCACAAGTTCGGCAAACTCACGACCAACATTTGGAAAAGGTGGGGAGCATCCCGCGCTTGTGGCAGTACAGCAGAGACACGCAACAATGACTTGCTGCACCGCCCTCTGCTGCCCACGGCGCAAGGTGTACATTCCATAAGAGCTACATTGGTGGCGACAAACACGCCGCCGCATTGCTTGCCTGGAAAAGGCTTGACTTGGTATCCGTAGTACTGGATAACGTATTCGTCTATGAACTCCATGTCCATCATTCCTTGCCAGTAGGAGCACGGGCACGGTGTCGAATCCCAGAAATGCATCGTTTCGTGATTGACCCAGTTTAGGCAGCTCTTCTTGCTGTTCACGGTTGACAGGCTGTTGTTCTCCAGTCTATACACCCAGATGCCTTTTACACCTGGACAAAATAAAAAAAACAACATTTTCAAGACACAATAAACGTTAAGTTATGGAACTTTGTCAATGCACTTGTGGAAGGCTTCCCCACGCCACTTAGCAGCTGCTTGCTGAAGGGTGAGGGCACAGACGGGTGTAGATATCACTCGCCACTGATCAAAGCCATGGCAAGGACTCGAACTTAGGTGCCAGGTTCACGGTGCAGTGTGCTTACCACCGAGCCAATTGTATTTTGTTATGCAATACTTGAGAACACACCAGGTCGCATTCAAAGATGCACAGATTCATTGATGGTAAATAAATTCTTACTCTCACGATACAATGTGCCCTCAAAACAGCGGCCTCATCTGTGGGTAGGGTGTGCCGCGCTATACCGAACGTAGCCGACTTATACCTTTTAATGGTATATACTGTACAGTGTATTGAAGAATTTCCATTTATCGAGGGCTTAAATGTCCCAGGATCTCAAAGTGCCTTAACATTTCTTTTGATCATTCTGATGCTCAGCTGTATTGTTCCTCGACGTTGGGGTGACCAGCAGGTGACGGAACACCATCCTGCAAGTGGGCTTAGTCTGTCAGTAGGGGGCGATGTTGCGATTGGTAATTACAAACAATTATGCTGAATTATCATATTGTACAAAATATACAGTATGTACTGCAATTTTTTTTTTAAACAAACACCACTGAAGCCACACCAAATATCACGAACCAATGCTACAGCAGATACCGTGCAGAGCAGCACTCAACTGGGACAATGTGTACAATTATTGTTTTTGTTAAGTCGGTGAATTGTCTACTTATTTATGTTGCTACTTATATTATCCACAACGATGTGAATGGTTATTTTGCGTGATACTGTTATGTAGGGCACGGCATACTATCTACCTTATTTTGAAAACTTGTAACAGGCATCAAACTGAGCATGCAATACATTATTTTAGAATTGTATACGTTGTATATAATTAGTTCATATAAACCATGTATAATTAGTTCATATAAACCATGTATAATTAGTTCATATAAACCATGTATAATTAGTTCATATAAACCATGTATAATTAGTTCATATAAACCATGCATAATTAGTTAATATAAACCATGTATAATTAGTTAATATAAACCATGTATAATTAGTTCATATAAACCATGTATAATTAGTTCATATAAACCATGTATAATTAGTTCATATAAACCATGTATAATCATGATAATGAATGGCACACGTGAGTGGACAGACCTGTATAATTAGTTCATATAAATCATGTATAATCATGATAATGAATGGCACACGTGAGTGGACAGACCTGTATAATTAGTTCATATAAACCCTGTATAATTAGTTCATATAAACCATGTATAATTAGTTCATATAAACCATGTATAATCATGATAAAGAATGGTACACGTGAGTGTACAGACCTGTATAATTAGTTCATATAAATCATGTATAATTAGTTCATATAAATCATGTATAATTATGATAATGAATGGCACACACGAGTGGACAGACCTGTATAATTAGTTCATATAAATCATATAAATCATGTATAATCATGATAATGAATGGCACACGTGAGTGGACAGACCTGTATAATTAGTTCATATAAACCCTGTATAATTAGTTCATATAAACCATGTATAATTAGTTCATATAAACCATGTATAATCATGATAAAGAATGGCACACGTGAGTGTACAGACCTGTATAATTAGTTCATATAAATCATGTATAATTAGTTCATATAAATCATGTAGAATCATGATAATGAATGGCACACATGAGTGGACAGACCTGTATAATTAGTTCATATAAATCATGTATAATCATGATAATGAATGGCACACGTGATTGGACAGACCTGTGTTTCCTGTGACGTTTTCGGGCTTGTATCGCACTTCAGCGGGCTGACTCAGAATCTCGTTATTGTAGAAGACGCCGTATACCCCTCTGTGGTTTGAGCAGATGAAGCAGTCACAAAACAACACACCGCGTCCTCCAAGGTGATCTGTACGTTGCATTGTTTGGTTTCCTCATCACCATTGATTATTTGGGGTAATTTCGCAATGGTTAGCCTATTGCGTTATGAATCAATCAATTCGTGCCTACGATCAATGTTAGCCACCAGTGATATGTCAACTAGGCCTAGGCCACCTCATTCACCAAACGGACAAGCGTGGTGAAGTATGGTCAAACAACCCCATCACCAAACAGGTGGTTGTACCCCCAGACACCCTTGAAAACAAGATGTTGCATCTTTTGAGATTTTTGTAGAGTAAATCATTGTAAATTTACAGAGTATTTAAAATAAAATATAAGGCTACCAAATGTGTGGTAGGCTCAACCGGGGGAAAGTTGTAATGTGGCAGCCCTTCCCTCAACGCCATAATCCCCTGGGGCAACGTTATGGCAAAGTTGCCGGCAATTGTGGCTCACGGTGTTTCCTGTGGCAGGGCACGTGGTTTTGAGTTAACCCCACCGTCGCAGTAGACACGACGAATCCTTCCCATACATGTCTCTCCACATACAAATTTAGTAGTTTCCACTTCTCATCAGCCACAAGCTCTTCTCAGAGTATTAGTTCAACCAGTTTCTCATCAGCGGTCAGGCTTGCTTAAACTAATGGTGGTGGTGAACTGCCAGATGTTTAGAAGCAAGGACCCTCCATGAAGGATTATGGGTCATGGTTTGACACAAGACGATACATTTATATGTACGCGATCTAATAAAAAAAAACACATTTATCATCGAGACTAGATACAATTGTGGGTTAAATGTGTACAACAAAGGGTCTCCCTTAAAAACGAGTGGTGGTTTCAACGGGTTTTTTTATGTGACATCAAGGATCGCCTCACTCGACCTGCTACTAATAGCTCGTATAGTTAGTGCTGACTGCTCACGTGTGGTATCCCATGAGGGCGTTGTTTGCGTTTTTGGCCCTCCGGGATATTTGCCAGTTCATCCTCTGGAAAATGCTGATGCAGAACGAGAACACCCCGTCTGTGAGCAGGATGCCCTGGAACGTGTTCGTCTGTCGAGGGTGGGGCGAGCACACATTCATTCACGACGCGGCCAATGTTAGGGACGTTGCTTTCAAGTGTTTACATTCTCAACAAGATGGCAAGAGAGTGTTAATGTTCCTTGTTTACCCAGGGAAGCCTTGGTCCAAGACTGTTTTAGGAGGGTCCTTCCCGGTTTTTGCAGTAGCGGGCGATGTTACTATGTGCAATCCAAAATGAGTAATTTGCTCGTATTTTTTTACTATTGGGATTTTTGTCCAATAGCAGTTACATTGTATGATGTTTTTAGAAGATATATATGAGCAAACCAGGCAACCCGAATAAAACTTATCCAGAACAGGGGGAAAACATAATTATAGATTCCACACAGAGAGGCACCTAAGTCAGGAATCAAACACAGGCCCTTTTAACGTCACCCTTCCATGTTGCAGATTTTTTCACAAATGTTCTCTATTAGAGTGCTGTACATGTTAAAGCTGTATTAATTTGACTTAGGAACTGTAACAAGATAATAAACCGTTGCGCAAGTAGGAATCGAGCAGCAGGTGGATGCAGTGAAATAAATAGCATAAGTTATCACGGTAGACATCACTCAAGCTAGAATGCCCTTTTTGATTCACATTTGATTTAACTACCTCATGAATGGGAATGAATTTCCCGGTGCTGATCTAACAATAGAGGAGAATGATTTTTATTGGCTCTGAATTGTATCTTGTTGATATTTATAGATCACCTTGTCACACTTTGAGTCTTGGTAAATGTGGAAAGATAAACACGTTCTCCAAGGTGGGACGGGGGAGAGAACCTTGATAATTAACTGAAGGGATTCAGGTTGGCTAAACTAATGCAATTCCAAGATTATTAAAACATATACAGTGTGTGTTGTATACGGTAGTGTACCGTTTATAGCCTATTTATTGTCATTTATAGATTTGAATTACGTTTGCCTTTAGGCAAGTGCTAATGGGGTCCCAATAGCATAAAGGTGAAAGAGTCATCTCGGTATAGAGAGCTACCAGAGGCGTGTGGCAGCAGCAGCAAACATTGATGACTGTATTGTACTGATGAGTCCTAATGAGGAAGGAACTCTCTACAGTTGTGTCTTTGTTTCACTGCTTTATGTTCACTTGGTGGTTCTAAAAGCCAGTAATGGCCACACATTCAGCTCTTTTGAGCTGGTGGACGGGGTAAATGTGCTTTTGCACATTTTATCCTTATGGCGGTACCTCGGGGTACCAAATAATACAAAATGGCCGAGGCAATTAAATATTTTGTTTCTGGGACACTCTTTTTTCCAGGATGTACTTCACTCCGCGACTGGGGTACCAATCAATCCGAAATCAGTGCTACTCCGCAATGTCGAAACGCCAAACATCAGCATAAACAATCCGTTATCGAAAAATTCAACTTTGAATCGTGCATCGTGTACAGCTCGTTGAGATGAGTCGATTGCCGCATCGCCGACCATCAACGACCATCAACAAATAAAAACGACTGCATCAAGGACATTATGTGAGAGCCGGGGTACTATGGTACCCCGGGGTAAGGTTCATTTAATGCACACCTTTGCATGTTAACATTATACTCACGTGATCTCTGTTGTTGTTTTCAAACGAAGCAGGGACTCCCTCCCAAGTGACTTTCAACATCCACGAAGGCTCAAAGTCTCCCATGTTAGCGTATGCCTTTTTAATTAGATTTTTGGTTTTTGTCTTAATATCCACATCACTTACATTATTGTATTCCTGAGAAAACAATACACAATGACAAGTGAAAAATAGACCAAATATATTTAAATAAGATGGAAACACTATTAATTCCATTGGTAGATGTAATGATTGCACATGTGGCTTGTATTGCTCAGATAATACATGCAATTGGCAGGTGGTTGAGAATAGTGAAGGAGTGAAAGCCGATGGAGGAATTAATGAAGTTCACGTGCAAGTGACAGATGGATTATTGCATCATGAGACTGTAATAAATGTCGACGGCTTCTGGAAGCCTTAATTCAACAGTGGATTCAAGATAGCTGATGATACTGAATTGAAGGTCATGTACTGTACATGGATCTTGTTTGGACTGCTGGGATGGTGTATGTGATCTTGTTTGGACTGCTGGGATGGTGTATGTGATCTTGTTTGGACTGCTGGGGTGGTGTATGTGATCTTGTTTGGACTGCTGGGATGGTGTATGTGATCTTGTTTGGACTGCTGGGATGGTGTATGTGATCTTGTTTGGACTGCTGGGGTGGTGTATGTGATCTTGTTTGGACTGCTGGAATGGTGTATGTGATATTGTTTGGACTGCTGGGATGGTGATACTATCGTGTATATATTTGTCGCACCTTGAAGTAAATGTTTCCAATTCCTGCGGATATGTCTACGTCATCCCAAAACGTTGCCACAATTGCATTGGCACTGCCATTCTGGAAGCCATTGGGTGGCGGGTAAGGAAATGGAAACTTTGGCGCGTACTGATTTGCAGAAAACACGAACACTCCATTTTTGGTGAACTGCCAAAACAAGGGGGTCAAAGAGAGAAGAACCACACCAAGGAATATTCAGTTAGACTTTGCAGAAACATGGGAATAGAAATACTGCATTTTAACTATCACATTGTGGGTACAACTTTGATTGAAGATATTCATATATTCTGATGCATTACTGGCCTAAGTGGTCCCACGTTTTACTATACAAAGTGAAAATCACTCATAAGCTAATCAGTACCTAGGTTGTCAAGTTTCATGCATAGCGTGTGTGACTACATTTAACAAAGTATTTCTCCATGTCTTTCATTTAGAAACTGTCAAGTGACTAATATATCCATATACAGTATGACCATTTGGACAAAAACACAGGTCAAGTTACTTGGATTTTTCTTCATTTGATGTAACTGTCCCAAACTGTCAACTTAAAATATTTCAGCTATGTGAAGGTAGATTATAAAGGCACGTAAACCCATGAGATTAGGATAGTATACAACTGGAACAGTGTTTTTTTGTCTCTGTGGGATTGTGAAGATTAGATTCAAAGCTTATCCATCGTAATCTTGTCCTAGACAGATTGAGTCCTAAATTGACCCTATGATGAACATTACGCAAGTTCTATGAATGAAAGACTGACTTAAGGATGGCAAATTAAGTATCTTGGAACGTAGATTTTTGCTGTTCTTTTGCATGATATTTTTCGACGAGCAATACATTAATACTCTTTGGTTCTTTCGGTAAAGTCACGTAGGTATAATTTATTTTATTTTATACCTACGTGACTTTACCGAAAGAACCAAAGAGTATGGATCCCTGCAGTCACGAAAACTTCAAATCTAGATTGAGCAATACACTGTAGTAATAATCTCTACGAATCTCTCGATACAACTGTATTCCTATAAGCTCTTGTTGCATTCTTAATAAAACAGACGGTTCTGAAACTAAAAATGCACAACCCTTTTGGTGGTGGTGATAGAATCCATGACGGGACATGGGGAACACTCACGTAGACATTGTTGTAGAATGTTGGTCCCAGCGGAAAGCCGTAGAGCACGTTAAACGTCGGGGACGTGGAGACGGTAAGTTTTGTGTCACCAGCATAGGAAAGCAGTTCGTTCTCCACTGTGGGCAAACGTTGCGGAAGTAAATTCAGCAACACAACAATTGGTATTTGGCCAAACATTCCGATGCTGAAAAATTACTCAGTTGGGATTACACACAGCAGCAACATCGCCCCTGACCGCGAACTTGCAGGGGCCTCCTAAAACAATGCTTAGGCTCAGGGAGGCTCTCCTGGTTAACTTCGTGTATATTGGAGGAAAATGCCAGTATTGTTGGTAACAAACAACTCAAATTGATTCTTGCCAAAATAATTTGAATTATAGTCAGAATTGTAGTTTGTGGATTTCTATTGACGATACAAGCACATGAGCTGCAAAAACACAGCAAGGCCATGCCAATGATTTGGTGTTGCTTTTTTCAGAATGATCAATTGAAGCAATTGGCGGGACCCCGGGGTCCCATCACTGCCCCGGGGTGGGAAAAACCGCGTCGCGACACGAGTCTTGCCTTACCGACAACAAAACTAGTGTCAATAGATTGGCCTCGTCGAGAGCTACTCGGGGCACTAAGTTTCGTAAAAAGTTGAAAAATTACATAAACACGTTAAATTCACTGCCTGGGGGGCGGGCTCGCCTTGGCATATAAGCTGAGGATCGATGGCTGACCGGAGGGCGGACTGAAAAATAATAATGATTTTTGACCTGATTTTTGCGGGACCCCGGGGTCCCGCAAAATGATTCAATTGTCGATATGGCCAATAGAAACTACACATACTCTAATGGAATGCATTTGTATGGACCGTTTCATACCTTGAACCACGACTTTAGTTGTGGTTGACGGAGATTGTGTTGTTGTAGCAGTTGAAGTATTAGTAGTATGTGTTGTTGTAGTATTTGTAGTATGTGTTGTAGTATTAGTAGGAGGGGTTGTTGAAGTATTAGTAGGAGGGGTTGTTGAAGTATTAGTAGGAGGGGTTGTTGAAGTATTCGTAGGAGGGGTTGTTGAAGTATTCGTAGGAGGGGTTGTTGGAGTATTAGTAAGAGGGGTTGTTGAAGTATTAGTAGGAGGGGTTGAAGTATTAGTAGGAGGGATTGAAGTATTAGTAGGAGTGGTTGTTGAATTGGTAGTGTTAGGTGTTGTTGCAGTATTGGTAATTACAACAGGCAGTGGAGTAGTAGTTGTGTTAGTCAGTGTAGTGGTAGTAGTCAGAGGGAGTGTTGTATTAGTAGGGGGAGTTGTTGAAGTATTAGTAGTAAGTGTTATTGAAGTATTAGTACTGGGTGTTGTTGAAATATTAGTAGGAGGGGTTGTTGAAGTATTAGAAGGGGTTGTTGAAGTATTAGTAGGAGGGGTTGTTGAAGTATTAGTAGGGGGAGTTGTTGAAGTATTAGGAGGAGGGGTTGTTGTAGCATTAGTAGTAGGTGTTGTTGAAGTATTAGTAGGAGGGGTTGTTGTAGTATTAGTAGTAGGTGTTGCTGAAGTATTAGTAGGAGGAGTTGTTGTAGTAGTAGTAGGTGTTGTTGAAGTATTAGGAGGAGGGGTTGTTGTAGCATTAGTAGTAGGTGTTGTTGAATTAGTAGTGTCAGGTGTTGTTGCAGTATTGGTAATTACAACAGGCAGTGGAGTAGTAGTTGTGTTAGTCAGTGTAGTGGTAGTAGTCAGAGGGAGTGTTGTATTAGTAGGGGGAGTTGTTGAAGTATTAGTAGTAAGTGTTATTGAAGTATTAGTACTGGGTGTTGTTGAAATATTAGTAGGAGGGGTTGTTGAAGTATTAGAAGGGGTTGTTGAAGTATTAGTAGGAGGGGTTGTTGAAGTATTAGTAGGGGGAGTTGTTGAAGTATTAGGAGGAGGGGTTGTTGTAGCATTAGTAGTAGGTGTTGTTGAAGTATTAGTAGGAGGGGTTGTTGTAGTATTAGTAGTAGGTGTTGCTGAAGTATTAGTAGGAGGAGTTGTTGTAGTAGTAGTAGGTGTTGTTGAAGTATTAGGAGGAGGGGTTGTTGTAGCATTAGTAGTAGGTGTTGTTGAATTAGTAGTGTCAGGTGTTGTTGCAGTATTGGTAATTACAACAGGCAGTGGAGTAGTAGTTGTGTTAGTCAGTGTAGTGGTAGTAGTCAGAGGGGGTGTTGTAGGACAACCACCACAAGTAGTGTTAAGGGGGGAAATTGTGGTTCTGTTTGTTGGGATCGTAATAGAAGGGATAATTGGTTGTGTGATTGAAGAGATGTTGGAGATTTTGGTTATATCTGTTGATGTAGATGTTGTTGGAGGTGGGCTTGATGCTGTGAAAAGTGCTGTTGTTGATGGGGATGCTGCTGTTAATGGGGATGGAGTTGATCTGGGGGGGAATGCAGTTGTGGTTAAACCATGTGTGGTTGGAGCTGCAGTTGTGGTTAAACCATGTGTGGCTGGAGCTGTAGTTGTGGTTAAACCTTGTGTGGTTGGAGCTGCAGTTGTTGTTAAACCTTGTGTGGTAGGAGCTGCAGTTGTTAATCCATGTGTGGTTGGAGCTGCAGTTGTTGTTAAACCATGTGTGGTGGGAGCTGTAGTTGTTGTTAAACCTTGTGTGGTTGGAGCTGCAGTTGTGGTTAAACCATGTGTGGTTGGAGCTGTAGTTGTGGTTAAACCTTGTGTGGTAGGAGCTGCAGTTGTTAATCCATGTGTGGTTGGAGCTGCAGTTGTTGTTAAACCATGTGTGGTTGGAGCTGCAGTTGTTGTTAAACCATGTGTGGTGGGAGCTGTAGTTGTTGTTAAACCTTGTGTGGTTGGAGCTGCAGTTGTTGTTAAACCATGTGTGGTTGGAGCTGCAGTTGTGGTTAAACCATGTGTGGTTGGAGCTGTAGTTGTGGTTAAACCATGTGTGGTTGGAGCTGCAGTTGTGGTTAAACCATGTGTGGTTGTAGCTGCAGTTGTGGTTAAACCATGTGTGGTTGGAGTTGCAGTTATTAAACCTTGTGTGGTTGGAGCTGTAGTTGTTGTTAAAACTTGTGTGGTTGGAGCTGCAGTTGTTGTTAAAACTTGTGTGGTTGGAGATGCAGTTGTGGTTAAACCATGTGTGGTTGGAGCTGCAGTTATTAAACCGTGTGTGGTTGGAGCTGTAGTTGTTGTTAAAACTTGTGTGGTTGGAGCTGCAGTTGTTGTTAAAACTTGTGTAGTTGGAGCTGCAGTTGTTGTTAAACCATGTGTGGTTGGAGCTGTAGTTGTGGTTAAACCATGTGTGGTTGGAGCTGCAGTTGTGGTTAAACCATGTGTGGTTGGAGCTGCAGTTGTTGTTAAACCATGTGTGGTTGGAGCTGTAGTTGTGGTTAAACCTTGTGTGGTTGGAGCTGCAGTTGTTGTTAAACCTTGTGTGGTTGGAGCTGTAGTTGTTGTTAAACCATGTGTGGTTGGAGCTGCTGTTATTAAACCTTGTGTGGTTGGAGCTGTAGTTGTTGTTAAACCTTGTGTGGTTGAAGCTGTAGTTATTGTTAAAACATGTGTGGTTGGAGCTGCAGTTGTTGTTAAACCATATGTGGTTGGAGCTGTAGTTGTTGTTAAACCATGTGTGGTTGGAGCTGTGGTTGTTGTTAAACCATGTGTGGTTGGAGCTGTAGTTGTTGTTAAACCATGTGTGGATGGAGCTGCAGTTGTTGTTAAACCATGTGTGGTTGGAGCAGCGGTAGTTGTTGGTTCAGGTATTGTTGGGGCTGGAGTTGTTGTTGGTTCAGGTATGGTAGGGGCTGCAGTTGTTGGTGCTGCAGTTGTTGGTCCAGCTGTAGTTGGGGTTGAAGTTGTTGGTGCTGCTGTTGTTGGTCCAGGTGTGGTTGGGGCTGAAGTTGTTGGTGCTGCAGTTGTTGGTCCAGGTGTTGTTGGAGCTGGTGTGGTTGGGACTGCAGTTGTTGGTCCAGGTGTAGTTGGGGCTGTAGTTGTTGGTGCTGCTGTTGTTGCTCCAGGTGTGGTTGGGACTGCAGTTGTTATTGCTGCTGTTGTTGGTCCAGGTGTGGTTGGGGCTGCAGTTGTTGCTGCTGCAGTTGTTCGTCCAGGTGTTGTTGGTGCTGCTGTTGTTGGTCCAGGTGTGGTTGGTGCTGCAGTTGTTGGTGCTGCAGTTGTTCGTCCAGGTGTTGTTGGAGCTGCTGTTGTTGGTCCAGGTGTGGTTGGAGCTGCAGTTGTTGGTGCTGCTGTTGTTGGTCCAGGTGTGGTTGGGGCCACAGTTGATGGTGCTGCAGTTGTTGGTCCAGCTGTGGTTGGGGCGGCAGTTGTTGGTGCTGCAGTTGTTGGTCCAGGTGTGGTTGGAGCTGCTGTTGTTGGTCTAGGTGTGGTTGGGGCCACAGTTGGTGGTGCTGCAGTTGTTGGTCCAGGTGTTGTTGGGGCTGCAGTTGTTGATGCTGCAATTGTTGGTCCAGGTGTGGTTGGGGCTGCAGTTGTTGGTGCTGCAGTTGTTGGTCCAGGTGTGGTTGGGGCTGCAGTTGTTGGTGCTGCAGTTGTTGGTCCAGGTGTGGTTGGAGCTGCGGTTGTTGGTCTAGGTGTGGTTGGGGCCACAGTTGTTGGTGCTGCAGTTGTTGGTCCAGGTGTGGTTGGAGCTGCGGTTGTTGGTCCAGGTGTGGTTGGGGCTGCGGTTGTTGGTGCTGCAGTTGTTGGTCCAGGTGTTGTTGGTGCTGCTGTTGTTGATCCAGGTGTGGTTGGGGCTGCAGTTGTTGGTCCAGGTGTGGTTGGGGCTGCAGTTGTTGTAGCTGCTGTTGTTGGTCCAGGTGTGGTTGGAGCTGCAGTTGTTGGTGCTGCAGTTGTTGGTGCTGCAGTTGTTGGTCCAGGTGTTGTTGGTGCTGCAGTTGTTGGTCCAGGTGTTGTTGGTGCTGCAGTTGTTGGTCCAGGTGTGGTTGGGGCTGCAGTTGTTGTTGCTACAGTTGTTCGTCCAGCTGTGGTTGGAGCTGCAGTTGTTGGTGTTGCAGTTGTTGGTCCAGGTGTGGTTGGGGCTGCAGTTGTTGGTCCAGGTGTGGTTGGGGCTGCGGTTGTTGGTGCTGCAGTTGTTGGTCCAGGTGTTGTTGGGGCTGCAGTTGTTGGTCCAGGTGTGGTTGGGGTTGCAGTTGTTGGTCCAGGTGTGGTTGGGGCCGCAGTTGTTGTAGCTGCTGTTGTTGGCGCAGGTGTGGTTGGAGCTGCAGTTGTTGGGGCTGCAGTTGTTGGTCCAGGTGTAGTTGGGGCGGCAGTTGTTGGTGCTGCAGTTGTTGGTCCAGGTGTGGTTGGGGCTGCAGTTGTTGGTGCTGCAGTTGTTGGTCCAGGTGTGGTTGGGGCTGCAGTTGTTGGTCCAGGTGTTGTTGGTGCTGCTGTTGTTGGTCCAGGTGTGGTTGGGGCTGAAGTTGTTGGTGCTGCTGTTGTTGCTCCAGGTGTGGTTGGGACTGCAGTTGTTATTGCTCCTGTTGTTGGTCCAGGTGTGGTTGGGGCTGCAGTTGTTGCTGCTGCAGTTGTTGGTCCAGGTGTTGTTGGTGCTGCTGTTGTTGGTCCAGGTGTGGTTGGGGCTGCAGTTGTTGGTGCTGCAGTTGTTGGTCCAGGTGTGGTTGGGGCTGCAGTTGTTGGTCCAGGTGTTGTTGGTGCTGCTGTTGTTGGTCCAGGTGTGGTTGGGGCTGTAGTTGTTGGTGCTGCTGTTGTTGCTCCAGGTGTGGTTGGGACTGCAGTTGTTATTGCTGCTGTTGTTGGTCCAGGTGTGGTTGGGGCTGCAGTTGTTGCTGCTGCAGTTGTTGGTCCAGGTGTTGTTGGTGCTGCTGTTGTTGGTCCAGGTGTGGTTGGGGCTGCAGTTGTTGGTGCTGCAGTTGTTGGTCCAGGTGTGGTTGGGGCTGCAGTTGTTGGTGCTGCAGTTGTTGGTCCAGGTGTTGTTGGTGCTGCTGTTGTTGGTCCAGGTGTGGTTGTGGCTACAGTTGTTGGTGCTGCAGATGTTGGTCCAGCTGTTGTTGGTGCTGCAGTTGTTGGTCCAGGTGTGGTTGGGGCGGCAGTTGTTGGTCCAGGTGTGGTTGGGGCGGCAGTTGTTGGTCCAGGTGTGGTTGGGACTGCAGTTGTTGTAGCTGCTGTTGTTGGTCCAGGTGTGGTTGGAGCTGCAGTTGTTGGTGCTGCAGTTGTTGGTGCTGCACTTGTTGGTCCAGGTGTTGTTGGTGCTGCAGTTGTTGGTCCAGGTGTGGTTGGGGCTGCAATTGTTGTAGCTGCTGTTGTTGGTCCAGGTGTGGTTGGAGCTGCAGTTGTTGGTGCTGCAGTTGTTGGTGCTGCAGTTGTTGGTCCAGGTGTTGTTGGCGCTGTAGTTGTTGGTGCTGCAGTTGTTGGTCCAGGTGTGGTTGGTGCTGAAGTTGTTGGTCCAGGTGTGGTTGGAGCTGCAGTTGTTGGTGCTGCAGTTGTTGGTCCAGGTGTGGTTGTTGCTGCAGTTGTTGGTGCTGCAGTTGTTGGTCCAGGTGTTGTTGGGGTTGCAGTTGTTGGTCCAGGTGTGGTTGGGGCTGCAGTTGTTGGTGCTGCTGTTGTTGATCCAGGTGTGGTTTGGGCTGCAGTTGTTGGTCCAGGTGTGGTTGGGGCTGCAGTTGTTGGAGCTGCAGTTGTTGGTCCAGGTGTGGTTGGGGCTGCAGTTGTTGGTCCAGGTGTTATTGGTGCTGCTGTTGTTGGTCCAGGTGTGGTTGGGGCTGAAGTTGTTGGTGCTGCTGTTGTTGCTCCAGGTGTGGTTGGGACTGCAGTTGTTATTGCTGCTGTTGTTGGTCCAGGTGTGGTTGGGGCTGCAGTTGTTGCTGCTGCAGTTGTTGGTCCAGGTGTTGTTGGTCCAGGTGTGGTTGGGGCTGCAGTTGTTGGTGCTGCAGTTGTTGGTCCAGGTGTGGATGGGGCTGCAGTTGTTGGTGCTGCAGTTGTTGGTCCAGGTGTGGTTGGAGCTGCTGTTGTTGGTCTAGTTGTGGTTGGGGCCACAGTTGTTGGTTCTGCAGTTGTTGGTGCTGCAGTTGTTGTTCCAGGTGTGGTTGGGGCTGCAGTTGTTGGTCCATGTGTGGTTGGGGCTGCAGTTGTTGGTCCAGGTGTGGTTGGAGCTGCAGTTGTTGGTGCTGCAGTTGTTTGTCTCGGTGTTGTTGACGCTGGAGTTGTTGTTCCAGGTGTGGTTGGGACTGCAGTTGTTGGTGCTGCAGTTGTTGGTCCTGGTGTGGTTGGGGCTGCAGTTGTTGGTCCAGGTGTGGTTGGGGCTGCAGTTGTTGGTGCTGCTGTTGTTGGTCCAGGTGTGATTGGGGCCGCAGTTGTTGGTGCTGCAGTAGTTGATCCAAGTGTAGTTGGTGCTGCAGTTGTTGGTCCAGGTGAGGTTGGGGCTGCAGTTGTTGTTGCTACAGTTGTTGGTCCAGGTGTTGTTGGTTCTGCAGTTGTTGGTCCAGGTGTGGTTGGGGCTGCAGTTGTTGTTGCTACAGCTGTTGGTCCAGGTGTTGTTGGTGCTGCAGTTGTTGGTCCAGGTGTGGTTGGTGCTGCAGTCGTTGGTGCTGCAGTTGTTGGTCCAGGTGTTGTTGGTGCTGCAGTTGTTGGTCCAGGCGTGGTTGGGGCTGCAGTTGTTGTTGCTACAGTTGTTCGTCCAGCTGTGGTTGGAGCTTCAGTTGTTGGTGCTGCAGTTGTTGGTCCAGCTGTGGTTGGGGTTGCAGTTGTTGGTGCTGCTGTTGTTGGTCCAGGTGTGGTTGGGGCTGCAGTTGTTGGTGCTGCTGTTGTTGGTCCAGGTGTGGTTGGGGCTGCAGTTGTTGGTGCTGCTGTTGTTGGTCCAGGTGTGGTTGGGGCTGCAGTTGTTGGTGCTGTTGTTGTTGGTCCAGGTGTGGTTGGGGCTGCAGTTGTTGGTCCAGGTGTGGTTGGGGCCGCAGTTGTTGTAGCTGCTGTTGTTGGTCCAGGTGTGATTGGGGCCGCAGTTGTTGGTGCTGCAGTTGTTGGTCCAGCTGTGGTTGGGGCTGCAGTTGTTGGTGCTGTTGTTGTTGGTCCAGGTGTTGTTGGTGCTGCAGTTGTTGGTGCTGCTGTTGTTGGTCCAGGTGTGGTTGGGGCTGCAGTTGTTGGTGCTGTTGTTGTTGGTCCAGGTGTTGTTGGTGCTGCAGTTGTTGTTGATGCAGTTGTTGGTCCAGGTGTTGTTGGTGCGGCAGTTGTTGGTGCTGCCGTTGTTGGTCCAGGTGTGGTTGGGGTGGCAGTTGTCAGTTCTGCTGTTGTTGGGCCAGGTGTGGTTGGATTTGCAGTTGTTGGTCCAGGTGTGGTTGGGACTGCAGTTGTTGGTGCTGCAGTTGTTGGTGCAGCTGTGGTTGGGGCTGCAGTTGTTGGTGCTGCTGTTGTTGGTCCAGGTGTGGTTGGGGCTGCAGTTGTTGGTGCTGTAGTTGATGGTCCAGGTGTGGTAGGGGCTGCAGTTGTTGTTGCTACAGTTGTTGGTCCAGTTGTGGTTGGAGCTGCAGTTGTTGGTGCTACAGTTGTTGGTCCAGCTGTGGTTGGAGCTGCAGTTTGTGGTGCTGCAGTTGTTGGTCCAGGTATGGTTGTTGCTGCAGTTGTTGGTGCTGCAGTTGTTGGTGCCGCTGTTGTTGGCCCAGGTGATGTTGGAGCTGCTGTTGTTGGTCCAGGTGTGGTTGGTGCTGCAGTTGTTGGTGCAGGTGTGGTTGGAGCTGCAGTTGTTGGTGCTGCAGTTGTTGGTGCAGGTGTTGTTGGTGCTGCGGTTGTTGGTCCAGGTGTGATTGGGGCCGCAGTTGTTGGTGCTGCAGTTGTTGGTCCAGGTGTTGTTGGCGCTGCAGTTGTTGGTACAGGTGTGCTTGGAGCTGCAGTTGTTG